ACCTCACCAACAAGATGGGCCACCGTTCGTTCGGCTTCCTCGGCCGGAACCAGCCATCACCACCTCCTTGAGGGACACCCAGGTGCTCGACCGCCTATTGACGTCCTTGTCGGCCACCGGGACCTTCCTAGCACACTCCGTCATCAATTACGGCCAAACATTGGAGAGAGATTTGCAGCGAGCGCAGCGATCATCCCACTCTGCCCGTCCTCCATCTCGGTCCATTCCTTACCGTAATTCCCGTCGCCCCCGCGCGAGAAAGAACCAGCCAGCCTCTGCTAAAGATGACACCAAGCGCCGTTCGTCTTCCCCGCCTTCCAAGCCTGACAACGACGCGATGCAGGTGGATGACGACAAAGCCCCCGGCTCATCCAAAAGCGTGCCCGCCAACTGATTGACTACGAACAAGTCTACTTGTCCGGGAGGGCGTATGTGACGATTCCTTTCCCGATATGGACGACTCCTATTCTCATATGTTATTGTCTCCTCATGGGTACGCTTAGCTACCATGTTGTATCGATTCCCGGAACTTAGGTTCCTTACCTTATCCCTCTCATCTCTTTACTTTACATCTGTTTGGTACTCGTGGTATATAAGGACTTGTATCCTACGGACGTACGGTAGAGTTTTCCGAAATACTAAGGTTTACCCCTGTCTATTGAGGAGTGACTCGACCCTTCCGTGTTCGTCTCCGTGTTAGCGCTCGCAGACGTTACACCGGTCCATCACTGATCACTGATGAGTTCTTCGACGCGTTCCTTGTCCACTCGCACTATCACATTTACATACCCCTCCCACACACCCAAACGCCCAAACGCCCAAACACCCCCTCGTCCCTTGAAGCTTGACGACCCGAGCCTGTAATGATATGAACTATGATATATGAACTCGGAAGCATATTTCGGCGATCAACGTATTCTCCTATCTTTACTCTATCTTTACCGTTTACCGTCTGTTTACTTCCACCATCCATCGATGTCCCTCCCTCGTCGTCCCTTGCCTCCCATTCCTTCCTATTCCCATTCCCCTCATCGTCCCTTTCTTCCTCATTCTTCCTTCCTCATCGTCCCTACATAGTACATATCCCGCCACAATCATACCATCGCAACCGAATTGGATTGCACAAATTAAATAGACGATGTCGATGCTTGCTTATCCCCATTCAAATATTCACCATTCACCATTCACGCTTCCAAATGCACCATACCAAACCACACCACACCAATTCCATCAACATATCAACATATCAACGTTCGACGGCATCCCCATTAGACCTCGCCTTCGCCGTCGCCCTTGCGCACCTCCGAGTCCCGATCCCCGAATCCCGAATCCCGAATCCCGAATCCCACTCAGTGCCTCTCTCGTAATTCGTAAGTCGTAAGTCGTAAGTCGTAAGTCGTAAGTCCTCTCTGAACGTTCTCGTAATGAATCCTCTCCGAACGCTCTCGTAATTCCTCCCGTAATGTAATTCCGCTCGTAGGCGTCTAGCTTGGGAGGTGGTCGGTATTGACGGTATCCCCTTTTTACTCCTTGGTGATATATTGATAGGTGATAGGTGATATTCTAGTATTCTAGTATTCTGGTGTTCTGGTGTTCTGGTGTTCTGGTGTTCTAATGTTCCAGAGTTCGAGAGGCATCGATCACTCCATTCCATCGCATCCATACCACCATATGCCCTTCCATAGCATAGCATACCACTGCATCTCAACCACCCTCCACTAGTTGTTACTAGCTAACCGTTACTTCCTACATACTACATACTACATACTACATACTACATGCGACATGCATAGTACTCCACGTTCACATTACATATACGGGTGATTGGTGATTGGTTCGTACTCGGAGCCGGGTGCACTGCACTGCATTAATATTCACGTAAACGTAAACCGCAAGTAGATAACGCGTAATTTCTGGTGCTGCGTATCCCCGTCTCGCGTCCCTCGACATCCCGTACCCCGTATCCTGAATTCCGTATCCAGTATCCCGAATTCTGTATCCCGAGTTCCGTATCCCCGTATCCCCGTTTTCCCTTCATCCCTTTCTCCTGAAGTCCGGAGTCCGGGGCTCACAAAGCTCAAACCATCCTGACGCGGGTCTACGTAGTAGCGCCTTACCTATCTACGCCGCCGTTGTCTAGCGTCCAGCGCCAGTGTCCAGTGGTCCTCAATATCAGGTCGTCAGGTCGTTGGAGGCGAATATTTGGATTCTAGGCAAAGGACGGACGTATCATGTCGTATCGCCCACGTTCGAGATCACAAATCAAAAGGGCTCAGCTGGGACAGGGGACTGGGGAAGATCGGTCCATATCATCGAGCGTCGAGCGTCCATCTCCACGTCCGGCGCCACGACCACGACGACCACGACGACTACGACGTTGAATGGATGCTGATTGCTGATTTCGATTGCTAATTTCCGGCTTTAATTATTTGCTGATCCCGAGGTCGAGCGTCGAGCGTCGGGCGGTCTGACAGGATGATAGACCGATAGACTGATAGACTGATAAACTGATAAACTAACCGACAGATGGACAGATGGAGTGTCCATCATGATCATCGGGTGTCGTACCGTTGGTCATTGGTCATTGGCGGAGGGGAGGCGGAGGCGGGGAGCAGAGAAAAGCAGAGCAGAGCAGAGGAAGAGACGCGCAGGCGCAGAACAGAGCAGAGCAGAGCAGAGCAGACGCAGACGACGCGTTCTGTCATTCAAATAAGCAGCAGCAAAGCAAAGCAGAGCGTACAAATAGCGATGGCAATCGACCGGCCGCCTCGAGGTCCGGACGTCCATGAGTGGACCCCGGATCGGAGGATCAGAGGAACAGTGAGGGCAGTGACGTATATACGTGGCGGTGCGAGCGTATTCGTATTCAAGCACTTGCGCTCTTGCTCTTGCTGTTCCTATTTTTTGCTATAGCCGTTGCCGTTACTGTTGCTATATTCCTGGTTGGATCGATGAACCATTGACGTTAACGATTGATGCTTAACGATTAATGCTTAATGATTGGATGTGGAACGTGGATGGAGCGTCTTCGAGCGAACCTGCGATTGGCCACTGCTATCAGGAGTATGGCGATTGGAGGAACCGGCTATTGGAGGAGGGAGGAACTGGGTGGGAGGGGAAGGCAGTGACGTAGCGTGCTTTCCATCCAGGGCAAATTTCTAGCTCTAGCTCTAGCTCAAACTCAAACTCTTGCTTAAACGCAAATTCAAACTCGGACTTTGTACTTTGGTTCGTATGGCGCTTTGACTCGTATGGCGCCGTGCTCGGAGGCTCGGAGGCTCGGAGTATTGGACGGTTGGATGGTCGCATGATTGCATGATTGGTTGACTGGAGTATTGGCTGATTGGAGTAGTCGATTGGGAGGTTGGACGATCGTCGAAAATGCGGGCTTGCCAACGTACGAGATGCCATTGGTGCGCGGGGCGGGCAGTGGGGGGGATGGGATGGTGAATGGTGAATATTAATGGTGAATGGTGAATGGTGAATGGTGCGTGCGTCGGAGAGGGATACATTTGGATGGGATGGGTGTGTATGGAATGGGATGGGGAATAGAGGATAGAGGATAGAGCTCAGGATAGAGCAGTGGGAGGGCAGTGACAAAGCGATGCGCGCTTGGAAGCGGAAGAGTTACACACCACCAGTTTCCAATCTTCACTCGGGGATCACTGTGAGGCAGTCTTCATAAGCACGGCGATCGAGCATTTGCGGTGCCCCTTGCGTCTGCGTCGGAGTGGAGTATTCAAATATTCATAACGCACAATGGATAACGCATAACGCATATTGCACAGTAGAACGTTGAAAAGTTGACGCGGTAGATGAACCGATGACTCACGAGTTACAAAGAAAAAGGCAGAAAGAACTGGCAGAGGGGAAAGGCAAAAAGAAGTGGCAGAGGGAAAGCGAAGGGCCGGGAGTGCTGTAGCGCCTGCGCGGAAAGAGCGATACCGATAACGCCCGGCGCGGTCTCGTCCATCTCGTCCAAGTTTCCCAAGCGTCTTGAGCGGTTCCCAGGCGTCCGTGTCGACTGGATGGCGGAGAGTCTGGGGGGTCTGGAGTCTGGAGAGAGTGCCCAGGTCCCGTGGATTCTAGACATCTAGACATGGAAAACAGCCTACCTTCTGAATCTTATGTTTTCTATATTCTATTTCTATTCTCCATGTGTTATACAATCCTGATTCCTAATAATGTTGTGTAATCTTGTGTAATCGTAATCTTGTGTAATGGGTGGGTACGTGGGTACGTGGGGACAGGAGTTGGAGCTCTTGTGAGTTGGGGCTCGTCTGGCTTGCCGCCCCAAAACATTGATGGAATTATGGAACGATGGAACGCAGGAGAAGGTCGATCACTAGTCACTGGTCACTAGGCTATGGGGATCGTATTAGTATTCGTACTCGTATATGGAAGGGAATTCAGAATACGGAATACACTATTGATTTGATGAGACCGGTGGCCGGGGAGGAGAACGGGTAAGAGAAAGGCCAGTGAGAATGTCAAGAGTGAGAGGGACAGCGTGGACGCGGACGCGTGTGGTGGACTGAATGGACGTCCGGCAAACAGTCACAGCAATCAGTAATAGTAATCGGGTTTGATTATAATTACAGATAACGATTATTACTGATCGATATCGAGCATTGGTTACATATTATGTAAATCGCCCTTGTACGCTTCTCTAAGGGAACAGTGGAAGGCGAAGGGAAAGGCAGGAGTTCGGGCCTTCGTTTGTGGGAGTGGGAGTGGTGGGATGGGAGAATGGGAGCGCAGCCGATAGGGATCTCACTTCTCTGACTAACACGATAAGGGAAATTAACGGATTTAGACCCCCCGATGGGATCTGCGAATCTGGGAAACATCTCAGTCACACACCCTGACTACAGACAAGAGCTGAGTCTGAGCTGAGAGATCGGATCGAATAGGCCGAACGATACAAGCCAAAGAAGTGCGGGTTTTTTTGTAGAGACTATAACTCGGACTCGCCTGCTGTTATCGCCCCCCCAAGCAGGATGCCTTATTCTACGCCGTCTCCCACCAGCACTCCTCTTCCTCCTACTTCTTCTAGTAGCAGTGGTGGTGCAAAGGCGATGAACATGAACATGAACACGAACACGAATGGCGCGGACAAAGGGCCTGGCGCATTCGCACCGCTGCCGTCCCTCCCCCGCCGCAACACATCCTCCAAACCCGCCTCAGCCACAAAACCCCGCGGCAAAGCGTCGCTCTTCCACATCCGCGGCGACGACGACTCCAATTCGGACTCGGACTCGAACAACGACCACGACGACGACGACGCCCGCCTTGGCCTCGATGCGTTCAACTACACCACCAACCTCCCCGCCGCCCCGCCCCCCAACCTCCCCTCCCGCGGCCTGCCTGCGCTCAAGCTCAACCCCAACACATCCTTCCCCGCACTCCAGCTCAGACTGAATACGGACGAGAAGCCGCCCCTCGTCATGCGCCCGCGCAATCACTACTCCCCTTTCAAGAACAACTCCCTCAGTAACATAAATTCCCTCAACACCAACACCTCTACCCCCTCTTTCAACAATACGAATCTGAGTGGCGGGGCAGTCCCGTTCCCGAGCTCGTCGCCCCTCTCCCCACAGCCGCCCTCGCAGCACATCGCATTCACCTCCACGCCCCCTGCTTCCTCCACACCATCCACCGCTCCCCAACAATCCCACCCCAGTGCACCAGCAGCACGCCCGCCCCTGCGCCCCGCCGTCGCCCGCACATCCTCCACCCCCATCTTCCTCTCCAACGGCAAACCCCTCAAATCCTCCCTCAAATCCTCCCTCCCCTTCGCCGTCAACCATCCCCACACCCTCTCCCTCTCCCTCTCCACCTCCTCCACCGCCGCCGCCTCCTCCGCATCATCATTGTTATCCGCCCCCAACCAATCCTCCTCCCTGAAATCCTCGTCCTCGTCCCCGAACGTGGCGGCGGCGACGGGCAAGACCGCGTACCCGAAGGAGAGCGTCATCCCGATGATCCCGTCGAACTACACGCGCGCGGTGCTCGGCATATACGCGCGGGGGCGCTCGGCGTCTGCTGCGTCTGCTGCGTCCACCCCCGGTGCCGCCGCCAACGCGCTGGGTGCGGAATCTGTGCAGCGGTCGGTGTCGGAGGGCGCGGGACACCAGCAGGAGCTGTCCGCGGAGAGCGTGAGCACGTCCGCGACGACGTCCTCGCCGCCCACGCCCACCACCGAGCACCCGCAACTACAACTACAACTGCAACCGCACCTCCGCTCCCTCTCCCTCTCCGCCCTGCACCCGTACTTCGCCCGCGCCAGCGAGCACTACGATATGGGCACGGGTATGGGTATGGGTGTGGATGATCTGGAGCATCTGCGCGACGGATTGGGATTGGGATTGGGGGAGTTGGAGGATCTGGAGAGCTTGGAGACGCTGGAGAGCCTGATGACGCCGAAGAATGTGCATTTTGCGGAGAACGACGGGCTGGCGAGCGTGCGGGTGTTCAACAGGAGCGGGCGCCCCAAGTCGCTGCTGCGCGGCGGGCGGCGGCATGCGCATGCGGAGCACGCCAACTCGAACACACAATCCAACACGCATTCCAACACGAACGCGAATAACGGATCCGGAGATGGAGATAGAGATGGAGGTAGAGATGGAGGTGCAGCCGGAAGCGATGGGGGAGGCCAAGGGGAGGGGGTGCTGAGCGGGGGCGAGACGGAGACGGAGACGGAGGGCGAGTCGTCGACGGGCTACTCGTCGTCTGCGTATGGGTCGTCTGCGTCGGGCTATGGGTACCGGGCGAGCGGGTACGGCGCGAGCGGGTGGTGGGGGAGTGCATCGAGTGCGTCTCATGAGCGCGGTGCGAGGGGTGTGGGTGGGGCGGGGAGACGCGCCTGGGGATGGGGGGATAGGCAGGGCGGGAACGGGCAGGGCCAAGGCCAAGGCCAGGGAGGGGAGTACCCCTTCCCCCGCGTGGACGCGCCGTCTAGTCAATCCTCTGCCAATACTGCGAACGCTGCCTTTTCTGCTGCTTCGTCTGCTTCGTCTGCTGGTCCTTCGACTGTTCAACCCCCTCAATCCTCACAATCCCAATCCCAATCCACACAATCGCAATCGCAATCCTCTGCGCAAACGACGGCGAACTCGGGATCGAACTCGGGATACGCATACACGATCGACGCGTCCGCGTCCTCGCCCATCCCGACGCCGGACCCGAACCCCGCGGGCAATGTGTTCATTGAGAGTATCGTTTTGGACGAGAGCGGGGGTTCAGGTAAAGGGAATGGAGAGGGCAATGGGGGTGAAGGCCCGGTTTTGTGTGGTACGTTCTCTTTCTTCCTTACTTCCTCTTACTTCCAACCTCCCCGCCTTCTCATTTCTCATTTCAAACCCTGCTTAAACATCCCAAACATCCCTCGCTTCAATGACTTTAAACCTTCGTCCACAAACCCACCGGGATGTCTCGCTCATTAACGTTTCTTTTTCTTTTTGGGGTGATTAGGGACGGTGCTCGTGCGCAACGTGACGTTCGAAAAGGCCGTCTTTGTGCGCTTCACGCTCGACGGGTGGGACACGACGAGCGAGGTCGCCGCGCGGTGGGTGTGCGGCGCGACACCTGGTCATGACGCTTCTGCGAACACAAACTCTGCTTTGCTAGGTACGTTTCTCCTTCATTAATTCTTTTCCCATCTCCTCTTACCCGTGGTGTTCTAACGCCCCATCTATTCGTGTGCAGGAACCCTCCTAGCGCGCTCGCCGCACTCCTCGTGGGACCGCTTCGCCTTCCGCATCTCGCTCCTCGCGTACTCCACGTCCCTGCACACGCGCTCCCTCGTTCTGGTGGCGCGCTATCTGACTGGAGGGGGTGTGGGAGGGGGCGAGTGGTGGGATAATAACGGCGGTGCGGATTATCGTGTTGCGTTTACGAAGGTGAGGGATGCGTCGAAGGAGGCGTTTGGTGTGCGGGGTGCCGGTGGTGAGACGCAGGGTATGGAAGCGAAGGCGAAGGCCTCTGGTGTGCGGGGCAGCGGGAGTCCGTGGTTGGGCCCGCTGAATGTGCCGCGCAGAGTTGTGGTCAGCGCCCCTGGTGCGTGCCTCCCCCATCCCGCTCACGCTCACGCTTTGTTGTTGGCTTTGGCTGTTTACTGAGTACTGAGTACTATCTATTGTAGCTGTTCCGTCGCGATCCCCGGCGACGCCCCCCGCCTCGAGCTCAGGCTCCTCATCAACAGCAGCACCCGCGACGGCGACTGCGACCGCGACCGCGACGGGGATGGTGTACTCGACGTCGTTGCCGACGTATACGACCGCGTCGTCGTTCACGTCCTCGCCGTCCGCTACCCCGACGGGAACTGGTGCCAGCGGGCACGTGGGCGCGATGCAGGGTAGTGGTATGGGTATGGGTATGGGTGGGATGGGTGAAAGGGGAATGGGTATGGGTGAAAGGGGAATGGGAGGAGCAAGAAGATCGGTGTACAGCGAGCAGGCGGCCCAGGTTACGCAGCAAAGGCTCGCGAAGTTTAGCCTGAGGAACTACGTCGCGCCGACTTCGCGCGTTGCCTCGTCGGCTTCTCCTTCGTCTTCTTTACAACCTGCTTCCACTCTATCTCTATCTGTGACTGGCGCAGCTGTGGGTGGAGAGAAGGAGAAGACGCCTGGAGTCACTCTCGTGACGACGCCCACTACTACGACTACGACTACAACAACCGCTGCAACTACAACTACCGCTACAGCCACACCTGCCCAGGCACTGCCAGCCGAGGAGAGGCGCCAGGCGCCGACGCCGCCCGATACGCCGCCGCGCACTGCGTCGCCGCTCCCGTACACTTCGAACCAAGCCGCCGCCTCCCCTTCGTCGCCTTCGTCGTCGTATCTGCCGTCGTCCCCGCGCTCGGGTATCACGATCAGCAGGACTTCGCCGCCTACCACACCGTCTAAACACGCTGGCGGTGTAGGCGGTGCGAGCACAGGTGGACAAGGTCAAGGTATGAGTGGAGGTGTATCAGCGATCCCGTTCCCGATGAAGAGATCGCCCGTCCCGAGCCCCGCGGGCAGCCGCACAGGGAGTCCTGTGCCCTCGCCCACTCTAACGTCCCCCTCGCTCAACCCGTCGCTCAACCCAACGGGCATGGGCATACCGACGCCGAAACCGAGCCCGTCGTCGTCACTCGCGAACATGTCGGATCTGTCGTCCTTGACGCATGGGAATGGTATGGGGGGCGTGGGCCTGTCGAGCTCGCCCCCGTTCAGCACGATGGGCATGGGGAGCTACTGGCCGTGGGCGGGTCCGCCGTCCACTGCGCGCCCGCCTCTCTCGCGGTCCACTGCCAATTCTAATAACAGCTCCAACTCCGCTACGCCGCGCTCGACGATGAAGGCGGCCCCTGCGAAATTGGGCGGTCTATCTCCTGTATCTTCGTCTCTGGCGTCATCGCTCGCGTCGTACCCCCAGCTCCAGATGCGCGTCAACACATCGCCGGGCATGGGTGCGGGTGTGGGCACGGCGAGCGACGACGAGGACGACGAGGAGCTCGTCACGCCGAACGATATGGGGCTGCACACCGCCCCGCGCGCCACCGGTGTCGGGAGGAGCAGCTCGCCGCCGAACGAGGATACGTTCAGCCTCTCGCATTCGAGCGGGGACGAGGGCCTCGCAACCCCCAAGCCATCCCATTCCGCCCTCTCCTCCCTCTCCCCCCTTTCGCCCTCCTCGCCCTTCCCTCCCACTACGACTACGACTACGGGTACGGGTACGGCTACGCCCCCGACCTCGCCGTCGTCCCCGTCGGCGCTTGCGGCGGCGAATGAGAACGGGGATATCAGGGGCGGGCTGAGCAGGATTTCGGGCGGGGGGAGCGACGATGAGCTGTACAAGGCGTTCGTGAGGCAGTGGTGCTTCGCTGCGGGACCTAGTGCGGTTGTTGGGTGAAGGGTGAGTGTTTACTTCCTTGAATGAATGAATGAATGAAGTTGGAGGTGGTTGTTCGCTTCCGCGTTCATACGCCCGATCTCCCTCCTGCTTCCCGACTCTCCGCGGGCTGTTACGTTCATTCTGTTATTTTTGTTATTCGGTCCCCTGTTTTTGATTGACTAACTGATCGCTTTGATTCGTAGATCCCTTCGTCCTCCGTACCCCCGCCTACCCCCGCCTGGCTTGATCGACGGTTGACGGGATGACGGCCTGACGGGATGTGTCACCGTCGGCGCCTCTATGAATCTCCCCACATTTTGCTTGATTTAATTTGATTGACTTGTTATCTTTGTTTCTTTGGACGATTGTTTCGTTTACGTATCTGCTCTTTCCCCCTCCCATCTGTGTACCATATATTCGCGTCTACGTCTGCCTGTATCTACAATAATCTCTCACCATCTCCTCATTTTCTCGTCATATCTTTCTCCATTTCCTGTTTCTTCTTTATCCCTCCACCTCTTCCTCCGTCCGCACTCTCGGCTCTCAGCACAAATGTACCACCAACACCACCGCCAACGCCTCGCTCGCTAATGCTGGATCGGATTGTACCACCACTTCACTCCTTGCTCCTCGAAAACGCTCACGACTCGAAAAACGCTAAACGCTACGAAAACGATAATACACGCCCCATTTATTATTATATCGCCTCTTCCCCCTCTCACCCCTCCCCCACCTCCTCATCCTCGTCTCTTCCCGACGTAACACTAACATACTCCGGGTACTCCAGCCGCCCAGACGCGGCCAGACGAGGACTCGACGCGCATAGTGCGCGTGACGTGGACAACATATATTTATACCCGAGACGCCTGGGTTTGGTTCCCTCTTGGACTCTGGAACCTGTCGAAGCACAAAACAATTCAATTGAATCCATTCAGCCCATTCAAATTTCAAACAGCATTGATGCATTATCACCCCACTCGTCATACCTACTCGCCCGCGTCATGCCCTCGTCATACCTCCCGAGTGCGAGAGCGTCGCATCCATTCATTCAGTTATGCAAAATAGGTTCCAAGTCCCCGTCTCCGCCAAGGCGAAGCGAGGCCGAGGGCCTGCATCACGTGTCACACCTATTGCTGTTGAAGGCATCGAAGGGATCAAACAGCGGTGGGTCGTGGGTCGAGGAACACCAACTCCATCAACGGAGACGAAGACGAAGACACCCCTGGCGTCGAAGAATGTTGTAGGACATTCGATGAAGTGGCTCGGCGTCTTCGCCTTCGCGCCTTCGCGCCTTCTCCAAATACATACTCTCACATGCGCGTCTTCGCGCGTTCCCATGTCTCAGTTCACCCATTCAATGTCTCGAGCGCCGTGGACCATACAGCCATACACGCATCTTCTTGAAAATCCCACCGACTAGTCGAACACTCTGGTCTTCCAAAATCTCGCAAAATCGTGCGTAGAGGCACGTAGTATGTATATACATGTTTATACACTCATCTATATTTCTTATCTTTTTCCGTTTCACCTATTCCCGTCTCCCATCTCATCAATTTCGCCTTTCCCATCCCAATCTACCTATTCCCATCCCCACCCCCAGGCCTCGTTCTCGTTCTCACTTGATATCAGTTCCTAGTCCTTATTCTGATTTACCACTCGACGTATGGCAACACATAGACAATCTCTTCGCAATCGATACCAATACCGATACCAGTTTCCAATACAATACAACGCACACTAGGCGCAATACACAATACACACAATACATACACACGCAATGCTTCCTATCACAGTTTACAATTTTGTAACTTCCAATCGCACGATCGCAGTCTGTTTGTTAGTGCAATGCAATTCTAGAACACCTCTATGAAGGTGACCAATGCGGAGGCATCTGAATCTTCTGATAGATCGTCGCTCGGCGAACGGTGACGAGAGACCGCTCGAGATCTCCCGTTTCTCATGACCCTCGCACGCAGGTAGGTGAACCTTGTGGCGCTCGGCCTGCCTGGGATCTGGGAGAGTCTGATACGTCTTGGGCCTTGGTCGACTGGTCTTCATTGACCGAGGCCACCCAAGAACACGATGCGAGGACAGTTGATTCGCCGGCAGTCAAATTGTAACCTACAAGTTACAACAGAGCTCCACAGCACAGCTCGAAGCACGCGAGATACCGAGACGCATCGCATAGGCGAACGAATAGATTGATTAATTGGAGGTAGGAAGTGGATTAACTGTGATTTATCGACGTCGACGTCGACAAGTCCTGAGATTTAACCAGATGATAGTCGAGGTTCAATGTGAACGACCTGAATTTAATTGGTGATGATAGCCTTATCGTTGACTCAGATATTCCGTGTACCACACCAGTACAGTATGGTCTGGTACCGAACTGCCGAGCTACGTGGATCGCGGGTACGATAACCAAGCGATGGACTCATCGACGTCGCGACCCGGGCTACGCGTGCGTAGGACCGGTTGACAAAGACTTTGTCTCACGTACATAGCTGGAAAAATCAACGAGAGTCAGCAGCAGTAAGCTATGCACGAAATAATTGTTTCCGAGATGCAGACATCAGCCTATCGGGCGGCCAGGTCACAGCCGCCGCCATATCCCCTTTGACGGTGCGATCGCGCGTAGCGAGGGAGCCCCGTGAAAATTAATTGGCTCGAGGTTCCAAGCCCCAAGGTCGCTAATTGTGGACAGAGTCTGGAGATCGTGAACCCGGGACCGGAAGTATAGCGCAGATCAGTTATCGTGGAAGGTACCATCTAGCATGAGACTTGCCTTGTGGGGCGATATGTCGCGAAATTTGGAATGCGTATTCCGCCACCAGTGTGGGTGTCTGAGTATTGGATACTCAAGGATACTCATGTGCTCCCCGAGGATCATCTGGCCTAATGTCAAGACATTCGTCCTTAACAGACACGGCTAAGGCCCAGCCTAGTGCGCCTCAAGGTTGAGGCAAATTGGTTATTTGCCTGACAAGCTTCTACATAGGAGAGTGCTCGTGTTCGTTGATTGACGGCATCTCCCAGACTTCCTGCACCATCATGGCGCATTCTCAGGGGTCTTGAGCGAGTCACGATACCGTTGTCCTCTTGACGGCGCAGATGATTGGAACCGTCGGCCCTCTAAATGACGAACAAAGGGGATTCGTGGGGTGGGACCTTACGCTGGAAGGGTTCGAAGAACGCGTGTTGTGGAGAGATTGCATGTTGCGCTATATTGGGATTGCGCGGCGCGTCTTGAGGAGAGTTGCTGGGCATGATGCAGATGCACGAGCACGCGTACGAAGACGAAGGGTTATCGATTATTGGTTATTGGTGGTTGATATCGGGTATTGATGGGAGTGCATGGACATGGACATGGACACGGCCGTGGACACGGATGCCGGTGCGGGTGCGAATAGGTCAGATAGAGTTGTTGATCAGTAGAGTGCTGGCTAGTAGAGTTGCTGTCCACGATGCTTGATGCTTGATCATGATGGATAATCGATACAATGCAATGGACCACGCGTAGGAAGAGTTTATCGTTGCAAGCGCTCAAGCTAGAGCTCGTGTCCGTCGGTTGCCTGCTGTATACTTTGCATTATAATCGACGAGTCCGAGAAGCTTGCAGTTGAAGGTTGATTAATTGACTGTGTGCCTCCGAAGCTGCTGTCCCCTTGTCCCTTGTTTGTAGTCCGTAGAATGCTGAGCTTGATGTGAAGCATTTCACCACAGCCTGTCGTTGAGTCATACGAATCTGCCCTTCCTGCGCCTTCTTTCAAGTTCGCGTACGCCTCCGCCGGCTCCACCTCGCCCCTCAGCCACCTCCTAAGAATCTTCGAGAACTTCAATCGCCGAGTGCTCCTCCACAAAGGCCAACTCCTCCGCCGACGGCGAGTCGCGAACATTCTAGCGTCGGCGACGCCAATTTCTGCGTCTCCACCTTAGAAAAACCAGGAGAAACTTCGCGTATGAGCTAATCATTTGTATGTGGAGTAGAGAAGGTTGATAAGATGGGGGTGGAGGCAGAAAGGGTGATAAGATGGGGAGAAGCTGGGCAAGAAGGACTAGTGACGAGTGGAGTGGGCGATGCGATGCGGCGCCTCCGCCTTCGATGGGTGTAATCACTCGAATGTTCGAGGGGGTCGAAGGGACCAGCGGTCTGATGGACGCGTGCGAGAAGGCTGCGAAGGCGTTGACAACGAGAAGAAGGGGGATATTGCGTGCCACGTGCGTTTCTCGAACGCCAATAATGCATACCCACCACGCAATGAGTACTGCATTGCATGCTTCGAGTGCGCCCGAGCCCCACCCCGATGATCAACGTCCGACGATTGGCACGCTACACGCTAGGCTGTGATTGGAGATCAGAAGCGTCGGACTATATCAATATTAACTGATAAAGCAAGAGTTAGTATTCGTACTGACCTGCGAAGCGGTCGTTGCCTTCTGTAGACGGTAAAGGCGGCTGTAAATAGACGTGTACAAAGGATCAACAACCTCTCTTTGCTTGTCCCGACTATTCATATACGAGAATTCGTGCATCGTGCGCAACGCCATTCTGTGCTGTGACAGGCACCTTCGTTCTTCAGCATGAGTTGGCGTTAACCCTTGCCGTTAAAGCGAGGAAAGTCTCCCAGTAAGGAGATACGAGCTTCACCCCACGGTATCACCACTCCGATTTACTTCCAGAATCCCCAGAATGATTAATGAGAAACTCGGACTCAGCCTGAGCTTGATTGAGCGAGAGCAAGTACGCTGTCGGGATCGATCACCTCGATCACCGGCGGCATAGTATACAGCTACTGATCGTAAGCTATACAAGCACGAATCCTATGGCGCGAAGTCGAAACTGATTGACACATCTTTAGTGATTGAACCGTGTCGCTATGAACAAGAGAGGATGAGCAAGCATCAAGTCGGAGTATAGTATACTTACACTAGATCCTGGCCACCCAGCACCTGCTCGGAAGGCTGAATCAAAGGGTTGACATTCTGAACGTCGGCGAAGGGACACGGGGAAAGAAAGGCTCACTGAATGTGGCGGGGAAGGCGGAAGGATCCAGACATTTGAACACCGAGAGTCCAATGATTGGATAGGTGAAGATAGCATGGAATGGAAGTCTGGGAACGACCCCGAATTCTACGCCGTCGGTTCTTTCGAGGCCGGTCTGTTCAGCTTGGTGACGAACGAAATCTTCTTGGTAAGACGCGTCAAAGGGAAACGAGGAATGGCCTCCGTCTTTGAACATAGCCATTGCGTTCAAATAATCAATCCTATCTGTTGCTATATTATTAGCACTCGTGCGCACCACATAGGGAAAGCGCGCACATGCCAAATCGGAGCCTGATGGGGTTCCGCTATTGCTTGCGGGATACTGCTTCACAGGTATGATCGAGGACGGCACCTTGACTGTCTTCGTGAGCTCGAAAAACGGGAGGACATCTGGTGCTCGTCCGGTTCCCGCATGGACCAAGATGATATAGATTTCGCCACCGTTTTTCTTGAAGTCCGGTTTGTCGGGCCTCGCACCTGTAGCGTATTTGTACACATCCGTACGCCATGTCAGAGTCTCCAGGTGGAGGCCTTTGACAGAAATCTGCTGATTGTCGAAGATGGTGATAGTTTCTCTGTATAGATGTCAGCCCGTTGATATGTCTCTATGTTTTTAGCTTACTTTTGGAAGAATGACGTTCCTACAGGTGGTGTAAGCCGATTCAAGTAGGTGTACGGAACTATATCGTTCGGAATAGGCTTGGTCTCGACACCGTCGGGAACTTCGGGTGTAGTGGTAGTATATTCGTGGGTGGGAGTAGCCATCTTCAAAAACAACCAGTTGAGGTTGAGAGTGAACCTTCTTCAGAAGAGATGTCGTAGATGATAACGATTATCATTGATCCTCACCATATTTATGGATCACGACCCTTGTCCTTCAAGCAAGTACTGGGTGCGAGCTGTACGAGTTACGCCAATTTACCATCTTAGATAGGTGAAAATCCAATGCTTCGGTTCCTCTGAGAGCCCGACCGTCTTGACGTCGTTCTGTTGATCTACCGAAATTGGCATCCAAACATCTGGTAGAAAGTACGATGTGTGGCAGTAGTAGCTGCGACCTCCGTGAAACATGTGGAGCAAATGTTCTATCAGGTCAAAGCCATGAACGTTGGTGATGAACGGAGAGACGAAGCGCCGGAGGCGATATTCTAGACAGGGGTGCATGACAGGGGACAGAAGACTAGTGCAGGGCCTTCGGTAATAGCTCACTTAACGGATGGAACGGCATCTTCTCTCGCAGCTCCTACTATGGCGTGGTTAAGTTTCAACTCACATAAGGGCAAACCTCCACTGGACCTCTACGATCACTGCATGCTGGCGACTACATCGACCCCAAAAGTTGATATCACACCGAAAACAGGTAAACTACGCGTGTGTGGATGGTGAACCCCTTTTCCGAGGTAATACTTGTACTCTTTTTGGCCACGACTAGAAGATACTTCAGGCACTCTCCGACTGGATGAAGTCGAGAGTCGGTGAACCAGCCTTGACACGAGGTACTGAACCGCACCCTGACATAGAATAACTGTTTCCGAGATCTAAGTGTGTAATCGATATCGAGGGAGAGACGTCTATTTGCCCGAGTCGACAGCGTGTGATCCACGAACCTCTGAGATCTGAGACTCCGATAGAAGTAGGAAGTATCATTTCGTAGGCACCGTCTGACGTGAGGCCTACCCTTTGAAGCGAAATGTATTGGTGAGTGCAGCGTGGGTTGAATATGACTAGCCGGTGGTCGATTCGTGAGGCAGCGCCAGGTAGCCCTGACTCCATACCTTGTGCTTGAAGATGATTGGAGGGGGAGATTGCTTTGGACAGACCATCATCGTAGTTAAAGAGGCGCAAAGGCGGGTATCCGTGTTACATTGACGGCCTTTTCCAAATCTCCCGTGAGATGGTAGGGCGGGCTAATAGGCAATCAGGGCTTTGAGCGTATCATGAAAGTTAGGGAATAGCGGGGTCTTGGGGTCTTCGAGGGTTCTACAGCGCGTGCTGTGGGGACACTCCGTGGGATTTCAATATAGCGAGTTGATCTAGTAGAGCTAGATGACATTCTCGCCAGAAAAACAGACAATGTGCTCACCAATATGGCGTTACTGATGTTCACGCTCATCAGTACCACGGAGGTGGGAATGCCTGTCTACTCTCCGAGTCCCGACGCTACGTTCCATGGAAGGTTAACTTTGTTTCGGGGGTGCCTCTTGTTCACCAAGGGGTCGGACACTTGGGGAAACGAAGGGATTACCAGGCGGTGATGGATAATAGCTTAACACAGGAAAGATTCTCGAATCTGATGTTCTTTTCCATCGCAGGGGTGCTAACTCGGAGGTGGCGATACGTCTATTCCAGTGTGTGCCACATGAATCACCATGGAGGCCCAATGTTTGCAGCGGAGGTTTGATCAGACTGGACCGTACAGATGATTAGACTGACGTACCTCAAACTACGAGTCGACGGTGTCGACAAGGCTACTGCCTCACATGTGGCCTTCGAACCTCATGCCGACGGCAAATAAGTAGACTTTCATCTCAGCTGATCGTTTTGTATTGAGATGTCAGTTCGAAGTCTTCATGAACCTTTTGCCTTGCCCAATCCGCAAAATCTAGTACGCTTACGGCGTCGGAGGAAGCCTCGGCGTGGAGTTTGTAGGCGATACGATCCAGAATTCGTCGAACTTACCAGAAAAACGGCAAACGGTTGCGAGAGGATGTGTCAAGGCCGGCATCGTGTACGTGTCCCTCCTGCTTGATAGTATAGCTGAGTCCTGTAGAATTTGAAACGGTTCGGCAAGGTCGATTCCTTGAGTGGGAAACGAAACACTGCAGAGGTCCAGGCAAGGTCGGCCAAAGACTGGGTAATTTGTTATTAATTCAGGTCGCGCAGTTGCGTCCAAAATTCGTCTTTAGATGCAAGATCACCGAGTATGGACCATTATGACGGTCAAAGGACAGTTATTGAGAGAGCACGTACTTCGAGTCAAGTGTGGTCACTATCGAAGTCGTTCGTCACATGGTAGGCGCTGGGATGCTCGTCTTCTTCACTAGCCATAACGCAACTTCCCTCCCATATTTCAACTCTGCCGAAATCCCATTGTTTTCCATTCCTTTGACGGGGCTTACGCATAATCTTTCGAGAAGGTACGGTGCTCCACAATGGATGTCCTGTCTTGAAATCCCTGGAACTCGTTTTACTTCTAGAATCAACACACAACTATGCCCATGTACAGTGTGCTCTGGCACACATTCCTAGAGTACGTACTTGGAATTCGCGATCGCTTCTGATTGACCTTTCAGCTGATGATCTAGCCGTTAGAAGGTGTGACCTTCGGTGCATGGTTCTTTGCAAGACGGTTGTCTTCCTGAAACACCACCAAGAGCCTTAACCAGACGGACAAATGGACTCCCCATGGACCTGCTGTTAGTGTCTATCAGTAGACGCGTATGGCAATGAGAGATTGATAATGGGTCTGACCGTATCCTAGCGTCGGCCGAAACATGTTGGCGCTCTCACCCAATCTCACCCCCACAAAGGCATGAGACTGATGGGTCTTCACCGGATGAGTCGAATGGTCATGCGCATGACCCGGTGTTTTCCACACCATTCATGGAAGTTTGTCAGAACCACCGAGCTTAAATTCCTCGCCGTACGTAACAAATCACATATCTTTTGGAAATGAATTGATGTCCTTGCGTTGGCAGTGTCAGGTGTGTCCTCGCAACCCTCCCCGATTAATGCGACATTCTATTCAGGCACAACATTACACTGGTGTAAAGCTCGGTTTCCAACAAATTGCCCTATCTTTAGTCTATCTTGACGATGTGGGTGACTTATTCATGAGCTATCGACAAACGCGAGGACTAATCTTGTTTTGTCAACAGCTCCATGTGCACAGATCAATAATGGATTCGCTTTCTCAGATCTTCCCCTGCTGGCGTAGACACCCCGCTCACTTGGTCTGTATTATTCCACCGAGCCCTCGCTCCTGCACGTTGCTTTCACGCAGCAGCCGCACGAAGCGATCACCACAGGATCAAAGTCCCTCACACGACTCCCGCCTGGACTAACGTAAAGGCCCTGGCGTACCCTGATGCACGGAAATTTCGAAACTGGGGAGTAAACAGGTACAACAGATCTGGTTCTGGGGTAAAATGAAATCGGCCAGGCAATTTGGGACTGAGAGTGGACTTCGATGGCTACCGCCTGATCGGTCGCTTCAATAGCGGTCTCAAGACCAGTCTAGTAATCAAGGCCGGACAGGTGACCTTGGTCAGGAGGACGCGATGGTTCAATAATAGGTGGTTTCAACGAACAAATGATTACAAATTGATTGACATCAGGGATACAGAGTAGACGAAAATGAAAGTCGAAAGTAAATCAAGGGCTAGTCCGAATTCTACTCCGTTGGTCATCTTGAAGGCCCAACGTCCGTATTACACTGTCGAAATCAAATGTGGTCAAACACGAATGCTAGAGAGAAACAAGGTGATCATGCGGCGAGGAAGTGCCTCTGGATCTGATGCTCGCTTCGAAGCATAGGGAAAATAAGGGGGAAACGTACATCCTGGTGTGTGGATCATTTGTCACACTGGCTTGCGCTAGCTCATCGCTGGGAACTCGGCAAGTCGGTCAAATAATGGCAACTCGAACATCTGACCAGGATACCATACCTGAGACGCTGTCTATGTGGAGCCATATCTATATGCCGAGGTCTATATGAGGCCTTGGGACGTGACTACGCACTCAAGGTATGGACGCAGACTGTCACGAGGTCTTTGACCAGCGGTGAGGAAGCAACACTTGGATATCAACATTTTCAATTGAATTAGTTACTCGAACCTTCGTCAACCCGCTTCCTATTCTCAGGTCTCAGGCAGGAGTAAGGGATGTACAGAAGGCTCGGCGTGGAGTTATCCACCCGATCATCGACTCGTCGAATGTTGGTCGAATGTACTGGAAATTCGAGAGGAAGGGTTCCGTCAAGTTCTCGAATGGGACACGACAACGAGAAGGGTCCCGTCCAGATGCGCGCAAGCGCGCCGGTACCAAAGGCTTCTACATCATCCCACAGCGGCGTGCAATTCTAACTATTCCATGCAAACTCTGTTAGAATAATACCTAACGTCAAACCCAAGAAATACGGGAGTCCACGGTAAGGTCTAGACGAGTAAGTGGTCTTTCCCAATGAAGGGAGTTTAATCCATAAGAAAATCTGCGCCCATGGCCCGAGATATATGTCGGCTACATCGTAGTGATGAGGCTGGGGACTACGACGTGATCATCGATCAAGCGCCGGTTCGGCGCCCCAACGCGATTCTTGACCAACAACTCCCACCATACTTCCTCGTAAGAGTCGTAACAATCGATGCAAAGCATTTCGTAGGATGAGACGAAGTGCATTACAGTGCATTCCATATAAGCTGGAACTTGCGTAGATCAACTCCTCGGTTCTGGGATTGAGTCTCAACTATGGTGTTTCGATTGGGCCGGATGAAGCACCCCACGCCCTGCAGTTGATATTTTAGCCTTGAGAGCGCCCTAGCTCCTCTGGTGGCGCCCTGGTGGTATGTATTCGAAATCCCTTTTCTTTTCTCTTTCTTCACAATCAGCCTACCGGCATCCTCTTTCGACGAACATCCTTTCTCAACAGACGTGTACGTACGCGGGGATTATCCCTTGCTTCCGCCGATCAGGATGTCCCAACCAGGAGTATTCATTCGTTGGAAATTAACTCGATCAATGGTGGCACCTTCCTGACTGCCCAGGTCACTCAGTCCATCGACGGCTAAGCAGTGTATGTCCAATTCTTTCTTCTTCAGGAGCTTCATTCACTCGCTTCATCATGACAGGCACCATCGCACTATCTATTGTGAGTCAACCGGTCTCGCTTAACTAAATAAGTCGTTTCGCTCTCCAGCTAACACTCGTCGCGATGATAGCCGTTAGGCGGTGTGAGCGCTTTGGCGTGCGTGAGTGAACCGCTGTATTTCCCAAACCCCAGCAACGGAACGAACGAACGGGCTTCCTATGGGCCTCCGGATTTGGCTCCTGTGAGTGTTGTATTTTAGTATTAGCAACATAATATTGATGTTGGGTCCGGGAACGTACTCCTTGCGAATAGAATGTTGGATCGCGTTCGGCCGAAGCACATTGATGGTCTACCCCCGCAGAGACCTGAGATTGATGGCTCTGTTACTTAGAAAGTTCGACGCTCTAGCACTCGATCGCCTTTCCACGTATGGAATATCATTCGCTAACCTTGTCGCCATACGTAACAACCGACACATACTTGTCTGATAATCAGCTCATTTCCTGAGACCCCTCGCCATCCTCCAATCATACCGCGCCGCAGAAAATACCAGTTTTTCAAGCACTATCGGCATCAAAAGCGCTGTTTCCTACGTACAGGAAATAGACATGTGCATGGTAGATCCATATGCCCTACCAGTGGGGGTTTATATCGACAGGCATTATTCGTAGGACGCCACAGAAGAAATAGTAGGGTTAGGACCCTAGTTTAGGCTGGTAGCATTGAATCTGAACGTCGATGGCACCACCAGAAGTGAAGCTTCGCGATGCTCGGCCAACTCGGATGATGTCGTTAGGTAAAGAGAAGCTTGTGGTCACGTTTTACATCGAAAAGACCACAAACAGCCCCATCGTGTCCTTCGACTTCGCTGCCAAACATCTTTATTCTTTGGAAGGTGTCATCGTGTCCTCTCCGCTGCTTCACACGCCCGGTAGTCTATCCTCCACTATCCATTGTCAGGGCCCTAGCGGCGAAGGTTGAATCAATAGGGGGATGCAAGCGTGCGCTTAAGCTGGAAGTACAATGGACGTAGTAGTCATTCATGATTGATAAGACAAGTTCCATTCCATCTGATCTTCCCCGATGAGTAGAGGCACATGTCTGATGAGGTTGGCGTTCAGGAATTCAGCTGGATGCAGTCCTTGTGGCCACCAGAGTCGTGTGTTAAGATACCTTTCGCTTGGGGCCATTATAGCGAAGCTCAAGCCCCTGGGTTGGCGAATGGGCGACCAACTTTGCCTGTTACTGGAATTGTGGTTGACCTGAGTACGGAATGAAAACGGGCCATACGCTATGTAGTGGAGCGCACCCACCCCAAAAGCGGTTGGACGGCGCAGTGTTCTCGCCAGTGATCATTTCTCGAAGCCCTTATACACGAAAGTAGTTAGCAGATGACTTGCATAAAAAGGAATACAGAGAAGTACTCACGGGCACGCTCGAGGGAAACACGTAATTACAGTCCATATGAAGAAAACGTGGCCAAGAAGGACGGACAGGCCCCAGGGACGGGGACCGGCGCATGACACCATTTACTTCCAGAATCCAAACTGTATTATACTCCTTTGAGGAAGTCGCAACGCTGACGCTTTGCACGACCAGTGCGGGGCGTCCTGGAAATAGTCCCGAGTCGAGGGACAGATATTCGGAGACAGCCATTTGATCGCGAGGGACTGCAGACGTGTGAGTAAAGTTGACTAGAGCGATAGGCAACTAAGATGGCGTACTAATCCAGTGCGGTTACGGCACCTCTGGAAAAAGACTGTCTTCGGTCCCTGCACGAGTCCTATGGACGTGCATGCTAACCTCCAGTAGACCCCTGCTTCATCAAATGGCATCTCGATAGGCGTTACGGGGAACACATCGTACCGCCTGAATACGGCTGAAATTATCCTGCGAAGCCGGTAATGAGGACCGATTTATAACGGAAGCATTTTAAGGGCGTACAGACGGACACTGTTGTAACGAATTCGAAACGCGGGAGCAGGGATATAGGACCGTCGCTACCGAGGCACGATCGTTTCCTGAAGCATCGAGATAAGTTGCCAGTTAGATCGGCGTAGCAAGAAGCTCGGGCGAGGGGCGTACCGTCTAGTTTATCAGTGGATAGTCCGCATGCGGGGATGCGGGGCATTGTCGCGTCTGACAATGTGGAGAAACAGACCGGAAGGCGATCCTTGCAAGGCCTTGGTGACAATGTCTTGTCGACAAGACACGAGGTCGTAAGCTACGTGTAAGTGCTATCCCACATTAACTCGTTCCGTCGTTCCGTCGCACCGAAGCCCCCTTCGTATCAGACTTCATCGACATATACATCTTGACAGATATCTGTAAAACACATGCTAGAATCATCATCAACGGATAACACCGTAGGAAAATCATACCGTGGAGAATAAGAGGCGGATAGTTCACTCTACTATTTTAGGCTGTATTTCGAAGAAGAGCCTTTTCGTGCAGGAGTGTACAGGAAAGGTGCATTAATCCGTTCCTAATGCGACTCTCAACGCATTCGACTCCTCCAGAGACTATGAGTGTCCTAATCCACTAGAGGGCTCCAATTTATGTGCTCACCAATATTAATGTAGTATACCGGCGGATTCACACCTTATCGACACTTCATCACTGTGGGATATCAGCTCTCTCTCAATGGCACCGAGCAACACCATATCTAGCGAGCAACTCAAGATAAGCACAATAGATAGGCGAATAAAGATCGAAACGCTAATAAATTACCATCGAGGGGTCATGCACTACAAGCAACGTCAGTGCCCGGTGATGAGACAGGGTGACTTTTTCGACGTACTTTCGTCAATTCTCGGGGGATCGAGCCTGATGTTTGCTATCGAAGCTTCGCTGGGCCCGCGGAGCACGCACAATGGCGGCCTAGGCATCGGGTACGAGTATGAGAGAAACGGCATCGACTAATAGGATTCTGTGGCGGTAGTGCCTTGATCCATTTCGGATGGTAGGCACGACGAGCGTGTACACGTCGGCCTGCCCCCATCCGGAAACAAACGGTGAAAGCATTATCACCATTGGTTATAAAGCACCGGGGACCGCATCGACATCAGAGAATTTCCCAACTGCCGCAAAAACGACCCGCTTGCCGTGATCTTCTGGCTTCGAATGCCTCAGAAGGCCAATGATGAGAATTGGGCGAAGATGTAGACTCGATTGATGTATCTGGTCGTCTGTGTGCCCTTGGACGGACGGTATGATCTTGATTCCCGGTGATCAGGTCCGGTGTCTAGCAACAACAGACAGTTAGGTCGATGGGAGAAGTAGTTGCGAAGCACTGGAGTGGGGGCATCCGCACGGGGGATTGCGGATGGGAGATTGGGTACGATTGGCACAGGCATGTCGTGGACATGAGCGTGGTGCCGGATTTGTCTGAGTGATGAGCCTTCGGGGTCTATGGAACCCTTCCATTGTGGATAGCTGGACCTGCGGACGGTAGACAGCATAACTTCAAGCTGCACCCTATGACGAGACAGTTCAGTGACCTTGATAACATAGCAAGAGAAGCACCCTCGCGGTCACTTCTAGGTACGTCGCCCGAAACGTTTAAGCACAGTCGTATTGCGGAAGACGCGACAATATTGCATGCAACGGTATGCTCCAATTCGCCTACCGTCCCTATTCTGTTTATAATCTCACCGGGACAAAAGAACGAACGATATACGGCGAAAGCAAGGGCTACATTCTAACGGGGCCGAGATACAACATGCCGTTATATTCTTTCTTTCCTGATAGCTACAAGCTGAGAAGGAGATGTTAGCTCGTGCCTACGACGAGGGGAAGACAACTCTGACCTCAGCACCCCCTCACTCCCCATCTACGCTACCGCGATCAAAATCTAACCGTTTACTTATCTAATCATCTAGATCCCTAAACAAGGGAGAATCATGGGGCGGCGGCGGCGTTTCGGTCTGCAGCATCGTCAGGAAGTCGTAAACGATATCTGCGGCGGCAATGCTCGTGATATCAGCTGCACGACGGCCGACGGCGTTCAGATAAACAACTCAGAGCATTCTTTACAAAAAGAGGCCCATAGTACTTACCGTGGTCGTATGCTGGCGCGACCTCGACTATATCTGCGCCTCTGCAAGTGTAGAATGACATCGGAGTATAAGCGAGAGAGAGAGAGAGAGAATGGTGATGGTAGAATGGTGGTTGAATGGATACGCACACGAAGTTAAGCCCCGAAAGCCCGCGTAGTATGCGCTTGACTTCGCGTGTAGTCCACCCTCCGGCCTCGGGCGTACCAGCTGTTCATTGCAACGTTAACATCAGAGACGGGTCGAGGATACGTGCCACAGGCGCGAACGTACTTGCAGGGGCAAGCCCGGGGTCTACATATCATTAGACGTTAGATCATAAAGGCCAAACTCATCGCGCAGGACACGTTGTGTACTCACCAACGACGTCAATATCCAGGCTAAAAGCAAAACAGAATCAATGGGAGTTAATCAGCAGGTAGCTTCTGGAATTACTGATGTTAATGCACACCTTAGATAAACAGGACTAGACCCAATGCGAGTCCGGATGGCTTTAATGACTTTGTTGATCCCATAGTCGTCTATGTCGTCCGTGCTGACGATCTGGAACCCTACTGTATCGTCGTGCTCGACGTCACCTATGTCCTGAGATGTTCCAACAGTGAGGAATAAGCACGATAAGGTACAATCATGCTACGAATATGACGAGCGTACAGCCATCTTACACCGAATACCAGCGTGCACACTCGTATTCCGAATGAGGTGCTCTTCAGCGGCAACAGCGAAGAACGAGCCGTGCGTGATGCGCTCCTGGGCGGTCGTGCCGCGTGGAGCCCAAGTATCTGATTATTGGTAAGTAACGGCGGATAGTATGTATAAGTGAGGAAAGGTCGGGGATGCGCACGTACCTAGATGCGCGTCGAAATGGATTACCTGGTAGGCGTTCAAACGTTCACGGTGAGCATTCTGCGACATACACAGAGAGAGGAACGTGAACCCACTGATACGGGGCCGTATACTTTGTTCAACGATCGTAGAATAGGGAGGACCTGGAAGCTAGTCAAATCGAAGTCCGAGCAAGGCGGAAGAATAGCTTACGATAGTATGATCCCCTCCCAGTGTAATGATTCGCGGGTGTTCCTTGTCATCGTTCGCAAGACGCGCCGTGTATGCCTTCCTCTCCCGTCCGGCGACGCCTCCACTAACCGGTCTCATCAACAACGTCGAATACGCCGCCTCCATCTGATCAATAGCTTTCGCATTGTCGTATCCACTCAATGGTACCTTCGGTCAGAATCAACGGGGTGTCACTGATATGAGAAAATGTACACGTACATCACCGCAATCCATCATTGTCGCGCCGAGGTCGTACGGGCTAGTTCCCCAAGTAACAGTGTACCCTCTCTCGCTCTGCCTCCTCGACCCGTGCCGGATCCCCGCAGGCCCGAAACGCGCTCCTGGGCGGTAAGAAGTAGTTGTGTCGAACGGGAACCCGAGTATTGCGATATCAAATTTATTGGAGGCATCCTGCAAGCACCGCGCGTATGGAAGATGCGAGAAGCTGAGTGGACCAGTGAACCCTAGATCGTGCTGTAACCCGTACTTGCTGGTCCATGGTTCTTTTGATATGTCGATGGGATCTTGCACTGAGGTGAAAGCGGCTTGCTCTGTCGTCTGGTGGGCGTATACGAGGCTGAGGAGCAACGTGTATAGCGGAATAATTGGCTTCATGATAGCGTACGCGACATTCTGGCCAATTGAGTTCCCCGTTTATAAGACTGGCAGCATGGCTAGGCTATGATTATCTCCACTTTCATAGGGCGATAAGGAGCAAGGCCGCACGAGGTCAAATTGATGGCACCCTCGTAAGCAAGTGGGAATATTTCACCCACTCGTCCATAGACGCGTCGTCCGAGCTCACAAGCGCGTAGATGTCGACGTTATTGTGGCTGTTAGTATGGAAGGTCGTGGTTGTGTGAAAACTGAATTCCTGCAAACTAAAACGACGACGACGACGCCGCGCCTTCATCGTTCCTCTCGCCTCTCGAGCCCCGAAGCTGAAGGGAAGGCCAGTGCAGCTATGTAACATGGCCCGGGACAACTTTAAGAATAGTACGACCCAGACTGTACTCGACTCGTTACCTAAAGTTTCTTCGTATAAACTTACGATTTGGCCTCCGGACTACGCAAGATCTATGAGAACATCCACATTGAGTGTTTGAACACTGGCAAATTGGGGCCTGGACAGAGATACCAAATGTACTGTGGGTGTATCGACTATGAACATGTGCGTTGTATAAATATTAGTATGCGAAGGACAAACACTTACAGGGGATACCAACACTGTTGATACAGCCCTCAATTCTATCCGAAATGTGCAAAACCAAGACGTTCCGAATCCCGCGTCGAAATCTGGCAATCATTGGTGAAAACCACTTCAATTGGCGGCTCTCGTCTCGATTAATCGAGTACATGACTTGGGCGCGGTGGAGGGCCGGCTTGCACCATCGAGTATCATACCCTCGAAGAGATGCTGGTTTACCGGCCTAGCTTGCGCCCTGTGGCTTCTTCGCGACTCGTTTCGACATCAGCATCGCTTTGATGTGAAGAATATTAACACAGAAGAGTCAAAACGCGTGAGTGTTATCGGACTGACGAACTTTTAGCGCGCAGCCGATTCAACTTCTACGACTTTCAACAATCACAGCTGCCTCCAAAATCATCATATTACGGCGAGGAAGCTTTCTATAATGACCTTAATTCCGTCTGAAGAACAACTCCAAGACCTCTACGACAGCAAACCCGACGCGCATCTCGCTCAGCCTCCCGCCCTTCGCTAGCAGCACAACGTAGACTGTACCCAGACCAAAGGACTACCTCCAGAGATATGGTCGATGATATTCAGGATCCTGGAGTACGAATTCAGAGGTGCAACGTACTCCTGCCTGCGGTGGTACGCGGTCACGCACGTCTGTCGCGCCTGGCGCAACATCGCATTGAACGACGCCTTATTGTAGACGGATTTTGTTGACCCGCCTCCCAAAGCGGCCCGAGAACTCTTCACAAGCACAAGATCTAAGGACGCGCCACTGAACCTACCGCTTGGCACTATTCTCGAGCTAGCAGACAACCTTAGTTTCATTTGAGATCATGTAGTCGAACACCCCGAGCGAATCAGAAGGTTGCAGATTAGTGGGGATACACCGTTCGTAAATCTCCCCACCAAACCTGCCCCCCGCTTGAAATCGCACTTTGCTGGCGCCGGCGTAGAGTTCCCTCCAGATCTTCTTGGCGGGGCTGCTCCCCAGCTGAAGTCAGTGACTTGCCACAGGAGTTTGCCACTCGAAGCGAGTTGGCTCACAAATCTCACGAGCCTACAGTGTATGAAGACATGGAGATCATACTTCCAGCTCTGGAGAATATGTCATTGTTACAGCATCTGGACCTCTTCCCCCCATCCGGCGTGGACACAGCGCTCTGCAGACGTTCTACGCCAGTCCACCTTCGTCATCTACGCAACATCACCGTACACTTTAACTTCATGATAGAGATACTCGCATCATTCAAACATCTCCGTGTAGACGACATAGAGAAGACGGAAACATCGCGGCTCAGTAGCTCTTTCGTTGACCCCGCAGTGATCGAAACTCTGTGCCAGTTCTTCGCGACGTGCTACAAAGGGGGGGATTTACACAGCTGGCTGCAGGATGGAAACTTTCTGTCACTGCACCGGTCCCTCGCCGGGGTGAACACGCCCACTTTGATCTTCAGAGGATATGGGCCCAAAAGGTTTGCTCCCTTCAAAAACCTTTCCCCCGCAATATGCCTCGCCTCCTCACAGTACGGGTAACCGCCGGGTCACGGCGCCTCAGATTTCCTGAATGTGATATCATCCGAGAGCTTCGAATTGTCTCCGGATGCTCACCGCCTGTTGCCCTCAAGCTTCCAGAGATTGGCATCCTCGTCAGTCCCCCTTCCCCATTCCTTCGGCGCCTTCATCTCGAACGTTTCCGTTTCGAGCCCAAGGCGAAGCGCATCTCTCTACTAAAGCGTTGGATTGCTAGGCGACACTCAAAGGTAGAACTTATCCTGCAAAACTGCGGTCTGTCGGCGCAGGATATCGAGCCGCTCCGGGAAGTGGCCCACGTCGTAACGTTGTAGACGTCTCCATCACAATAGCCTTGCTTTTACTTCGTGTCTTGCTATTGTTGACTGTAAAACTAAATACACAATACTGCGTCGATTGGAATGAGTATACGGCGGGTCCGTATCGTCAAGCACACAGCTCAAAAGAACCGGCTCGCTGAGCGGAAGTGGAGAGTCGAAGTCGTCCTCTACTGCTGCACAACTTCGCTGGCCGCTATCCGGTCTTTGAAGGAGGTGACCGTTGTAATTCGGTCTCGAACATGATCGTACGGTTACGTTCAAGTCCCTTCCTTCAGGCCCTGTTGCTGTACCATTAAGTGGTGTATAGTCATGCGCGAGCATCTCAATAAGTTGCCTTTGTCAAGATTTCGATACCAACTTCGCTCCATGTTGCCAGTACGTAGTAACACAATACTTGACCTTCCATCTTTCACCGCACCGCGAACTCCATTCCTATACTTCACCATCTTCTACTATGTACTCGTAACAAGTCATACACAATTCATCAGGACCCACAACGGAACAATAACTGATTAGTAAGAAAGTAAGCACGCAACGACGCAACTAGTCAACCTCATGCAAGCTCTTCACCGTCTGCAGACTGTGTCTCAACATCTGCAGCCGCTCCTCGACAGCATCCAGTGTCCGCTCAATAGTCTTTATCTCCTCTCCGTACGACGTCGCGCCCGCCCCGGCTTGAGGCACTACCAGCGGGGGTAGAGTTTGTGGAGGTAGCGGGTCTCGCGGTGCGACGACTCCCACCGGCCCCTTCGCCGCGGCCAACTCCTCCCACAGCGCAGTGACCACCCCCTGAACCCACTTCTCCCGCTCCAGCGTCCGCTTCGCCTCCTTCACCCGCCCCTCGTCCTCCTTCTTCCCCATCATCGTCAGCGTCCACAGGTTACTCAGCACCAGCCCAACAATGATAAAAATCAAAATCGTCGTGCTCGAGGACTGCTCCCACGCGTCCCTGATCAGCTCGAGCGCGCCGAACGTCGAGCGCTTCGCCACGCCAAAGGCGCCGTCGAACGTGTCGTATGCCCACTGGAAGGCGCGCTGGTTGCGTTCGTGCTCCCTCGTTTTGCGCGCTTCTTCGGTGCTCAGTGGGGGACTGCTCGCGGTGGTGGGGGAGGTGACGGCATCGGGCTGCGGGGTGATGGCAGCAACGTCGATGCCCGCGGGCAAGAATTCGGATTGATGCTCTTGGATGTATGCCCGCATGGCGCGATCCAGGTCGGAATGGTACACCTTTTGGCCTTCGATGGCCGACCTCTCGATGATACCTTGCCCCGAATCAACACAGCGAACAACAACGAAATACACGACACCTCCTACCTTTGATGAAACTCCTCCCGGTCCACTCAACCTGCGTGGTAACCACAACCTTCGTCGACACCGCACTCGCCCACATGATGCAGGTCTTCGTCTTCACGGAAAACACGCCGCCGCTGGGGACGTCGGGCGTCCGCGTCGTCGTCAGCATCGTGACATAGTCTTCGAAATCACAATACGTCGTCTCGTCCCGTATTTCGCATTTTGTCTGCCTGGGGCCAACGGTGCCGTTCAGCGGTTTGATATAGGACATGTTCCGGGCAAGCAGCGTAGAACCGGGGGTGATCGGTGTCCAGTCCGATATCTGGACGTCTAGCAACGGTGCGCGATGAGTGAGTGGGCGACCGAAACGAGGATGGATGCACACCACACACCTATCAATTTCTGGTCCACCCTCATGAAATCCTTGATGAAGCCACTCGCAAACATCAAGTTGTGTATCCGATCCGGTGTGCCAGGGATGATCGTCTCCAATGCAAGCTCGCTATAATGCGTCCCTTCCTTCCCGCACGAACATTGCGTCACCTTCTGCGCCAGAGCTTTGGCCGGGCCGGAGCTCGCTGTAACAAGACCCTCGGTGCTCTCTACTCCCACCCCCTCGATAGAAGGCGCAGACAACATGCTGCCCGTATCCTCCGGTTTCGCCAGCCTCCATATGTTGAATATCACGTCGAATGTGGTGTCACGGGAAAGGAACGATGAGAAGGTATATTTTGCTTGTCGAGTGGATATTTGGATAGCATTGGGTATCACGAACGCGGTCATCTTCTTCTCCAGGGTGGTTATTTCGTATATTGGGATTGAAAGCTACGGAGGGAACATTAGTGTGCAGGGGAAGGGGAGGAAGTAGGCGCATACATCTGTTATCCAGCCAAAGATATTGGCGTGGAAGCATATATGGTTCTCGGAAATGTACAGTCGGCCTTGTATTAGTATCTCGCGTTGTAAAGCACAGCCGTAGTCTAAAGCGAGTTAGAGCGCGGCCGCGTATAAGGCGAAGAGACGCACCTTCGATGAGATAATCGCCATATGGTATACTCGAGAACAGCTCGTGGAAGTCAGCGTTGCGCTTGTTACTTGCAACGGCGAACCCAGTGACTGGTATATCATCCTCTCCAATGTCTAGGTTGTCGATGCCATCCTCCGAATCCGAGTCCTCGTCGGAGGAATCCTCTCCAAGCCCCGAATAGTCTGCCCTCTCGTCCCCATATGCATCCGAGTTGTGCTCGCTGTTCACCGACAACGATGGCCGCCGTGTCGTATTTGGATTGCTTCCCGCAGAACGCCTCGACCTGTGCGTCTTGGCTGATCGAGGAGAAAGGTCCGCTGACGACAACCGTGTATGTGCTGTCAACGGTGGCGAGCCAGGCAACGACGACTTGCGTGACGTGGGAGGCGAGTTCGTCTTCGTCGCACCCAGCGTCAACGTAGGCGGCGTGAGCTGTGCGTAGTGGGGGGCAGACATTCCTGGATTTGCCATTGCGAGACCTGATGCTGCGATGGCACTAGCGAGACCAGTTGGCTTGCGAGAATTAGATCGACCCCACGCGCGCTTGTTTGCGACAGGCTTCTGAATCTGGCTTCGGTTTGGCTCAACTGATTCCACTCCCGGAGGAGCCGTGGCACTTCGAGCCAGCGCACTAGCAACGTCGACGTCTGGCAGTTTGAAGTCTTTCGGAGACTCGACGATGGGAGACATGACTATGCCGCCGTTTGTCACCGAGTTTTCGTCGTTCGCAGCATTCGACTCTGCAGCCTCCGCAGGCGTTGTCGTCGCTCGTTGGTGGTTGGTTTGGATGGGAGGAGGCAGCTGGGTCAGCGACCTGTCGGATTTCTGACGACGCATCTCTGGAAGTGGGAGGTCGGGAACGGGTTCTGGAGGCTGGCTGTTGAATAGTTTGCGAAGACTGTGACTCGAGGACGACCCTTTGAGCGATTTAGCGGCGGACGTAATGGTTGTTTGCTCGGAAATGGAGGGACGGTTCAAAGTAGGCGTAGGAAGATCATCGTAAGTGGAATTCTTGGCGTCGGGGGTTTCCGCAGTCTGAAACTGATTCAGGCTGTGTTTCGAGGCGTTTGCTTTTGGCAGGCTGGAGACGTCGCTGGTGTGGGGGGAAGGGGGGACGATGGTGACATTGGGATTTGTGCTGCCCGAGTCGGATGTGAGTACACTTGCAGACGCCGTGCTAAATGTTGACGGTGTATTCGAGAAGCTGGCGTCGGTTGCGGAAGAATTGAGCCTGCGCCTGGACGGAGATGGCGACGGTGACTTTCTTCGACCTTGGTCACCGGAGGAGCGTTCACGCTGGTGGCCTGCAGGTGACGAAGCCTTGACGAGTTTGGCGAAGAAACCGGGCGGCATGAAATGTGATCGTGATCGAGGTTAAGTCGTCTGCACAAGATAAGTTTATTCCCGGCGTCGAGTCCCGCTCGAGCTCGTTTTCAAAGCAAGATCTCAGAAAGCGCACTCTGAAGCCCTAATTCCAATTGACCTCAAACTTTGTCGCACTAAGCAGCGAAGGTACCCTCGTAGTCGTAAGTCGTATCGCAAGCTCGCCGATGAGCTGGACGGGTCGTGTGAAGAGCTGGTCGCTGTGAAATGGTTGCCGTAGGGCTGTTGACAACGAGGACGAGTGCGACGCGCGGCGCGGCGCGGCGCCAAGTTGTGAGAAAGCGCTCGTGATGCGGAAGCTTTTCTCTTTGTGAAACGCTTTGCAGGGTACTCTTTCTCGAGCCCAACGGTAAGTAGAATCCGAAGGACATAAATCACTTTCTTGACATCCGCTACCCTCACGGCAGGTGGTGATATATGATACAAGATGCGGGACCGAACCATCCTCAGCCCTCAGGATCAACGCCGTACCTACACAGTATTCTATATTTAGTTTTACAGTTAACAACAGCGAGACACGAAGTAAAAGCAAGGCTATCGTGATGCAGACGTCTACAACGTAACGACGTGGGCCACTTCCCGGGGCGGCTCGATATCCTGCTCCGACAGACCACAGTTTTGCAGAATGAGTTCTACCTTTGAGTGTCGCCTAGCAATCCAACGCTTCAGTCCTACAGTAGAAAGATGCACTTCTCCTTGGGCTGGGCACTGAAGAGAACAGGGTATGAGTAGGGGGAGACAACTCGAAGCTCTTGGATAGCGTCGCATTCAGGGAACCTGGCTTCCCATGGCCCAGATGATACGTGGGCGCTGAGAAGGCGAGGCGTATTGGGCGAAAGGAGACTCTCGAAGGGAGCAAAGTCTTTGGGCCCATATCCTCTGAAGACCAAAGTGGGCGTGTTTAACCCGGCGAGGGACCGGTGCAATGACAGAAAATTTCCATCCTGCAGTTAGCTGTGTAAATCCTCCCCTTTGTAGCACGTCGCGAAGAAGTGGCACACAGTTTCGACCATTGCGGGAGGCTCAGCGAGATGCGCGTCGGGTTTGCTGTCGTAGAGGCCTTGGAGTTGTTCTTCAGACGGAATTGAGCTCATTATAGAAAGCTTCCTCGCCGTAACACGATGACTTTGGAGGCAGTTGTGATAGAAGTTGCATCGTCTTCAGCGCTAAAGGTTCATCAGTTCGACAACACTCATTCGTTTTGACTCTTCTGGTGTAAATTCTTTACATCCAAGCGATGCTGATGTCGAAACGAGTCGCGAAGAAGCCACAGGCCGATAAAGCAGCATTTCTTCGAGAGTATGATACTCGATGGTGCAAGCCTACCCTCCACCGCGCCCAAGTCGTGTACTCCACAATCGAGTATGGCTGCAGCTGATGATCTGAGGGTACTGATGTCGATTTTCTACGAAATACGGACTCCAAAGGCGCGTCGAATTCAAGGTGTGTAGGCCCAATACATCCTCCTGAGCCCTTGATGCCGAACTCAAAGCTCTGGTCTATACATAGACGTCGGGAAAAGAACTACCGGGCTGGTTATCGTTTCAGATGCCATATGTCTGTCTTCGACTTACAATCAATCGCTTGGCAAAGAATTCGGACATTTCGCTGACGCTTTAATGTCGATATGGGCGCGCCGGGTTTGTGCACTACTTGCGTCCCATACACCCGCCCAGTACCTACCCGGATTTCGCAATTAACGTTATCTCGTCCTAGGCACACTGATGGTCTCTTCAGCGTTGACTGGCTGCTGGCGACATATTTGTTGCTATCCATAGAAGTATCATCACCATCATCATCAATGCAGTTAGCAACCATAGTGCAATGAAGTGAACTCCCTGCCACTGCCGTGTCAGTCTGGCCCATCCACCACGGTTCAAGACGACATGGAAACTTTGATTCGGCCAATAAGTGTCGTGCCACCCTCGCCGCCGCCGCTCACCTATCAACGCAGTTGGGCGGCTGATGCAAAATATGCCAAGTGAAAACTATGCCGTGCCCTACTACTGCCTGTGAGGTGAGCATCAGCAATTTACCTCCCCGTTCAGTAGAGTGAACGATTTCCGTCAGACACCGGCATCGTTTGGCGCAATGATTTCCGGATATTCTTCCTCTTGGCATCAAATGTCATCCGCAGATTTCGCACACTGGTACTTAGAAATGCTGGCGGTCACTTCCGCCTTTGTCTCGATGAAGAGCATGGTCAAGAGGATGCGATATTCAACCCATGCTCAATCGCACCTAAGTCAATTCTGGCTAGCTCTACTAATCTACGAAATATTTCAGTGCGTTGTATGAGAGGCCAGCCGCAATATTCTCTCGTAAGTTGGCGAACGTTCGAACCTTGTTCAAGTTCACCCGTATACTGATTGATCCGTCAAGAAAGGAGCTTCTTTGATACGCTACGCATGGGTCACATCTAGTCGTCAAGGACGCTCGGTATGTGAAGGCGGGTGTCAGAGCCGTCGAATTATATTCCGCCTTTGCGCCCAATAGCCAGGCCTCGAGGTACCCCATTTCTCAGGAGTAGGCGCGCCGCTGAGTTGCACAGCTGGAACTGTCAGCCTCAGACACAGCGTGCATAGCTGTCTGCCTCCGGCTCGCCGATGTATCCCATTCAATGGATCTCCTCACAATGACCTCTGCTCGGACGTGAGTGATATAAAGTGCACCACTCGACGGCTGAATATTCCTCACTTCACTTCGTTCTTCTTCTCCTTCTTCACTTACACCTTCTTTACCCTTGCTTGGCCAGGTTGCCCACTTCGTTCTTTCACACTTGAACTCTTATTCCTTTCAGGGTAACCCTTATTCGCGCCACTAGCAGGTGAGCATCTACTTCCTGGAACTTTGACATGTGGCTAATGACTGCAATCAGTCCTCCGTCCTTTTACAAGTTTCAATTATCATCATGTTCGCCAAGATTGCTATTACCCTCGCTGCTCTCGTTGCCGGAGTGATGTCCACTCCAGTCCAATACGGCAGTGGCTCGGCCCTCGGTTAGTCCTCTTACTTGTCCGATAATGTTTGAATAACCTCTGATGATAACCATTGATACATTAGTATCCCGTGGCGGACACGCAATCTCTTTCAACAACTGGGGAGGCCACAAGTCTTTGAACCACTTCGACAACTTCTACGGCGCCGACAACTTTGACGCCTCTGTCCACATCAACCAGGTTGTTGAGCAGAAGGAAGTCGTCGTCTGCCACACCCAGGCTATCGAGATCATCCAACAACGTCTTGTTGTCCTCCAGGAAATGGCCAAGCGGTAAGCCATCTTCCCTCTTCAGCCCCGCTTGCCTACTTACAGTCGATCCATCGCAGCATCATCACCGAGCAAGTCTGCGAAGTCGAGACCCAAACCATCGTCTTCCAGCAATTCCACGCGAGCTTCAACAACTTCGACCACGATCTCCGCCGCATCTCCGGTCACCAGGTCGGCTATGACTCGAGGATCGCCAACCACTTCAGCGACATCGTCGGCCACGACGGCTCCCTCAGCTCGCACGACTTCGGGTTCTCTGGCCGTGATGTTGGATCCCACACCGTTGTTGTTGGCGGCCACAACTGGGATGACTCCCGCTCCCCCCGCAGCGTCGGGCTTGCCTACAGCGCCGCCAGGAGCGCTATCAGCTTCTAAAGGGTGAGTGCGACCTGATTACACCATCCGTGATGTAGCGGCTGACAACAACTCCTACCTTAGGTTACATCCTGCAGTGATGTGGCTCTTGTCGTAAGACGATAGCGATCAAGGCTGCGATACAATCTTTCCTTTGTTTTGATGATTTAATTGTCACGAGGACACTATACCATAGAGCACGAGTATTGTACAGCCTGGAGGGTAATGTTGTTGATCAATAATAATATTGGGCCCTGGCCTTTAGCCACAAAACAGAATTCGGAATGAGTGCATCCTTGTTGGAAAGTCCAACGTCGGTTATAATAGGACAACAATCTAACGCATACACTCGTAGCAAATATGAAGGTACACAGATATATAATCCTCGTTCAAAGTCCCAACTACAGCCCTCCTCCACCAAGAATATACTCGATAGCAGAGTGCACGTTACCGCCCGTAGCCAGGAGAGCCCGGACATTCTGAGAGGCGTTTAGGAATCCCATATCTTGCAGTTGCTAACAGCTACTGTCAGTCTAGATAGTAAAGGTGAGAACGCAGTTCGTACCTGGAGTTGAACTTGGAATCTTTCTTCTGGTGGCCGTGCGTCAGCTGGCGCTGGCGGAGCACCCCCGAGACCCCCGAGACCTCCCCCGAACCCTCCCCCAAGACCTCCACCAAGACCACCGAACGGACCACCACCACCCGCAAGGATTTGCTGCATGAGGGCGGGATTGAACGGCGGAAGCCCAGCACCAGCCCCAGTCGCACCAGCCCCGGCTCCTGCGCCGGCTCCAGTGAACATATTAAACGGCGTTGGTGCCGACCCAGCAGTAGAGTCCGTGGCTTGAGTGGCACCGGGACTTGTTGCGCCAGTGTTCGGGACACCAGGCGCGGGGAATCCGCCAGCGCCACCTAACTGTCCGAACGGGTTGCCTAGGGGCCCACCCATGGCTGCCCCACCCATACCGCCTAAACCGCCGCCGCCTTCGAGTATGGATGCCATTTGAAGCATATTGCGCATCTGTTCGGGGCTGGAGCTATAGTAATCGTGCGTGTCAACAAAATTCATATAATATGTTTACGAAGAGGGCTAACAGTAGTTGTCTGAACCGCTCGCTTTGGAAGACTTCTCGTACTTGCGGGCCCATCGCAGCAAGCTGGGGGTTGGAAGCAATGATCTGGTCGATGACTTGTGGGTTAGACATAACACCAGCCATGTGCTGCATGAACTCAGGCGAGTTCATCATAGTTTGCATCTATGGTTCATGATTAGTGGTGGGAGAATAAGGACCGACGGTGACGCACCATGTTCGGGTCATTTGGGTTAAGACCCATGTCCGCAAACGGATTCAGCCCTGCCATTGCGCCGTATCCCATATGACTGTTCAATTGTGTGAGTGGATCGCGAGGGTTCTGTCCCGCTTGCATCGTCGGTAATGGTTGCGGCGTCGTCGATGAAGTTGATGCACCTCCCGATCGTGCAGCGCCCTTGACCATATGGATCGTGTGCGCCGTCTGAATCTTATACACTGAGAGTTGATCCTCGTCCTGCACAACGTCAAAGTGAGAACGGCTCACGAAGGACCAGCTTCAATATGATGTCACCTTTAATACACGCCCTGGAATTCAAAAAATACGCGGTGAGTAGGAATCCTTGGGGGAGAAGGAGCCCGATGCACACCGGAGTAGATCAGCCTTTGTCGGTCTGCCTCGACGTCTGATTTGGCAGCGATTGCCTCCTTCAACTCTCGTACGGTTTTGTCTGTATTGATAGTGATTTGGAGTTTGAGTTCACTGGGACCTAAAGACGGTTCAAGTTTAGTTCTGTAGACTTCTAGACCATAGGTTTTTGCCTGCCTTTAATGTTAACATTTATCTCGGGGGCTGCTGCGTCGTCGGCCATGGTGGTTGGGAATGACTTTGACTAATCCAGCCTCGGAGTGGATGTGCGCTAATCGAGGGGCCCCATTTTTATGACCGCGAGAACCGTGTGCTGACTGTGGGAAGATTGCGGTATCGCCTCATGATACAGGCACTGCCTTCGAAAAGTTCCTCATCATGGACTGGTAAATATACCCAATACTGTACTCACTATCCCGTCCCTTCCCCGAGCACGATGCACCCTATAGACAATGATCAGTAAGTTACACTGTGCGCACACATTGGACTAATTTACTTACTGTACCACTTAGTCCTTGGTCATTCACTGGTGAGCCTGGCGCACACTTCGCTTCTGGTCACCAGGTTTGACGACATCATGGCAGTGATCAAAGTCCAAGGACTGTCTTTCATGCGGTCTGAAAAGTCCTGGCGACCCATAGTATCCGTCGAAATCGACCAGCACCACCGGCACGAAGTAGTTTTGGGATGCGATGGTCAGAACCCGAATCTCAAGTCGCAATTCCTTGTGTCAGCTTCTAAGATTTCCCGCCTTCAAAGCGAACGCTAACATCGCGGTAGACATGGCGCACACCCTGGATCTACGGTCGAAGTGAAGGTCTGGCACCGTTCACAGAGCAAGAAGAAGAAGAAGCGGAATCTTGTCGCAACTTGCTCGCACCCGTTACGCGAGCTTGTGAAGAAGCAGGAGTCGGAACCCCGTGAGTTGTGCTCGCGTTAACCAGTCTTTCAATAACCTATAGACTAGTCCACGGAATAGAATTGGAGCTACGGCTTAATTGCCAGTCAATGACCAAGAAGATGGCTAGTAAGGGGAAACCGCAAAACGGCGCTCACATACAACTCCGCCTACGACCTCCCCCCTCATTTGGCAGCCCCCCGGCATACAATGACATCGATGCGTTCTCAGACTCGGGTTGTGCGAGTAGTTCGTCTTATCAACTATTTCCCTCCATAAAGTTGGCTTATCATACTCTGTAGCATCTACGCTGACGCCTCCACTGACGCCTCCACTTTCGCCGGCAAGCGATAGTTGGAACAACTGGCCCACCGACACTCCCTGCACTGATTCTCCTCACCGTCCATTCATTATTGATACCGACGACGAGTATCCTCTGGAACCCGAGAGTAACGAGAAAGAACCTCTTCTTCAAGAATGCGATTATACCACCGATACAGAAGACCGAGACGATCCTTCCTTCCACGACCCGCTTGCTATCAAGTCAGAACCAGTAGGCACGCTCCGAATATCCGTATCAGACTCTCTCAGCTGGATAGCTGCTTCAATGCTCCCTCAATATACCGAAAAGCCCGAGCGAACCACCGACATATCCCCCGATCTTTCTCGTGCTGAACTCCTTCTGTCAGCGTTTACGATGTACAGCGAACTAAAAGACGCGTGCTTGGACTCTCAGTTTGAGAAGATTTTCACGAGACTCCAAACAGAATGGACATATATCGGTGGCCTGGTGAGTCGAACCTGATCCTTTCGCTTTCACAAATAATTTCTTATGTCGAGTGTAGTTAGTCGCTTTGGCTGCGTGAGTTTCATTGATTCCGATCTCGTCGGAACCCCTCTGTTTACATCGATTACAGTGTCGATACGGCGGTCTTTGCTATCTCTGACGACTCGATATTTGTGGTTGACCCTTATGCACGGAATGCAATCGCTGCCAGTAGCATAGCGTCTGGCCTCGGTATATCCTGCGATGCATGGTTCCTCCTACGCTACAACTGGGCCGACTTACATACTTTCATTGTAAGTTCTTCTCTCGGTCCGCTCGGACATTTTACATCTCACCTTCCATGCAACCCAATTGTAGAACCGCGCCAAAGACGTGTTCGATTCGTATTTCTTCTTCGCCATCTCGGCCCGCGTGCCGTGTTTCTGCATGCTCGTCTCAGCGGTATCCCTCCTCGGTTTCTTGGGCCGTGTGGCGTATAACGTGTGGCCTGAAGGCGTGATCGTCGCTTGTTTCTTCGTGGGGATGCTGATGACGCTCCAGTTCCTTGCGAAAGGCGCTGTACTGTGTGTCCATGCAGCAAGCGGAGTGAGAAGAAGAGTAGTTAGTGGCGTGTCTTGGGCAACCAAAAACAGGTCGGCTATAGTACGCGAGCAGAGCGAGGGGTAGTAGTAGAGCTCCAAGTATTTTTCGAGTTGGATGCACATAACTTATTGTATGATACCTGTATGATCTATGTAGCAAATGTTGTCCGTAGTTGCAACTAGGGAATGGAGCCGTGACATGGAACATTACTGCATATCTAAAATGCTGGGTGGCCGGCCCAAGTATTATCGACGGACTGCTGCTCAATCTCTCTGCCCGAAAGGGATACAGGCGTCAGTCGTGGTTCACAAGATGGTGTCTTGGTGGCATACTCACTGAGTCTGAATTGCGGAAGCTCGAAAGGCCCTGGTGAAGTACAAGATTACAACAGTCTTTCTATCTAGGCAAGTGCACATCCAATGGCAAGCATAACTTTCTCCTGGCGTTGCAGCAGGGTACCAATCAGGGGGTCGTTTGGGTAGTACCCAAGGAGATACGCATTGGCTTCCATCATGGTCAGTGCGAGTACGTCATCTCGGGATCTGAGCGGCGGGAGGATGACTTGATTGCCTTGAAGCTACATAATGTTAGAGACCATAAATCATTAATCATATAGATGTGCTTCACATACCTGGACCTGGCGATCCCAAGGCCGTAATCCTGTAGTAAAAGGTATCTCTCTGAATGTACCCCCAACGGGAAGGAGTCTATTATGGTCCTGGTGAAACTCAATGTGTATATCCGCGAGAGATGATGGATAGCCGCTTACTTTGTAAACATTGGAGGTGAGGTTTGTCAGGCTGACTTGGATGTCCCGAATATCATCGGCGATGCGTGTTAGCGCCGGGTTGAAGGTCGTGTTACTCCAATGAATGAACCAGGCGGCTGCAGTAGGCATCTCATTGAGATTAAGATAGAAATAAATGCTAGTACATGCTTGCTTACGGGCTGCATCCGCATTGTGTGCCATTGAGCGTGCAATGACCGTGTGCTCATATTGGGCACAAGCCATGAAGGCCTCATCATTAACCTGGTTTGCCGTTCCAGCAGGGTAGCCCTCTACTACAAGGAATCTATGTAAGTCGTTCAGGGGTGTGTCACGATGCATGCTTACATTTATTTTGCAACGCCGTCTGGGCAAGGCGGGAAGCAGTTACAACATCGCGAGCGCTAGGCGGGTCGTTGAGTTCGTCAGGCAATATGAGGGCCCCGTAGGAATGGAGGTTATCCTGAACAAGGAGGTCCATGTTGGTGGTCGCGATTTGGGACGCTGACTTCGAATACCATACCCTCTATATCTCTCACGGTCGGCATCAGTCTCCCACGGTTTCAAGTCCACGATTATTCGAATAAAATAGATTTCAAAACTTCAAAGCTTCGAGTACTCAAGTACTCAAGCTCAAGCTTCAAGTATCGCTCGCAGTTTAGGAGACACATCTCATTGGGATGAATGTGAATGAGTCTCTCGGACTCGCAGACTCCTACGATAGGCAAATCGACGCACATCATGATCCAGGCGAGATACGCACCCTACGCGAGCGGCGCAACGCAGATTGCAGCCAGACCAGAAGGTTGCCCCCCGAGATATTGACCAAGATATTTAGTATTCTGGGCACTTTCAACTACGAAGGTCGATATACCCACCTACGGTGGATGGCGGTTACGCACGTCTGCCGCACCTGGCGCAATACTGCATTGAACGAGCCTACGTTGTGGACTGATTTCACCGACATCCATCCCAAATGGATCCAGGAGATCTTTACAAGGTCCAAAGCAGCACCATTGCGCCTGCGGTATGGGTACGATGAATGTTCATCCGATGCTCTCGACCTCGTTGCCGACGCTTTGGTCAAATCACCCGAGCGAATCAGGGAATTACGGGTCGTTGATTACGACGGATCCTTCATTGGCCAGTTGACCCAACCAACTCCATTCTTGGAATCCCTCGCTGTTGAACTCCACGCCCCCGTAAATTTCCCACTAAATTTCCTTGGTGGAGTGGCGCCTCGACTGCGCTCTGTTCAATGCACTGGGACTCTGCCGTTGAAGGCTGGATGGCTTGTAAACCTGCGCAGTCTGGAGTACAATGGGTCGTTGGATTCCCAAGCGCACTGGTTATCAAAGTTAACAACTCTAAAACTTGAACGGGGTGCAACCCACGGTATGAGCATTGACACCCTGCTTTCAGCTATGGAGAGCGCACCCTCGTTGGAATGTCTGTTAGTCGTTGCTGCTTATGATATGGACACCGCTCGCTCCCGTCGTCCGGCGCCCCTCCACCACCACCGCCTGCGCGACATTGCCTTTGACTTCGGCAGCAAATCGAGGATGGCCAAAATATTCAGGCATCTCCGAGTGGACAACATCGAGAAGCTATGCACATCGTGGTCATACAACTTTCAAAATATAGGAATGCTCGAGCATGTGTGCCACTTCTTCAACGCCTGCTACCACGGCGATGAACTACAATATGCTGTTTACGACTTGTCGCGCGGCCTGGAAATGCATAGGGCTCTTGACCCGGCCGGGGAGCACTCACCTAGCCTACTCTTTCGACTCTACGCATGGAACGATCCATCAAAGATCTTGCAGTTGCTTCCGCGATGCGTGCCTCGCATACTTTCAACGCGCCTACACCCGGATATGGAGTCCTTCGCGCTTACGGGATGCGACACTATTGAGGAGCTCCGCATTTCCTCTGGGCAGCTGCGCCGTCATTTTTGTATAAATGGCACTTCTCCTCTTCCTTACCCATCACTTCGGCGGCTGCACTTTGGAGAAGGAGTTGTTGGTCTGGATTCAGAGCAGGTGCACCAGCTCGTAACCTGGCTCACCCCACGGCAGTCAAAAGTCGAAGTCGTCATCAGAGAGGGTGGCATTCCGGCAAGCGCTGTTGAGGCTTTGAATGATGCATCACTCCTCCGTTTCATATGAAATTCTCATTCACCCGGAACAAATGTTGGCGATTTCACCTCATCACCTCATCGTCCGCGGGGTACCTCAACAAACGGTGGCTCGCAAAACGAAAATCAACAGCAAAGATTGAACTCCTTGTCCTCAAAGATTGCTATGTATATATTACTCCGCGTCTTCGATTGCTGCGGATCCGTTTCTTTGACGCTATTGCTATCGCGTGCATGCAACTGCTACAGACGTATTACGGCGCCGCCAATGGGAACAAGTCTATCACAATTGGTATTCCAGGCTTGGTAGTGATATTCTTGTCATTAATGAACATCAGATTCTGCATTGAGGCGGTACGCAAGACTCTACTTACGTAGTTTTCATTCTCCAAAGCGAATCCTTTTCATATACATATGGGCGGCGTCAGTCACGAAAATCATCACGGAGGAGTTTTGGAACCCACGAAATTCCAAAGAACCTGTCGCTTTCGTTGTGGAGAATACGGAGATAGCGCGAAAGTTTTCCTCCGGGTACGGAAGCTGCGTCCAGTGACGTTTGCTGAGGATCAGGCGTGAGGAAATGAAGCACGTACATAGGGGATTTCATCGAAGGAAAACTCGGTCTGATGTCCTACAATTCGACCGCTATGCTTGAGACTTCCAACAGTGGTTTCACTGTACGCAGCGCTGAATGTAAATTCTTGAGCACCTCCGTTATTGAACATGGGAAAATCTTGGGCGAAATCAATCTCTGCGAGAACCCGTCAGGTCCAGGTCAGCTCTATAGACGAAAACCTGACGATAACAGGGAGGCTGGGACATACTTGAGCTGTATAGAATAGTAGATTGATCTAGGCTCGTTGTCTTGGTCCACGACTGCGGCTCCAGTGCAGCAGCGCGCACAGAATCGTCACCTGGTGTCACAGTAAACCTCGTCGGTTCACTGATGTAACACATAGGCTCTGGCGCGACGAGCGTTGCATAGTGTACAAAGATGATATACACGGTGCCTTGGTAGCCAGGGCTAGGTGGACTCTCGGTCGCGTATATGTGTGCGTCTACTCGCCACGAGACACTGAAGAACGTTTTGCCACGGAAGTTGCGCCCATCGAATACGTTGAAGGTTTTCCTTTTGACAAAGGTAAGGCAACACGAGATGAACATACATAAGGCGTACCGCTTGTAGAAACTGGTCCCCAGTGGAGGAACGAGAGTTTCATTGAAAGAACTGTCCATTGATAAGCAAAAGGGGGGGATTTACGAGGGCCTCGAGGTGTACTGTCTGTCTTTAAACTAGTTGGCATGCGAGTAGGTGGGTGTACATACGGACATAATATGACAGGGGACCATGGATGACTTGTGAACAGTGCTATGCACGAGTTGTACGGTCGAGCAATGTCGCCGGTTACTTTATCAGTGTGGTCTACGGCGGTATCGAAGGAAGATCAGTCCTCTGCGGCGCCACAGACGGTCAGTGTTCTTCATCAACATTCAACGATGACTATAACAAGAAAATACTTCCGCATCTCTAGAATACACCGAGTGCCACAAGGTGACATTTTGTGCGAACGGAGCATTGCCTCAGAAGAATACTGTGTTCCGGTCGAGGGCCACTGGAAACCTGGGCGCAGTCATGGGGCTGTCTTCTCACTTATACAAGTGGATAATATCGACGCTAGGTAATTCATTGGGGCTAATATAAGCCAATGTATCCGAACCGACTCCAACAATGAAGAAAGCACTCACCCCACCACCTGGTACTCTCTACCACCAACTGTACGTATGTCGCGTTGCGGTTTGGGAACCATCCACTGACACTCGCTCGGTTGCTAGGAAGCAGTTCGATATCTACGATAATGAAGTTGTAGTTTCGAACTTCACCTTGACATGGCAGGCAGAAATCCACGTGTACGTTATTGGTGGTATCAAACCTGATGACCCAGATTTCGAGGCCAAAGGCGGGGCCATATACGTCGTTGTTTGCCATACCGGAAGCTTAGAAGTCGCTGCAAAGGCCTATGGAGATTTGACCTTCATCTGTGGGATAGATGATGCGGATGGCCTTCCTTATCTGCATTTCCCGTTGACAAATGCCTTTCGCAATACCGACGACCCGAAAGCTGTGACGTGTGCGTTGTTCGACAATACAAGCCACCACTTCGTAACTCTCCTTTTTTGCTAGATTCCTTCGATTTCAGTCAGACCTTCCAGATGCTCAAAGGCAACGCACCTCTATCTTTCAACGCCCAATATTCCATTGACTTCACGCTGGGTTGGTATACTGGGTATTACACCAATTTGAACCCTGGAACCTTAAGGGCGACGTTTAAATTGTCCCAGAGTGGACTAAATGTGCGTGTCATCAGCCGCACCCATTGTTGAGTGCTGACCCGGGATATTTCCTCCAGGAGAGTGTTACGGATCACAATGTTCACGGCGTGTCTGGCTTCCGTTTAACAAAACCGCGAAAACAGATCAATATTTGTAAGCTTCACCTCCTTCATTATAATATGTTTTGCTCAAACCTCGCTTGGCCGTTATCCAGGGTTTTGCATAGGAGAAAAGGGCGATGTGAGTGACCCATGGCTTCATCGTGCATATCTACCAACCTAAACACGGCTGGTTCCCACAGTTCAAGAACGTGACGATCGATCTGGGGTTTTGACATACCTTCCTTTTCCCGTGCTGGTCATCCTAGGCGTGTCCTCTGGCTTCGCATCTTGTAATCGGGCAGACTAAGGCTCCGTGTAGGGGAACGTTCACTACGAACAGTTTCTCTTCAGTAAACATGATTTTGAAACTCGAAAGTCAATATCACCTTCGCATCGCACCTCCGAATTGAACCACTCTACGTGCACCAGGGTTTGAGTATCATCGGCCTCGTACTGCCAACATCTGGTACGGCATAATGCAAGTCCCTGCCTCCGTTCAATTCATCGTCTTCACCCCGAGAAGGAAGAAATTGCCAACGGTAGTCCACGTTGATGCCGGCGGTGAATACATCTGGGGCTGGAGGAGGAGACAAAGGAGAGCCTGGCGTAATGTTAGCGTCGCGATTGGCGATGTGTGCTTTATGTCAAGACAATGCCGCGACAATTATGAGATGGACGTCAATCAGACAGAATAGCAGTCCGCTCTTGTTGAGAAGCGTGGTCAAGGTTGAAGTAAAGCCGCACGGGCTGGTGTCATCGACGTGCATTTCTGTATTCATTGGATTATGTTGTCGAAGGCGAGGCAGCTCATAATGTGCCAACATATATACTACTTGTCGTTGATGGCTAGAGGTAAAGTGAGTGTTGCACCGTCTATCAGTTCTAGGAATTAACGTGTATGGAGCGCAATAACTGACGTTTCAGGAAGGCCAACTCCTTGATATTAGCTTCGGCCAGAGTGGCGCTCTCAAAAACACTCACCCAGCGCATCGAGTTCTCCTTTAAAAGGCACTCTGCAGCGGCCTTCGCTAGCTTCAAGTGGCTTTGTTCCATCGAGGTAGGCTCGAAAACCAGCCTATATACGAGATGATGATAAGTCGATCCATCGAGGTACCGCACAAGCTCTGAGCGTCGTGCAAGATCGAGCCCGAGGGAGAGAAAGAGACCAAGGATCCAAAACGGACGCCCAGTTGCCGAGTCGTATTGTCCAGCAATCGTTTAGTGAGTATGGAGATTGTCGCAGCCGTCTTCGCTTGTCGCAGTGACGCCAATAAGACCGATGCCATCGCGCCCCCATCAACGCCTGAGGCCTGGATATTGAGTATTGAATACTGAGGTACAAGTCCTTGGGACCATTCGGTTTGCCCAAAATTGGGTGCGACGCAGGTTGATTCAATGGTAAACAATAATTAATTGATTCCATGTCCCCTCCAGCCAACTCACCATGCACCACAAGGAATCGACTGTATGAATTAGACATTAGCGCTGAAGACAAGATTCTTGCCACTTAACCGCCACCACCGTTGCCTTTCTGCTTCAACCCTCTAGATTGGGGATGCTCTGGTTATGTGGCTCACAAAGGCCATCACCGCTGCACGAAGTCAGTGCATATCGGGGCGACTCGGAGGTCGTCTTCGACTGCAATGATTGGCTGCATCCATCCCACGTCGTATACGTAACTCGTTTAAACTTCAAGCTGCAAGCTTCAAGTCCGTTCATGTTATGAGGCACTACTCTCGAGTTCGTCTTCCGAATCCTGTGGCCTTCACTTGTGTTCTGCGGGTGAAGCATGGGCGGCGTCGATGTCTGTCTTATATCTATAGGTGCGCAAGAATAAATCTACACAAATAAAACTAAAAATCAATTCCGAGTACAGATTCTAGCACGTTGGCAGGCGGGCATCCTCGACGTTTGCACGTTCCAAGCACGTTCACCCAAATCTGCAGAGCGTTCGGTTTTACGTGGTGGTTTCTCCTTTCGGTCAACGTTTCCTCCGGATCGGAGCGCTGAGCATTAAAAACTTGCACAGCCACATTTGCTCGTTATCTCTTCCTTTCCTTCCCCCACCATCTCTCAAGATGCTTCGTCAATAGCAGCCCGGGAGTGCTCGTATACCTCCCGTGCTATTTCTTTCACTATAGAAATTTTCCTAGAACCTAGACTCTAGAGATTATAGATTCTCGATTTTCCTCAATAGAATGCCTCAACTCGTACAATCTTGCAATTGGTCACCGTCGACGGGGCTGCCAGCTCTCGCGAAGCTAGGTCAAGCAACTACTCCAACCGTCGCACTCGCGCTTCAACAGTTGAGGAATCTCTACTGGCCCACGACGTCCATCCCGCAAGCTCTCGCTATCAAACCTCGTCCCCGACAGAATAAGCCTATGCTCATTTCCCTTCGAAGCAGCGATTTAGTCCCAGATTCTGGTTATGCGTCTGCAGATTCCGACGACGACGGCGAAGACGAGTGCAATTTCCGGGCCCGTGCATCGTCCAAATACCCGCCTGCCACCCCATCGCAGTCATCGATCCCGCATGGTCATATTGACTCCGAAGGGTCAGAGACAGACGACGATATCGATTTGATCCGCTCCGATGTGCTGGAACGTACATTCGCTATCAAGTGGATTACCGGATTCATTTCTCGGTCCGACGTTTGGCTGGCTGCCATAGATGTAGACGCTGACCAGGACGACGAAACAGACGCTCGTTCGCAGCTCGTAGATACCGCATCGCAAATACTTTCTGCGTTCTCTTCTGTCGAACCAGACGACGATGAAGCCGCCTCAATTACAAGGACGTTCTCCTTCTCAGTTGGAGTCGAGGAATCAAAGATGCTCGATGTGCAGCTCAACGATGCCGCCCTGCTTAGCGAAGATCACACATCGGTGGGCCTCCAGAGCTGGGGAAGCGCTATCATCCTCGCCGAACGTCTCTGCAAATCTCCAGACCGTTTCGGCTTCAACATGCCTTCCGGACGAAAACTACGAGTCCTCGAGTTGGGTGCAGGCACTGGCCTTCTTAGTATCGTCGCCGCCAAACTAAGTCCTTCGAGTACCGTCGTTGCAACCGATTACCATCCCGACGTTTTATCCAACCTCTCTTTGAACGTCGACTCGAACTTTCCTCGTGCTCCCTCGCGCGACAGCGTTTCCGTCCACAAGCTCGATTGGGAATCTCCGTCCTTCGAGGCCCCGTTCGATCAACCCTTCGACGTGATCCTCGCTGCCGACGTAGTGTACAATCCCCAACACGCACAGTGGATACACGACTGTGTCGAGCGACTCCTGACGAAGCCTGGAAGCGATGATATTCACAGCAGACGCAGTGGGGATGGTGGAGTCGGTGTCTTCTGGCTGATCATCCCGTTACGCTCTATTGGGAGACATGAAGGGTTATACGAAACGGTGGACGCGGTGTTCGGGGACGCTGAGAGGCAGCGAGGCAGCGAAACGGGGTGGAAGTTAGCGATTCTGGAGAGGCAAGAACTTCAGCGGCACGCAGGGGGCGTCGGGCGAGTTGATGAAGCTGGCTACAGGTTATTCAAGATTGGTTGGGCTAGGGGGTAGTAGAATACTGTCGGGTATTATAATGGTAGGGGTTCAACGGGGGTTAGAAACAATCTTGAAAACATGAACTCGCACAACACCATTCCCAGTCAACCATCATAAGTCAGTTGATGATACGAAATGCCAAAAGACTGGATAGACTCAGGCGGGGTTTTAGTGGGTAGCGACCTTCAAACTCATCAAGAAAATGGATGAACCGGTCCGTCAGAGTCCCACACTCTGTGCATAAAGCATTTCCTTGCGGTGATATATTAACTTTAGCTAGTATCACTAACTGGCACCCTAGCGGGCCAAACGGATCTGACTACACGACGGGTCTGTAAGGCAACTTGGACGTAGTCCAAGTAAAACGCTCCACAAAAAAAAAAAAAGGTGATGACTACGCAAGTCTACATCAGCTCCGAGTCACGAATAAGTTTCGTGGCCTCAGCGGAGCGGGGTGTAATGGCGCATTTGAATGGGATAATGTGCCTATCAATATAAACTCAGTAATGGCCAAACACCCAACACCCCATAAGCTCACATTGTGAAGCCAGGATTGTACCGAATCTCTGGTTCAATATCCCGACCTTCGAGGTCCTTCGCTTTACTGATATCAAAGCAGAAGAGAGTCGATGCGATGTACATAAGGATAGTGTCCATAGCAAAGAAGCGACCGGGGCATATCCTATACGAAGCAGTGAGTAGACATATCGAGGTAGAGGGATAGCAATGTACGAACCGTCGCCCAAATCCGAAGTTAGGGATAGAATCAAGGAGTCGAGGATCAATTCGACCGTCCTTCAAGAATCTTTCTGGCTTGAATTTGTCGGCATCGGGATAGTATTCCTCGTCCCGCAAGAGGGCCCTCCAGGGAAGTCAAATTGAGGCCATTTCCACTTGCGTGCATGTGAATGACCGACATACCAAACATTGGCGAGGACGGTGGCTCCTTTGGGTATAAAATACCCCTTGTACTCATCATCCATCGTTACGCTGTGCGGTGCTCCTGACGGATCAACGTGAGCTTGTCCGCGGTTAGATCATGAGGATGAACTTGCCTAAAGGCAACACAGGTTGCCATCTGGGGTTGTGTGCGATTGATCATAACGGAGCGAGAAGGATGCCAGACGCACCTCAAGACTTCTAACAGGATCGCACGGACATATGGTAAATGTGGCATATCTGCGAACACGGGTAGCCGGGCTCCAAGATAAGCATCTAGCTCTTCTTGTGCTTTGATCTGCACCTCTGGGTGAAGCAGCATCGCTGCAATGAACGTAGAGAGCACCAAAGGGGATGTCTCTGCACCGCCTAGTATACATACCTCAGTTCTAGTAATCATGAGATGAGATTCACACATACCTGCACAAGCCACCCACATCACATCCTTGATAATGTCTTCATCTGGGTGGTTCTCGATACCGTGTTCACCCCTTGCAAGACAGCGAGAAAGGACGCTTGGCTCAGCATTTCCATTGCGCTGAGGAACCATCGTGAGGACGAGTTGATCTTGATCAAGTCACTCACCAGGCGTTCGCAACCTTGCTCGTACGGAGCATTTCTCATAGCCAAGGTGTCAGGTCGCACTCTCTCGGCATAGGCTTTGAAGCCCATTCCCGGGATCCAGGCCGGGATATACTTCAGGATGGGGAGGATGTCCACTATGAAACTTCCTGTAGCAGGGGCTTCGTTGAGTTGTAAAAGCACTTTCTTGGCGCGTGCAATATTGAGATCATGTTCAGCCTCAATCTCCAACCCATACGCGGTGGCGATGATACTCCCAGCGAGAGTGCTTTCATAGACGTCAGGGAAGACCAAAGGCTCGAACCTGAAGCTTACTATTCGATGTGATGAAGGAAGCGGTCTGGGTCGTACAGCAGTCGACGAAGGAAATCGCGGGAAGACCGTAGTTGGTTTGATTGATGATTTAGCGAGTTTGCTGGATTGAATTCTTGCCAGAAGGTACGACGTCGGGCTCGCCAAGCATGACCATACGGCATGTGGCTAGGCATCGATCCCCATCCAAGACTAAAACAATTATAAGAATGAGGGGGAACATAAGCACAATTGGGATATGTCTTTGTCCTCACAGCTCGTGCACCATGACGCTAGGTGGCCTTGGTAGTATAAGAACACCCATACACCAAGAAGCAGTTCCACTGACCTACCTGTCAGAGTAAAGTAGAGAACGCGCCGAGAGGAGGTCGTTCACCGCTTTGTGTGAGTTCAGCACGACGAGAGGGCGTCCGAGGACATTTACATAGATGATGTCCGAATCTAGGATAGTATTAGCTCCTGTGAGCAAATTAGACTAATGTACTTACTATGCATCTTGGACCACTCTAGATATTTCACCCACTGGAGTTGAGAGGGCATGTCGAACATATTGCCAATGATCGGATACCCCTTGGGACCTGGAGGTAAAGGAAGGCGAGCCCTTCGCCGGCGGCAGAGTCCGGCCAAAGACAGCAGAATCGAGCAAGCGACGAAGCAAATATCAAACCACATTAATGAGGATGTCGGACGGAAATGAAGGAGCAGAAGGCCATGATGAGATACCATTTATACGTTTCTGTGCTTGGTAGAATTCAGCCCTTCCACTGAACAATATGGGCGGCGTGGGATGGTGCTGTAGGCTTGCTGCCCCGAGCCTTGCCGTATCACATCAATCGAAAATGTCTGCGAATCCAATGACCCCTCAGAGTAGGATCAGATCGAGGGTGTGCCTCGTTCTTAGGACGATGAGTGCATTGCATCGAGACGGGCTTACGAATCATCAACGACACAAATAACAAAACAGCTTGCCCGTTTTGTATTGCGAGTACGCATCGCTGCAGGGATACCACAGAGTGCTAAATATAGGCCGGGCAACACGTGTATGGGTTTGTGGCTTGTCGCACCAAGGCTCTTCGGCTGCGAATTCAAAACTTCGTATCTTCCAAGTTCTATGTGACCACGCGGACCACAGCTACAAGCGTCAACGTCAACGTCCAATATCGGCGAATCTCTGAAGAGCGCACCACTAAGAATGTCGATTGGAAGCTTGACATCGGGAGATGAAGCAGCAGGCCATTTGATAAAATTCAATGGATTGATAAGGGACGGGAGGTTCCCTCGCCGAAGACGATTTGACATGTTACTCGACGAGTACCACATTGCCGCAGGTGACGTACCAATGAAATGGGACTGCGTATTGTCTCCGCCACTAAAACGTAAGGATGGGATGCGAAACGACCCAGTAATCGCAAACGTTCAAGGATGAGGCCATGAGCACGGTAAAGAGTCAAGGTGTGAGGCATTGAGGCGTTGCTTGTTTCTTTGTCGTTCCTTGTGTCGTTTCGTTGTTGCGTCGAGAGGCCCGCCATCGAGGGTCAGAGGGTATAACGTGTAACACTCAGACCGAGAACGCGCTTTCCGGGCGAAAATCAGCCCGACCTCGGAACTGTAGGCGACGGTACAACTGCCGTCACCACGCAATCCACAAAGTCATCACCTCACCCACGCCTGCGAGCAACCTCAAAAACCTATGACGGACGGAATCAATGTGCCTTCCAAGTTCCAACAGACTGAGACTTCGGAGGACTGAGGCGTGGGTGATTGAAGCAATGTGCAAGGGATGGTTGTATCCACTCGGAGAGATGATAGTGTTAGTCGGGGACAGGGGTGAGCGAGTGCGATAGATGCTTCCGTGGGCGCTAGTAACCCCTATTCCTCTCCGCCCTATCCATTGCTTCGGCGCCTTCAATTCGAGGAATTTCTTCCCTCTTGAAACGCTGGCTGGCCAGCTGGGCGAAACCCCAAAATCAAGGCGATATATCTCGTAGGCGGCTGTTGAGTCTCTTCGTGAAACGGCGTTTGTTACTACGTACCACCTCGTCCTAGCCATGAAAGTGACAGTGATGAATTGTGAATAACTGATGTTTGTATGTACCTCCATGGAATTGGAATGACAGAGGGATTCAAGAGCCAACGACAGCCTTGAAGGTGATATGTGTGTGGGCAGTCGGACCTGGGTAGCCTTGTCAGTGGAGCGCTGGGGCTTGAGGCTTGGGCTTGAGCTTGAGCTTGAAGCTTTGAAGGTCTGCAGGATGTAACGCCGCTCCATTCTGATGACACATTCACTGAGCAAGAATCATCAGGGCAACACTCGTATTCCCGCACGGCGTAGAAAGGACTTATCCGCTACTATACCGTTATATACTACGACGTGTTTACGATTGGACTATTCATTGAACAACAGTCAGCCTGGATTACAAGTACAAGATGGTTATGGTACAACACGGACAGGAAAACAATGCCTGATAAACGACGGACGAGAGGAGGGGTGTACAAGCGAGTCTTATAGCGCGACAACAAAACAAGTATAGCAAAGCAAAGCCAAAAAAAAACAGACAAAATCGAACAACAGAGACAGACGCGATCTAGTCGTCGTCGCCATTTTGAATGGCCCTAAGAAAGGCGCTCGACATCACTCTACCTTCGTCGAAGCTTCTCGTACACGGCGCGATACCACCCTCCGTGGACAGCGCCTTGAGAGTCCCCAGCGTCTTGAAGGCGACCGTAAAGGCAAAGCGAGGGTGCTCTTGATACGCGTACGACGCTGCCACAGATTCAGGATGGGGGGTGAACGCCAACTCCGGCATGGTCGAGTAAAACGACTTGACGAGTCGGGCTAGCGAGGCCTCGTCGCCACTCGCGCTCTTGTTCTTCCCCCTCTTTTTCCTGCGAGTTTCTTCATATGGTGATTTCTTGATATCTTTGAAAGTATCCGTGGCGTAGAGCTTGATGTGTCGCCGAACATGTTCAGCAAGAGAATCAAGCTCGTCTCGAAACGCGGGGAATGACTCCGGTAACATCGCTGCGATCCTTCTGGCACTGAGGTATGGTTCCAGCAACGACACATCGCGTATGTCTCTCGTTTTTTCATCGCACTCGGTGGGGATATGTTCAAATTCTTCAAGGTACTTATCTTTAAGTCCTTGTCCAGCGTCCCTCAAATTATCAAGCACAAATTCCCCTCGAGCTTCCCGTGAAGGTGGGCTTGAGTCATACGAAGGGGGATCCCAAGGCGTCGAATGATTGAACTGGTTTCGGTGACTATCGAAAGACAGTTTCTTAACTTGTAATCCAGTCTTCGGCGCATCTAAGACTGTATTGAACCTGAAGCGAGTGATTCAGCGAATATCGTGACAATCGATGGCGTGTGCCTACATGTACGCCATTAAGATAGCGCTGGGGTGATTGAGCCCGTATTGCCAGACGGCGCAGTCATGGAACTTCGAATACAACCCAACCTTGGAGTCACAAACGTTCAGAAGCAAAATGTCGAAGATGGAACTCTGCGCCTCAGCTTTCGGAACGTTGTTTAGCCTCTGGCAGAATTCCGGGACTTTCTCTACTTGTTTCTCGAAGTGGTCTGCTAAGAAGCTTTCGGGCTCGTCGACGATAGGGTGATTTCGGAACGGCGCAACGATTTCTGGGTCCCAAATTATGACATCTTCGTCGCCGTCGTAGTCTAGAGCCGGTTAGCATTTCTTTTAGCTTCATCAGCAGATAACTCACCGCCACCAGACAAGACGCTCGCCAGTGATCGTGAACCCTTCGTGGGTAGGATAAGGACATCGACGTAGCTTTGGAACTCGTGGACGTCGACAGCCTCCACCTACATGCAAAGAGTCAGCAGGGGAATTAAGGACAATCCAGCTCCACTAACCTTCTGGACGTCTGATGCTAGACGCATAGGATATCTAGAGGATATGTGATCTTAGTACAAGGATATATGGTCATTAGGTATCAGAGCACATGCCTACCAACCTGCATATTGTTGGTTAATAGCTCGCAATTAAGGGCATTCAACAGCAAGGACTTACCAAGACGTCACCTTCCAGCTGGTGTAGGAGTTCTCCCGTGACAGGATGTCGAAATGGGCTTGAGGGCTTGAAATAAACTTGACCTTCTTCCAAGATGCCAATCGGATCTAGACGACACGGTTAGCTATGACACTCCATTAATGGCCTACAGCGTACCAGGTATCATGATAGCAGTCGTAGACTGCATAACTGGGAGCCTGTAATCCTTTGTCGCATTGTCGATTGTATATTTGAAAACGGTGTGAAGTTTTTCATAAAGAAAATGCGACTCGTTGGGTTTAAATCCCGCTTGAATAGCCTCCACAACGGTTTCATGTGCGGTAATAGGGAGACCGCTCCAGCTATTTCGGCCGGTGTAGGCGGGTCGGGCGGGTTCCTCGACGTCGTCGATGTCTCGAACGCCCTCCTCCGCCTCCGCCTCGACTTCGACTCGATCCCGGCCGGAGAGCCCTAACGCCCGGCTCTCCACTCTAGCTACCCGAGCCGCCCTGCCCAAAGCGATGCGCCCTAATCGAGCAACCGCGTGCCAGAGTTGTTCCATCGCCCGTGGGCGTGTCCACTCCATCAGCGGCTGCAACTCCATGCGCAGCCCTTCCTCCAGCTTCCTAACCAACGTCTCGTGCGGAACATGATTATGCGAGAGATTCAGAATGATTTGGATGGAGAGCGAACACGAGTCTGATCGACGGGAAGTGCGCAGGAGATTGAAGATGCGATGCGCTCGATCGAGTGGCCGGGGGAGTTTTATCTTGTTTTGTGAGGGACGTATCCAAATAATGGGGCGGAGGGAAGTATCCGTAGGATGTAGCGCCCAAACACCCTTTGCGCCTGCGATACGACCTTGTACGCCTGCAAGTGGATGCAATGAGATAAATCGCAGACGTGGGCGAATTTAGGAACAGATGCATACAACTCGGAGGAGATTCTAGCCCCATGATGACCTTCAGCACTAGTAGCGCGGTGCGGTTCATAAAGCCACAGCCGTCGGTCATCAACTGATGAGATAACGGCTCGACGCCCGGCTCCAATCCCTCCGTAGCCACTGTGTCACAGATGAATTTCAGAAGGAGGAATAAGAGCATGGAGTAAGGTAAACTTACCCAGATCGGGGAAGTCGAAGTGTATATCTTCGTCGGCGAATTCCAATACTGGGACGGAGTTGGAGAACCCGATCGTGTTTCGGGTGGAGTATTTCGCGATCGGCTGGTTAGCGATCAGGCGAGTATCAGCAATTGGACTCAGATAATTAGCCGAAGGTACGTACCTGCCGGAAGTTCCTCTCGATAGGATTGTGCCACTCGCAAACGGAACTAAAGGTACTGAGACTACTTCCCCCAGAAGTGGTGTCGATACAATAGACGCTGTTGCCGTCCTTTGCGTGATACGGCAGGTACGACGCGCCCATGAAGACGAACCGCTGCCTCAGAAAAGTTCGAACTGCTTGGATGTCCTGCAGAAGGTAATCGTCAGGGATTTTGATCTGAGCTAGGCGTCTCGATCCAAGCATCCTCGAAAAGTAATGCGACCGTCGACTTTCCAGCGGCTCGACGAGGACCTTGAACCCTTCCGCAATTTTATGGAGACGAAAGACGACCTGGATGCGTCCGCCGTACCAGTTGGGACACGATTCCCAATCCCCCATCAACCCGAGGCCGCGCCCCTTCCCCTCCTGCATCGCCTTCTCCTCTCTATCCAACTCGCGCCTAAATTCCATCATGAACAGAGGACTAGATGACCGTTATGATATAAAGACTAACCAGAGCTCGAGGTCAGGCTTCTTCTTCTGCTTTCCCAACATGAGCTCGCCCACTCGCCAGGCAACATCGACGTTATCGCCTTCTAAAAGAGCAGCACCTGTCTTCCTCGACTTGGCGTAGTAATGGCGCTGGGGGTCAACAGACCACGTCGCCGTCTTTCCGTTTCCGTCAATTTCAACCTCCCTCTCCTCTTTCAACTTGGTCTTCACTTCATCCCACGTCCAACGATCCGAAACGACGCCCCGAGCTAACTCAAATTGAACGCCGAACGAGAAGCGATGCTTTCGAGCCAGCGCCTGTACCTCCTCGTCGTACGCAATAGTGCACACCTGAACGCTGTCATCTAGCATGTCCCAGATACCCCCCGAGACACACGATGGCGGCGGAGGAGCCGTGTCTGGCTTCGTAGCTGTTAAATCCGCCATGTCGACGTCAGTTGCCGGCGTCGAAACGGACGTATTGGCGAGAGTTTTAAAGAGGGAGGAAGTTGAAGAGCTTGACGACGAGTGCGAAGTGGTTGGAGGGGCCCTTATTGGGGCGGCCTTCCTTGTTGGCGACGGCCAGGATGGACCCGCATCAGAGTCAGAGTCATTGACGCTCGCTGATCCGCGCATGCCAAATAACTTCGCGCGAACAGCGTCAGGAGACGCTGCCTGTGCAGTTGTTATTTTAGGTCGTGTATGAGACCTCATCGGCGTGGATGGGGCAGCGTACTTGAACGCTTCGATTGGATTGTTGGGAGCTGCTGGGGCAACTTGCGCTAACGATGCAAGGGAAGACGACGATGACGATGTAGAAATCGTGGAGGTCGAAGGCTCCGATGGTGAGATCCGTCTTCGAGGCATCGGCCTATATGGCCTTTTGCCCGCACTCTTCGTGGAACGTGGTGGCCAAAACACACTGCTATCCGGGTCTGAGTCTTCCTCCATTGTGACGTCGACACCGGAGGTCGTTACCTTTGCGGGAACAGAGGAAAATAAATTCGCTCGAATAGAGGCTGGTTCACCTGCGCTGCTGGTGGTTCGTCCAGTGGAGGGTGTTACCGGTACTCGTTCTTCGTCGGAATCGCGAACGGACTTTGATGACCCCCAAGATCTCCCCTTGAGAGAAGATGGCGTAGACAAGTGGGCTGCTGTCGTCTTCGAGAGTGACAATGGGACAGTTGGTAATGTCTGACTCCGTTTCACAGAGCGGTTGTGCGCGATCCTAGTAGAGGATGAGCCTTCGCCCACATCTGCGCGCAAGTCATGGGCCATTTCGACATCATCGTCGGTCTTTCTGCGAGAGACCGAGGAGAACAGTCTCGGTCGAAAATTATCTGGGTCCGCCGCACTCTTCGTTGTTCTTCCACTTGACGGTGTTGAAGGTGCAGTGACCCGAGGCGGCGGAGGAAGCTCATCCGCGTCCGACTCGCTGTCTGATATAGTGATAGCGGTCCGGGCAGACTATGTACCATTATTCCAAAATCCAAACGAACATAGAAACCTGAATCTCACTGTGCCTGCATCGTTTCCGTGTTGCGTAGTGACATACGGGTGACGCGGTGTTCTCGACGTGTAAGTTGAGTCACCCATCTACTGGATCTCAAGCCTTTGAGTCATATTATCTGCCTGTGATAATCACAGAGTACTCACCGGCAGCTCAGCGATGGAGGGGATCCGCTTGATGAGCTAGTAGTATCCGATTGGGCGGTTGCAGGGTCCATCGTGCTGGGCGCGCTGTGAACTTGCCAGTAAACATACGTAAACAGAAGAATGTGCCAGTCGCCGCAACACCATAACACCATAATCGACAGAACAGCAACGAAAACTCCCGGTAAGACAGCAAACAGTGTTTCAGCACAGAAACGATCCAAGTCTGCCTTTCAAACGTAACCCGTTATCTCCTATTAGACGAAGAGGATGATGAAAAGTCCACGAAGAATGCGTGCGCAAAGTTGAACGCCTCTATAGTATTAGAAGAACAAGGAAGGCTACAACCATTATTACCACAACGCAAGGGATACGATCCTGCGCAGAAGGACGACTCAGAGAGCGAGGTCAGTGACTCATTGACGGTTGAACGTTTTAACACGAAAGTAAGACTAGCGCAAAGGGCGAAGGGCAGAAATTCTTGCAAGCAACCGACATGTCGCGAGCAGCGGAGAGGAGCAGCACGAACGCTACGCGACGCAGCACGCGTTCATACAATGTTCCCCAGTCGTGAGAGCGGGATGAGACGGTGTCGTGCTTCACAGCACTCCGCTGACGAAACGGACGGAAGATGACACTTCGATATGAGTGTGCTAGTACAAGTGATGCTGTGGTGGACTCAGTCCAACGGTGCCCGGATCTGGACTATATCTTGCCTTTCCTACTCAATTCTTCCTCTTCCTCTTCCTGGATCTGCGCATCAATCTTGGCTCCCCGTGATGGCTCATTTCCATGGCTCCTGGCAGGTTTCAACGGGTCCTCAATCTCTCTCGGGTTTGGGTTGGTCTCCTCCACTCGTGCATTTTTTTCTGCGGAAGCCTGCCGGTTCGACAACGTGCGATTGTCCCTAGCCAAAGCATCACGTTCAGAGCGATCTCAACGGTATAAATGTGATGTCCAGCATACTTGGAATCAAGATCGTTATGGGCGTTCGGCTTGCCCGCCTCATATCTGGGTGCTTCTTCCTCTTTCTGTGTTCTGCGGTGCGACTTTTGAGACCAACTGGGATCGCATAAAGGCCGAAAAACACGTACCTTTGGTCACCGTCGTTGTAGACCTGGGAATTTCCAACTTTAGAGAGCATGCTCATGATGGGTGTTGTAATTTGGGAGGTTCAATTTTGTTATCGAGCGTATTCATAGACGAGCTTTCTTATATATCGCCCGCCCGCCCCAAGCCTCCGTCATTCCTTCCGGCTGCGACATGATTATGATGTCATCCAACCTGTGCCCCACTTTGCTCGTTGGCTTCGGCATCAGCGCCGCCCTAGGATGGACATTCGGGACGGAGCTCGGTCGGCGTGTGGCTTCGCGCCCGGACTGACTCCAAATTTAGAGCAACCCCAAAGATAGCCTATACGTACAAGCTCACGGCCTTTCTGTGAATAGGCCAGGACACAAGGGACGATGGCTGAGTTTGATCATCACCCTCTTCGCCACCATCCAACCACCATCTCGCCACCGCCGAATTTCACGCACACCGTGTGGTGCATCAGCACGGATTCAGAAGCGGTGCTTCGCGCTGAGTTTCCAAGCATGCATAGCTAGATACAGGATAATAATGTACACGATCCTCAATGAATACGATTATATGATATAGAGAATAAACCGGTGCCGTAGTGGTATACATATCTTACATCCCACGGAAGGGTCCTGTCACTGCGAATCGCGCCGTTAGTTGGCATCGCGAGGGCAGCGGTACCGAGCAACTTACTCTGGAGGTATTTTTGGGTTTCGCAGCGGTACGCGAGAAGAATTTCGTTTTCGTTTGTTTCGCTTTGCTTTGGCGGTCGGCGGCGGTACTGCGTCGCGGCGGACCCCAAGCGTTGTCTTCAAGATCCAGCATTTGTGTCTTTAGATGGGCAAAGCGTTCGGATCAACAGCTGCTCAACATATAAGGTGTTATCCGCGGTTGCTTACATCTATAGAGGCCGTGTCTGCATCCGGTGACAGGCGTAGATAATCGCTTCTGGTGTAGTCTGGAACGACAGCGGACCATGTCCGTGCAACGGCATTGGATGATGGCTAGATGTTCGTTTCGCGAATTGAGCACATGCACGCCGATCATAGAACATCGTGCTCACCGACGTTGGCGGGTTTCTCTGCCAGTTGGATTGTTCATATCCGACGTCAAAATCAATCTACCGAGCCAGATATGTTATTCCTGGTAAATTCTTCGTGATTGCCATCAGTCTAGGCTTACCAAAGTGCTGCATTGGGACTCAATGAAGGATGGGGTAGCAAGGGTGTTCGTGTCGTTCTCCTCGGCTGCACGCTGATTGGTGTACCGTTAATGCCGTAAACTTGCATCATGCGGGGCAAAAGGGACTCACTCGCGATTTCAGCGTACGCCTCACTGCAGACTTGACCGTCGCCTTGAACCCAAGTGTCTTCTTCATGGGCCGGAAGTCTGGTAACGTCGAGTCCTGTACATCCCAAACAACGCTGAGTTCATGGAACGGGAAGGTGAGAGCACTACCCACGGTATGGGGGGTTACCATTGTCTTGGAAGGGGGACAGATGTTGTGGTAGTGGACCTAGGGTAAGGAACTCGCGAAGGGGGGTATACTCCTAGGAATGGAGGTGCTGTCTTAAGTACTTTCAGGCGGGCCGGATCTGCATGAGGGGCAATAGGTGAGGGCTTGGAAACCTTGAACTTCGCGAACATATGACCCAGAGACGCCTGACGGCATTCGGAGGCTTAGCGAGCTATTCGGGCTGCTAACGCATTCCAACGGGAATAAGTCCCCATCCCCATAAGCGGAAAACTGGATAATTGAGACCACAGCATCTTCTGAAGTTGTGTGGTGTCCAACCTTCGGGTGACGTACCAAGCACTTCGGCACGTTGTCGGTCGTTCAAGGTATCTACGGCCACGCTAAAGAAGCACGGCGCAACAGCCTGGTCCATTGCCAGGCTTGATGCTTCGGCTTCTGTCTGTGTGGTGTCAGGACCTTGAAATATATGAGGAAAACATGTGATGGAACGTAACATGGAAATGTATTTTTGGCTGAAGGTAGCGCACCACGTTACTATTTGATCAACTTGGTCAGCACAAAGTGTGGGTGCGCAGAGTACGTATATGGGTACTGGTGGACAGCGGGCTACAAGGAGTAGCCGTATCAGCCAGCAAAAGGCGCAAGTAAATCGGCATTCGGTAGAACCCCATGCCGCCGAGGTTGGCCCAAGCATCCTCAACCGCCATCACGTATCAGAAATCATTGGCAACATCATTAAATGATAAGTATCGTGCTCCAGTGAGATGATCACGTGAATATCAAAAATACATCTCTATGTTCAGTGTAAGCATCTCGCGAGCCAACCATGCGATACATGATGACAGAACACATACTAAACGTGGCAAGCCGTTCTCTAGATCACGAGCTGTCCATTTTGTCGTCGTCCTCCATCTCTGCGCCACCCCGTATTTCCTCAAACACCAGGGAGCCCTGCTGTTCCTTCAACCATTGTACACTACGTTTTTCGTCCATGAAGTATGTGTAGGCTCTTCTTAGGTCTTCTACATCGACCTTCTCGGCTTTACGCTTTCGGGCGATGACCTGGGCGCATGAGATAAGATTCAGCGCGTAGCGCAAGGTGGTCTGCATGGCCATGGAAGTAAGAACCGTCGTGGCCTCGGCAGTGAGTGTTACGTCCTCTTCTTGACATCTGGAAGGCGAAAAGTTAATTTTGGCTGACCCAGAGCATGCTGGAAACATCAACCATCAGAGAAATGCTTGTGATAACTCACCGAATCTGGACGATCTGCTGGATATCCTCCTCCGCGTATGGCTGAGTGCTAACAATAAGGACACGATCAAGGAGGTCTACAGGTAGCCCGTGAGGACTACGGAATTTCGTGCCCCGGATCCGTGACATGCCGCGATTCGAAGCCATGATAACCAACGGCGAGAGTTCGTTCTCAAGCGCGCGATTGAGGAAAGAGAAACATTCGATATCGAGCATGTGAACTTCGTCAATGAAGAGGACCTAAAAAGAGCAAACGATGAGTATGGTAACCGAAACACCCGAGCATCTCGTAACTTACGCCAGGGATTATCTCAGCTTTGCCTTCCTCTCGCCATTCAGCTACTTTCGTATTGATCTGGTTTCTCAACTCGGGCTTTATCTCCCCAGTGTCTCCCGCAAACAGCGCCAGGAAGCCTTGGGTACGACTGTTAATCACATCAATTTCGTGTAGAGAAACGGTGTGTACGACTTCTTTTCGCTTTTGGATCTCCCCTTCAGGACATTGCACGAATTTGGTCTCGTGGACAGTTAGGTTTGGCATAATGGAAGGCAGAAGGGACGTACATCTGCTCCCATTGCATCGTAATCTCGGGAACGAGCGAACGAGCGTCCCAGCTTGGTGATTTTCCCCGACGTTTTGTCGATGGCAATCACGTCCCCGGCTACGACTTTCTCCTTTGCCAAAGCATCAATCATTTTGGTTCCCAGGTCGTATATAGTCTCCATGTCAGTCGTTTTGATAGTCAGCTTGCCAGTTTTCGTTGCCTGAACCCTCAGCCTCAATGTCAACCCTTGACTTTCGAACGTGCATAAAGTACTCACGCCGGTTAGACTTCGATCAATCTGTATCTCAACTACCTCACCCTCGATAAGTTCGGTCTCTTCTTTAATTCGTACACCTATGCTGCGTCGGAATGCCTGCGTCAAGGCCTCCGTTTTGGACATGGATAGTGAGAACACCTCGCTAGCAGCGATCATGGTGAATGGTACATCTGCACCCAGAGTCTGGGCCATCCCTATGTCGACGGCATTTCAGAGTACCATACCAGCCAAATGGAATATGTACTCACCTAAAGCGATCGCCGTTTTGCCTGTCGATGGGGGTCCCGCGAAGAGCATCGCTCGACCAGCGATCCGTCCCTCCTGAACCATTTTGAGGATCATTCCAGCAGCTTTACGCGCCTTCCCTTGCCCAACCATGCCTTGGCTGTTACCCCGGGGCTCCAATCTATCATCGAGTCCTAAGCCACGAATATGGGAGTGTGCGCCTGTTTAATGACTTTAGGACTGTCCCTACTGAAAAGCCTGGATGCAAACCTATCCGCTCCATCTTCGTGATATCTCTCAGCTCCGACGTTCCTGTCGCAATTTGCATGGCCTGAAACTCAAGTGATCAGAGTGTGTACTTTGGTTTTTGAGACACGAAGTTTACCATGATGAAAGTAGAAGGCAAGGACGCGTTTGTTTGGTTGATCGGGTTCCTGGCAAACAACTACTGGCGAGACGCGCTTGGTGCCACTTTTGTTACACGCTTCACCCATTTCCAATGCTCAGAGCGCAGGCTGGCTTCGGTCTCCTGAGGTCATGTCTGGCTTCTCTGAAACCACGGCCCAATCCCTCCGGCTGGCGTAGCTATGCCTCGGAAGCACAACCCGAGGTCGTAGCGGATGCCTTCGTCCGCACGACAGCACTTTTCAAAACATACAAACCGGTCACCCCAGGTCTGCGGCATCTGCGCCGACCCCTCAACGACCATCTATACGAAGGACGACCTGTCCGACTTCTGACCATAGCTAAACGGAAAAAAGGTGGTCGAAACAACCGGGGTGTCATCACTGTTCGACATCGTGGAGGAGGACACAGACAGAGAATACGGACGGTGGATTTCAGGCGTGAGGCGCCCGGTATACACGACGTTGTGCGAATAGAGTATGACCCAGGTCGGTCAGCGCATATTGCGCTCGTACGAAACCGGGATCCCGAGGCGCAGGGGATGAAGAAATGGAGCTACATTCTTGCGACTGAGGGAATGAGGGCCGGTGACGAGGTCCAGAGCTTCCGACAAGGAATACCAGAAGGATTTGTTCCTGGCTTCGACGAGATGCAGAAGGAAGAGATGGAGCGGAAACTGATAGAGACGGACGAGGGCGAAGAAGGTGAACAAGTGGATAATTCCGCGCAGTCACTCGCTATTGGTATTCTCCGTACCATGACCCTCAAGCCTGGCAACGTTCTTCCCCTCCGACTCATCCCCCCTGGCACAGTCATCCACAACATTTCACTTTCTCCGCAAGGTCCTGGTCTTCTGGTGCGTTCCGCCGGATCGTTCGGACAGGTCATCACACATGAGGACTCTGGGAGGTACACCCATGTACGCCTTCAAAGTGGTGAAGTGCGAAAGGTGTTACAGGAGTGTTGCGCAACGATCGGCAAAGTAAGCAACCCGCTCTGGAAAAGTAGACAGCTGGGCAAGGCTGGTAGGGCGCGCTGGCTCGGACGCAGACCGTCTGTACGAGGTGTGGCTATGAACGCGTATGTATCCCTTATATCTTCTCATCTGCTGCAACAAGTTGACATAATTCCATAGCAATGACCATCCCCACGGTGGTGGTCGTGGCAAGTCCAAGTCGAATAAACATCCGGTATCTATTTGGGGATGGGGAACGAAAGGAACGCGTACCAGGAAGCCAGGTCCCAAAGGTCCCAAGAACAGTAACAAAATGGTTGTCAAAGAACGACCCCGAGGGAAAGAGAAGCGAAGCAACTAGTTATCCCTTTCATTTATTGTCCGGTACATCCTCGATAATGGCATAGATTTTTCCTGAGACCTCGAGGTATAGTATTACTTCCTACATTTTTTATAGGTGAATCTTTCCCCGTAACCCGTTGAACGCGTAAGAGCCCCAGAATCACGAACGTGGGCGCCTTTAACGTCCAGATATCGAAGAACGCCAATCACTCTGCATTCGTGGCTGGTTGGCTATCTGGAAGTAATCCTCATGATCATTGCTCCCCATCGTCCTCTTCGTCATCCTCGTCGGCGAGTATCTTCTTCGCTTCTTTACTTCCTTCAGCAGCTCCGATAGCATCCCGCCACGCTGTCAGATCATCCCCGATGGCGGTCCTCGCATCTTCTACAGCGGTACGCAAACCGTCGTAGTACCCCGCGTAAGTTCGATCTGTATTTGATTCGATGTCGAACGTCATCACTTTCGTTCGGGAAAGTGTGGGCGTGTCTGTGCCCTCTGGAGGGTGGAGGACATAAGTGATTGTTACGGCCTTCGACATTGGCTGGGTGAAAGATTAGTACCAACTGATAGAGGTCGAAGTCGTGGGTTTCACTCACCGAATGGTTGTGAGGACTCAAAATGAGTTAGCGCCTCGTTGTCAAGATGAAGTAGCTGGGCACGTGATCCAGTCCACAATTTCCTCCTTTCCCTCGTTCTCCTACAATGTACACATCATCTGCAGCCCAGAAAGCCAAAAGACGAACCCACGCTCGCCCCGAGCTCAGCGAGGAGCAAAAGCAGGAAATAAAAGAAGCATTCGAGCTGTTCGACACGGATAAAGATGGCTGTGTTGATTACCACGAGCTCAAAGTCGCGATGCGCGCGCTGGGATTCGACATGAAGAAGGCGGAGGTGCTGAAGATTCTGCGGGATCACGATAAGACGGGGCATGGCCTCATGGATTTCGAGGACTTTGCAAAAATTAGTGAGTTACTTTCTGTGGATCATACGGCGAGTTTGGAAGCTACGCTGGGGGACCAGGCGCGTTTTTTCACCGTAGTACGCGTCTACGATTCCAATTTACGCGTTCCGCCTTTTAACTGCGAATGTAAATGCTGACGGTTGTTGCTCCAGTGAGCGAACGAATATTGGCGCGAGACCCTATGGATGAGATACGACGCGCATTCCAACTCTTCGACGATGATAATACGGGAAAGATAAGCTTGCGAAATCTCAGACGAGTGGCAAAAGAGATTGGCGACCGCTTAGAAGACGACGAACTGTACGTGTACCACCCTTCTTGCGAGCCATGTATCTGAGACATTCAAATCACCCTCTAGACAAGCGATGATTGACGAGTTCGACCTCGACCAGGATGGCGAGATCAACGAGCAAGAGTTTTTCGCGATAATGACGGACGATGCATGAAGCCATTTCTACCGCTACGTGTTTACGGACTGTCGTCTAGCCTATCCTGTTGTCTTTCCGATCTATCACGCATTTTGTACTATTACTCTGGATGCAACTACTACCACAACGCGTCGAGTTGCGCATGTTGTGTTTTCGAGCTCGCCTACGTTGTACGAGTGTGAATGATAACAATTGATTTATCAACGGTCGCTCTAAGAAGCGCACCCCGGCCAAGTATGCGTCGATTTTGCTTTCATAGAGGTCCTAAAGTTTCTGAGACTTGTCTGCATTCTTTTAGGTAGGAACGCCGACGTGATGGCGGTATTCGATGAAAGGGCGCTGACCTTGACAGATCTCTGTCAAGGTCTAAGTATGACCTCAGTTGCGAGACCGAGATCGCGACATCCTGAGACCGAGTGACCACACTTTAGTTGTCCCTTAGCAAGCATTGAATAATGATTACATGAGGATTGACTCCCTAGATGATTGATGTACATAGTTCAGATGTACTTACACCCACGAGACAACAAAAAAGAAAAACTACACAGAATCACAAACAACGGCCATATTCGCTGTCGTTGTCGAGCACTTGGAAATCAACGCAGACAGAAGACCGTATGAAGCGTTTCAAGAAACGGTAACGCAGGCCACTTCCTGCAGAGACTCGAGATCCGACTGGGATAGGTCACAGTGTTCGAGAACAAGATCAATTGTTGACTGTCGTCGAGCAAGCCAGCGTTTCAGGAGGGGGATATGTCCCGAGTCGCAGACGAAATCGGTACCCTCCAATCGAAGGCGCCGAAGCGACGGATAAGGCGGAGAAGTATCTTCGTCCAAGTCAAAGAGAGCAGACAAATCGAAGCTGGCGGAGAGGTGCAGCTCTTCGATGGTTTCGCATTCTTTGAGATCGAGAGGCATTCCTGATTTCTGACTTCGTTTCATTTGGAAGATACGGGGGACGCAAAGGGTAACCAGGCTCAAGATGCTTGCTAAATCGATCGGACCGCGACCTTTGAGGCTCAGGATGGGTATATGGACTCCATTGGAGTCGGTAGGGTGGCACATTTCCACCTCCCCCGGCGCCCGCATCAAGTAGTGCAAATTACTACCATGATAGCACCTGTCGAAGAAGTGGAGCACAGGCTCGACCACTGGCGTACAGTTCTTCCAAGATGCGTGCAGCGACTCGATGTTGTCCACTCTGAGATGGTCAAACATCGTGGCTATGTTTGGTTGCTCAAAGCGTACAACGATGCCACGTAAGTGGGGAAGGTGTATTGGTGTCGAGCGGGTGCTGGGTGCTGTATCCATATCCTCGGGGAGAGTCACATGAAGGCACTGCAGCGATGGCATATTCTCCAGACCCGAGAGCAGAAGGTCAATACCTGGGCACTGTATCACACTACCTTCTGCATCTAGAGCAGCCCAACCCCGATGAAGTCGAAGCTGGGTTAAATTTGACAGATAGGTAGCCTCCAGATACACCTGTCCACAGTCCAACTTCGTAATGTTCGCGAGCCAATTTGCTTTAGGTGGCAAACATCCGCGGCAATTGACGTACGTCAGTCGGGGTGCCACCCCACCAAGGAAGTCTGGAGGGAACTCTACGTCCGGAGCAGTAATGAGAATTTTCAAGAACGGTGCCGGCTTGTTGAAGAGGTGGACGAAAGGGACCTTGGCATATACTGACAACTTCTTGACTCGCTCCGGGTGCTCCACTATATGTTCGAAAATGCATCGAAGGTTCGCTGACGCCAAGTCTCCTAACCCATCGTGCCGCAAGGTGAGTGGTGCCGTCCCGGTCCTTGCAAATATTTCCTGGATAAATTTGGGATGTACGCTGACAAAACTGGTCCACAGCGCGGGCTCGTTCAACGAGATGTTGCGCCAGGCACGGCAGACATGTGTGACTGGCATCCACTTCAAATGAGGATATCTCAACAGCCTTCTCTCGGCGTCTAGATTGAAGTCATGGGCCAGGAATCCAAAAATCTTAGAAATCATCTCCGAAGGTAACCTCCTCGTCTTGCTGCAATCCGCATTGCGTTGTTCGCGCAGGAGTCGTATCTCGGCGAGAAGAATGTCGACCTGGGCGAGACGAGCATTGATCTGGTTGTCGTAGAGGTCTTGGGGTTCTTCAGAGGGTAGCAGAGTCATTCTGTGATCTTCTCGTCAACCTAATGGATTTTTTGGAGAGCGGGTAGTGGTTCAAAGTCAAGAGAAGCCTTCAGCGCTAATTCGTCTCATGTCCTAGGACCTACAATTAGGTAATCCACAGAAAACTCAGGATCACCCCACGCAATGGCACAGGTAGCATGCTACCTGATACTGAGGCGAGATGAAAGGAAACAAATCGTAACTACCCATGTAGAGTAATGCATCAGTGGACCGGGGATTTCCATCTGGGTATATTCGATGGCTCAGCATGCATCACTCAAATTCCTACAGCACTTGCATCTCAATATCAACTTCGGCGCGACTTCGTCTTAGATTACCTGGGCGGTGAGTTCTATTTGAAGTTTGAATACGACACAATGACAGAGTTCCTATCAGTGCCACCTTCTACGAGAAGCTCGCCGCATTCAAACCCGTGTTTTCATTGGTGCCTCCCAGTACGGCCGGCATGTACATATGGGTAAGTTACTTGCCGGCTTGTCGGTAGGCGTACTGATGCTCACTACATCTGCGTAGTTGCAACTCTGTTTGGACAACCATCCTTCGTTCGATGGCGATTCAGAGACCTCGACATGCAGCTTTGGACGGACCTTGCCAGGGCGGGGGTTCTAGTTGCGCCTGGATAGATGTTCTCAGCCAAGAAGAGAATACTGACGCCCCTGGCGAAGGCCATTTCAGAATGAGTTTCAGCAACGCAGATGTAAGCATACCTTTCTCAACGTCACCGGTGCTTGATATGAAATATCACGGATGGCGCAGTTCGAGGTCATTAAGAAAGCGATCACGATATTTGGTGTGGTCATCCGCAAGTTTTTTGAAAGAAACTAAAAGGTGACGCGAACGGGCTACCTTGGGATACGCTGTGGAGTGTAGACTTATGGCATCTGTTGGTTTGCTTCACAGATGCCAGGAGAGTGTTTCGAACTTAGTATAGGGCACAGATATGTGTACCTTTCGATATTCTCTGTGGGTAATACGACCACTTGAGTGCCGATTCACATTGATCAAATGCTACTGATACACATCAAAAGCCGTAGATAGGTGAGGCTGTTTCCTGATGGTAGGTGATGCAGTCGGGAGGTCCCTCGCTCAAGCAAAGTACACTTGCTATCATGACCACGTCACGTTAGTTTCCGACACACTGACACATCCATCGGGAATGCTCACATTGGTGTCCGGGACTTGGATGACCGCATTGTTATAGACCAGGAGGAGATCAGTCCCCTTCACGTTGTTCACCGTGACAGAGGTGTTCCTCAACCGAATAACAGCTGTCTCAGAAGCATTCGCTGCGCGTGACCAGTGGTTCACGGCCCAGACTTCTGGCGCATGTTCAACTGGGTAGACGGCAGCTGAACCGCCAGAGCGGGCAGTGATGGAGACATTGAGGCATGTGCCGGATTGGTTGGAAACCCAGACCATGATTATACGTCTAGAAGAGGCAGAGTGTCAGTTGGTTTCAATTGGCTGGGTAAAAGCTCGATCGAGCCATGACTCACCTCAAGAGGCTGATACTGGAAGCTTGAGCTTGGGGGTAGAACATATCCAATATACACCTTTTATATCAACATACAAGAACAAAAATGAATGGACACTCAGCCTGGATCATCCGTGTAAACGCGGAAAGCTGCTAGAAATCCGTCCGCTAGCACGAGCTGTTCGCCAATTAGTGAGCCTGCGTCGGCAGAACTCCTGGAAAAGTGCGCGATGAAAGAGATCACAACTATAAACTTGAAGTTCTATATATCTCGAAGCGAAATAGGCGCTAGTAATGGCATAACTTTCGTTATCACTTTTGACCCAGAATCGTGAATTACTTGCCTAAGGCGCGGCACACCAAGCCCTTACTCCCGAGACGTTGTTCCGTGCACAATGCTCCTGTGCGACCCAGCTCTCGCATAGACTTCGATTTTGCCATTAAATACATTGTGGATAGTATCCTGAAATAAACCGCCAGCCGTCGTCCGAAACTGCTCTCGCCAAAGCCGCCGCTGAGCCAGTGAACACTGAGTTTGGAACATCGGCGGGCCGCCGGCTACTGCCAACCTCAGGATTCTTTAGGGCTGACCTTCACCAGCCAGAAGCAAATTTTCAGGTATCACAGAGAAGGCCCAAGCGGCACACCTATCTCGATTCCCCTTGACGAAGCTCAGCTTGAAGTCCAAGAAGGGAGTTGTTGTGGCTTTCACTGAGGCATATCCTAGCACGCCAAAGGCGGATAACCCTTTCGCAGGATTTGCGGATGTCAGGCTGACCAACGTACGCGTTTACCTGGAGGGGGCGAAGACGGGCGACGGCGACCTACCGGTATTCATTGAGCACTTTGCATGGTCAATACAATGGGCGAAGCTTATCGATTTTCTCACAACCCTCTTTACTTCAGATTCCAGTATGCGCTTGCCACTGGAGCAATTCTGGTGGATGGAGATATAGAAGACGTCGTAGCCAAGAAATTTGCTCCCCCTGGCCCATTCTCATCCTGGCGCATCCGCATCAGCAATCTGTATAATCAATCTCCAGACCTCTCTGGCGTGACAAGGAGTTGGTTCGAGTTTTCTGGATCAAGTCGGTCTTTCAGTAATTAGTACCTACTAGTGTTTTAGCGTATTGGAATATATGTAGCACTCGTACACAGTTTCTGCGGCCGTTCTCGCCGTCAGCTATCCGTCAATGGCCACAAGAATTCATATAATCTTCGATAGAGTAGGAACCATGAAGCATGAACGCGAAGTAATGTAGTATGAATTCACAATCAACAGAAACAGGGAAGCTTCAACTACAAGGAACTGGGAATAACATCATCAACCTACAACCGTGACCACTTTCCGAAGCGATGCGATATCCTTGTCCGAGAGGCCGCATTCTTTGAGGACGAGCAGCTCGATTTTTGTGCCGGACTTTCGTTTAGAAATCCAGCGTTTCAGTGAAGGAATCCGCTTCGCCTTGGGCACGAAGCTCACTCCTTCAAGATGAAGTTGCCGAAGAGATGGATAAGGAATGGAAGGCGCCTCCAGGAACTCGAAGAAGGCAGATGTTGAGTATTCGGAGATGATCTGAAGTTGAAGTTCTTCAATAGTGTCGCAATCGGCGAGAGGAAACTTGGGAGGGAGTTTTCGATGCATAGCGAGGATACGGGGCACGCAGCGAGGGAGTAGATTTACCACGCTCACCAGATCAGTTGGTCGAAGGCATTTGAAGAGTAGGACAGGTGTGTGGATAGAGCCTACGAACTGATGCATCTCCAAATCACGCCCGTCCTGAAGTAAATAGTATGATAAGTTACTACCATGGTAGCACATGTTGAAGAAGCGGCACACGGGCTCGATCATGGCCGTGTCTTTGAAATCGATTGGGCAAGTTATTTCCAGCCTTTCAATGCTATCCACTCTGAGATGATTGAATATGACGGCTGACTTCGGTTTGCGAAGGTGAACAGTGATATCACGTAGGTGATGGTGGTGTATTGGTGCCGAACGGTTGCTGGGAGCATTGCTCATATTCCTGGGGAGAGTGAGGCACAACTGCTGCAGTAACGGCATATTCTGCAATGCTGAGAGCAGGAGGTCGATGTCTACGCAGTGGATGACTCCGCCCGCTGCATCCAGAGCAACCCAATCATAGCCAAGTTCAAGCGAGATTAAGTTCGACATATAGACCGCTCCAAGATGCACTTGGAAACACTCTAACCTTGTCAGATTTGCGAGCCAAGTGGCTTCAAGGGGCAGACTCTGGCAAGAAACAGACTTTAGGCGGGGTGCAACTCCACCGAGGAAGTCTGGGGGAAATTCCATATCCGGAGAGATATCGACGTGTTCCAGGAAGGGAGCGGGCTTGGTAAGGGTGTTGATGAAGTCCTCCTCGCCATGGATGTACAACCTTTTGATTCGCTCGGGGTGCTCGGCTACGTGCTTGTAAATGAAGTCGAGTGTCTTTCCTCTATCGTAAAAGCCACCCTGCCCCAAGGTTAATGGAGCTGCTTTGGACCTCGCGAAGGCTTCCGGAATCCAATTGGTGGGTACAACAGTGATATCGCTCCACAGCGAAGGGTCGTCCAGTGCGATATTGCGCCAAGTGCTACAGACATGGGTGACCACAATCCACTCCTGGTAAGAGTATTGTGTTATCTCGCTATGCAAGATGCCGAATATCGTCGATAGTATCTCTGGAGGTAGGTTTCTCGTCTTGCTACAGTCCGCGTTGCGTTGTTCGCGCAGAAGACGTATATCGGCGAAATGCGCGTTGATTTTGGCGTCATAGAGGTCTTCGAGTTCTTGAGAATGAGTGGAAATCATTCTAGTGATCATCTTTTGGTAGGACCGAAAAGTTACAGATGGTGGGGGTGGGTTGAGTTCGAAGAAATAGTGGCTGTCTCAGTTATCTGGTGATCACGTTTAGATCACGTTGTTCTCCGAGCCTCGCCAGTGGCCACCAGTGGCCACCAGTGGCCACCAGTGACGCTCAGGAACTTGAAGAAGCTGTTTTGTTCACGCTGATCACTTCTTAGTCCATTCGATAGTACAAGACTTGTTTCAACTGCACATTAGACCGAGCTTTCCGATTGTATACAAAATGTCTTTTGGTATCAAATGCAAATGTGGGGAATACTTATACTGTTAGCCGCCATGTTCAGGATCGACCTAGTCCACACAGTGCAAGAGCGGCCCTCATCATATCGTCATCCTGCGCCGGCTCCTCTTTACCTGCTTCTCTGATTTGAACGCCATGCAGCTTCATTGGCTTCAGACTTTTCCCCGTCTCGATGTTCCAACGAAGGTCACCGGCACCCAAAGTACTTGGTGGTGTCACCGCCTCATGCAGTTCGTCGTCCGTATCATCTGCATCACCTGCATGGAGCTTTACACCATCCTTCTCGGCAAGTCGCGCAGCAGCGCAAGCCCACTCTAGCGTTCTTTTCCTTTGCGCACGGCCGAACTCGACATAGTCGCGTGCAGGAGGGCTGAAAGGTGGAGCAACAGGAGACGAGGGCATGTTGTCCCATAGATTCTTGGAGTCGTGCACCTCCTCGTCTCCAGTGTATATACGTGGCCGCTTCGGCGTAAGCGGTGGCGGCGGGGCCCACAACTCAGAGCGAGAGGCTACGCGGTCTAACGAAGGCCACGATGACCGAGAGGATGATGAAGAAGTTGTGAATGGGGAAGATGGGCGTTTGCCTCGCGTAGAGGTCAACTTGGTCTTGGATGGTGCAGAATGGTTGTGCAGCGCAACGCGTCGTTCCGTCTGACGCTTGTTTTGGAACCAGATGGTCACTGAACGGCTTTCCCTGAAGATGAACCGCCAATTAGTTACTATGGTCTGCAAGTGAGGATTGGACGCAGGCAACGTACATTCCACCAGCTTTGGCCACAGCATCGCGTTCTGAACGCGTTGGATGCGAATTCTGATGATAGAGTTGCTCGAGAATCGTGAGTTGCGCGTTATTAAATCGGCGGCGTGTTCGTCGCGAGATGGCAGTCGTTGCAGTCGAGGCGGCCGTGTCGGTCGATGAGATGCTCGTTGCCGAGAGCGTGCGTGATAGCGTCGTCGTCGTCATGCTTGATGAATGTAAATGCGAAAGGCGAGTCGAGAGACTGCGCCGCGATGAGGAGAAGGTGGTGGTCGGGAAGAGAGAAGCAATGGAACGATGGAGACTATTATTTATGTGACCGTCGACTGCATCACAAGCGCACACCCCTGCACAGCGGGAACGGTTGGTTGATTGAGGACGCGTAGTGCGGAGTTTCAATGCGCGTGCTTTCATCACATGACCGACGCGGAATCAAATGATTGAGCCCTCGAGCCCCTATTCTGAATTCGACGCGAAATTGGTCAAGGCCTCAAGGAACTATAAGGTCTGGTCACAGCAACTGGGCCAAACTTGGGAGTTCACTTCGATGTGCTGGCCGGCCATGGATCACTGGCATTGGTCACTGGATATCTCCTTTGTGGAAATGTGGCAACTCGCCACTCGTACTCATTGACCTGTGGCAATAGTGGGTAGTTTATAAAGGGTGTCTCAACAGCTTCCAACAGCACCATCTTCCTCCCGAACCACCACTCTCCCAGCTCTTTTGCGCCACTCATTTCATCACATTCTGGCGGGACATGGAAACCTTGACCTGCCTGGTCCTCGACGAGCGTTGCTTGTTGTTCGCTTCTGGTTATTTCGGGCTGGACATTATCGAGAGGCGACGACACTCCGGCGGCAAGAGAACAAGATTTTGCCATAATATTCGCGTCATCTGATCGTTGGATCTAAACTCTGTGCTCTCTCCTCTACAACGGTTGCCCCAAAATGGATATACGCCTAGCCGTACCTGGATGTCTCCTCGACTTCAAGCTGATGACTCTGCTGTTGCTCTGGGCTACGTACCTGAATTTGAAGACCGATTTCCGTCGTGAATCAAGCGTGGGGCTTTGGGTTAATGCGACTATCTGCTCTGGGCTGTTTGTGCGCGTCTTGTAAACTTGGCTGCTTCCTTCGACCGTCGTGGATCGCTCTCGTCAGTTTTCTGGTCCTCGTAGTTTCGCCTACGCTTCATCTGTGCTCTCCTTTCCCACTTGTATTTTGGAAACGGTCTTGTGTCATCGGTGCGAAAGTCGTAACTCGTGGCGTATTTCCCTTCCAGGCATCTGCTACTGGTGTTGTTCTGCCCCCTTCGTCTGGCCCTTCGGGATGGCCAACGACCCGTGGATGAAACTGGTCGTCCTGTCACCAATATCTGCCTCAACCAAACTATAACTCACATCGACGACTGAACTTTTCTTCTCCCTGGCTATGGACCTCTGTTCTGGATGCGCTGCTTTTGTCCTCCTGGTGGAACTTATATCCTGTTCGGCGACTAAGGACTCTCAAGACGAACTACCGTGGACTCGGCTCCCTTTGCGATCTAGGATGGAAACAACGCCAAGGATTCAACGTCCCTTCAACTCGGGCGATCTGTTTTGCATCTCCTCTCTGAGTCCCCTCTCCCTTGGACGAACAAAACCACGCATCCATGGAACTGGAACGGCTAGGATCATTAGGGTTATCGTGCGACAACTCCCCTTGAGCTCGATGATCATGAATCAACAGGGAACCAATCCTGTGGAATCGGTGTCAATGATGCGGCGAACTACCTTCGGGAAGTGAGAAAGAGCGTACCGTGTGTTCGGAACCGCAACGGCTATCGGGAAACGTGCTGGCCGACCACCCAAGGCATCGGGACCTTAGGATCATGAGCGCGAAGGATCAATGCATCATTCAAGAGCCGGACGCTCGGTCGACTTCGCCGTTGGCCATCTGGCCCACCTCTATGCCTGTTGACTTCCTGCGAACTGACTCTTGACTTATGGACCTTCGATTTTCCGCCAAGGCGAATGAATTAACCCATGGAACACGCCCTGTGGTCGTCAACTCTAACCTCGCCGCTCCGATTGGTCTCAGCCCGTAGCGCATTGCTGGCATCGGTCATAGTCGACCGCCCTCTTTGTTCATATTTCTTGTATTGGTCGTAATCAAGATTTGATGTCCATGGCCGGACTCCATCTGCGCGATGTGAGTACCCCTTTGATACCGGGAGGAATCATTGATATTATTGCTTGACAGGGGGGTGTCAGAACCCCCGGTGAGTACTCAACATTGACTCGGATGTTCATTCGGGATACTGACTTCCCTATATGTATAGAACTCGGTCAATACTGGCAACAATGATGTGAAAATACCACAGATAAACAGGGTACATCATCCGAAACGCTGTTTTGCCAGTTGCTGGAACATATCCATTGTTGCTTTCTCCTTCTCCTTGAAGTGGCTCGCCCGTTCTCTCATCTCATACGCCTTCTCTGCATTCTTCTGTTTGTATCGGTCCTTGTTGGCGTCTCTCTTTGCGATCCTGTAATAGAAACATACGGCCGCGATGAGCTGGAATATAGAGACTTAGAATTAACTGAAACAACACGCACGCTGCTCGAAAGCTATCTCCACCACCCATCAGAGTGGTCTCATCAGCCTCAAGCCCGTCTTCACCCTTCTCCCTGAATGCACGATCATTATCCCGCTTGGCTCGCTTCTTCTCTAGCATCCCCTCACGGCCTACTTCCTTCGGCCCGACCATATCCTCAATCCGGTCCTTCGCTTCCATCTTGTCTCGCTTGCGCTTGTATTTGCGCTCTTCGTCGCGGTTCTCTGCTTCGAGTTCACGGGCGAGCGCGAGGTCGGAGGACGAAGGGAGAGTGGGACCTTGGAGTTTGCCGCTACCAGAAGCAGAGGCTGCGGCGTCTCGCCCATGAGTCGCTGCGGCTATCTCATGCCGCGCAGCGTCTAAAGCAGCGGCGTCATTTCGGGTCTGCTTGGAAGCAAATGACCACTTGTAGCTCGTTTGATTTGCCGCAACGGAGGCAGGGTCTGCGCCGGCGTATAGTGACTCTAGACAGTAATATTAAACCATGCAACGACGTTGAAACCAACATGCCTACTGGATAGTTTCCCCTTGTTCCAAGCCTAGAATCCATTGAATGAAAGGGTCAGTACACGCGCGATGCTCACGACATGCACGGATTACACACCTTTACAAACTTTCGAAAGTAACTAAACATCACAATTGAGTTCGCATGCCAGAGCTGTGGAACGGTCTAACCTTCTAGCTTTCTCCCCCGACAGTTCATCGAAGTACTGCAGGGGACATGAGCCTACACATACTACACCGAGGTCGAAATGCAGTACGGACCTTGCGCTTCTCATCCTTCAGCCAGATTCTGAATTCTGCGCTCTTGAGAAAATAATCGGATTCTGATATTGGAGAGGCGTTGTGTGGGAGGTCTCTGGATCTCTCTGGAGAACGTGAGCGTGAACGAGAGCGCGAACGGGATGCCATGAGTGTAGGACACAAGAGGCCGAAATGGGCGCCTGTTTGTGTTCTCCTCAATCTTATTCAATCATCAACTCCGAGTCACCTCCATCGTTATCCCCCTAGATCATGGCAGAAGTAGCCGCTGCTCCGGTTGCAGACGCGATGCAGGGTGTAGTAGATGCTGCCGCTCCTGAAATTCCAGTCGTAGAGGCACCAGCAGTCCCCCAGGAACCTGAATACAAGTCGGAGACACTGTATATCCAAAATCTCAACGAAAAGGTTAAGCTGGATGGTATGTCCTCGCTTGTGCACATGTTACCTTTGTTGACTCAGTGAACAGTGCTAAAGGCTTCGCTGCGCGGCCTCTTCAAATCGTATGGCGAAGTGCTCGACGTCGTCGCGCACGACAATCTGAGAATGCGTGGACAGGCCTTCGTCTCATTTCCATCGGCTGATATTGCAGCAAAGGCGATGAAGGAGGTTAAGGGGTTCCCTCTGTACTCGAAGCCAATGGTGTGTGTTTCGCAAGCCTTTCTCGATTGGTGGATTGTTACCTATGCCTTGAAAGCAAATATCATTCGCGCGAACGCGATCAGACGCCGTAGTGCGAACCCTCGATCCCAACAACTTCGATAGCCACAAGACCAAGAGAACCGAACACAAAAGTGGGGCCCATCATTTTGTTGCTCGCAATGCCATTGACCAGATCTTTCAGAGAAGACAAGATACACGAATCCGCTGAAGCAGAAATTCCGGGCCAAGCGCATGGCTGCTGAGAGTATGTTTTGATTTCACCTATCGCCTGTATTTCACTGACACTTTGTCTTTAGTGGATGGTGCGGCCGCAGTGCCTGCTACGAAACGTCCCAACGTCCAAATGCCGGACGAGTATCTCCCACCGAACAAGATTCTCTTCCTGCAAAACCTACCGGAAAGCGTCACGAAGGACCAACTTATGGCTCTGTTTGCTCAATATCCCAATCTCCACGAAGTTCGTCTCATTCCAACGAAGAAAGATATTGCTTTCGTGGAGTATGTGGACGAGAACAGTGCAGGGGCTGCGAAGGACGCCCTACACAATTACAAGTTGGATGGCGAGAACAAGATCAAGGTATGAGTGCCTCTGTCGATATGGCCTCCAGTGGACTGACGAGATGCATCTAGATAACGTTCGCAAGGAAATGAGAGTCTTGGGTACTCATTCATTTCACGACTATATTGTGCTCTTGCTAAACTGTATCTTTGTATGTTGTAAGCTGTTACTTTCGCTTTTGCATCCACGGCCTCAGTATTGTAAGAGCGAAGACGGTGCTTGCAAGGGTGTTTTTGGCATGCATCATATCATATTGAACATAATGAGTACTGTTGTGGCCAGATGTTTACTCCTCATCCTCATCATCACCACCCTCCTCCTTCTTGGCAGCAGCAGCAGCGCGCTTGCGCTTGACACGGCCAGGGCGTCCACCACCGTACGGCGAGGTGAGAGCGAAGTCAATATGCTTCTGGGAATCGAGACGAACGACGAATGAGGGGACGTTAACGATTTGCTTGCCGACGCTGCAGACCATCATCTGTGAGCGTTATGAGAACGAAACGAAGATACTGAAACGCACCGAATGTGGCGTTGCCTGATGAGAACACGGGCGTGGTGGATGCTCTTGGCCAATCCGCTCTTGAAGACCTGGGTCTGCAGACGGCGTTCCAAGAAATCTTCGATCTTCAAAGCCAGCACGTAATCGAGACGCATGCGGGTCTCATCGAGCACACCGATACGGACGAGTCGTCGGATCAAGGCGTTACCCTCGAAGAGACGCTTGGGGTCCTTCTCGTCGAGCTTGAGCAGCTCACGGGCGGCACGACGAATTTTTGAGAGGATAAGGGCAATGCGCCAGATTTCGCGCTTGTTGCGGAGGCCGTATTCACCGGCGAGCTACACACGATCCATGCAGTGAGAAATGCGCACAAGTTTAATAAGATAGGCAAGGGGCACACCTTGAGCTCGGCATCTAGACGAGCGGATCCGAATGGTCGACGGGGGACCTTGTAGCTAGAAAAGACAGAGTCGAGGAGGGGCACGGCCGATAGTCAGCTCTCATGCATCCCGTCCACATCATGTGGATCTTGAAGATAAAGTGCTCACGTCTTGCTGTGGTTTCTTGGGGCCCTGTTAAGTATATTGAGCACACAGTCTGCAACAACGAGGAACGACCAAACGTTTACCTGGGCATTTTGCTTGATGGTGTCGACGGTGGACTTGCGGCCGCGACACAAAATTGGGTGAGGAGGTATACAAACCAAAGCTGGACAAACAGAGTAGGCTCGGCAGGCGCCAATTGTCAACTGTAAAGTACCCCCAAGCCACTCGGGATCTTCCGATCAGTCGTCTCTGCGTGCAGCAATTCTTCAACGCCAACGCCAACGACACCGCCCATTGTGAGCATCGCTGCCATTCTGCTGCGCCGACACCTTGACTAAAGAATACCACAGTCCTCAAGATGCCTCACTCATTCGGTTACCGCGCGCGTACGCGCCATATGTTCAAGCGGGGGTTCAAGGGTATGATCGTACCAGGACTTTGAGTGGTCATCGAATAACGATATGGATCGTAGAACATGGCCCCGTCAAGTTGTCCACCTTCCTCATCAACTACCATGTAGGCGACATCGTTGACATCAAGGCCAACGCCGCCCAGCAAAAGGGTATGCCCCACAAATACTACCACGGGTGCGTGCACTTTATCACTGCAGGAAGATCGTAGCTGAAATTATGCTTGATACGCTAGACGAACCGGAATCGTGTACAATGTCACCCCTTCCGCGGTCGGTGTCATCGTTTACAAGGTTGTTGGCAACCGCTACCTGGAGAAGCGTGTCAACCTCCGTGTCGAGCACGTCCGACACTCAAAATGCCGACAGGAGTTCTTGGACCGGGTAAAGACCAACCACGAAGCGCACGTCAAAGCCAAGGCTACAGGCGGTGAGTACCATTGATTGTGGGCTATGCTTTGCTTATCGAATGTAAATAGAGCGGGTAAACTTGAAGCGTGGACATGTCCTTCCTCGGGAGGCGTACACTGTTACGACAACAGACAACGTTCCCCAGACTATGGTTCCCGTGCCTTACGAGACCACCATCTAAATGCCATGCTCGTCCACATCATTATTCCGTCCATGTCATGTACCTCATGCCATATATGCAACTGCACAAAACCATGAAACCATATGATCGGACGACGTTACTTGAAAGCACTGAGTTTCCTTCCTGCCTTTCCACCTCGCCGATTTCTTTTCCAATCTGAATACCTATGATGCCGACGAGGTTCACTGTTTGCTACCGGCCTTCTGAGAGTGTCGTAGTTACTGGTAATTGGTTGCAGGTGCCCAAACAATTTCGTGTGTTGCCTGAGCCTCAAAGCAGACGCATTACTATCACTTAGACAGATTTGCAAAATTTTGGACAATTCAACCCGGTGCTCCAGATTGGATGTCCCTACAACTCCCGGCATGCTACGAGAGGTTGTCGCTCATCTTGTCTAAATACCTATCAACTTTTTGAGTGAATCCCTTTCCGAGTAGTAGAGCAATGACGATGCCGGTACGACAAGTACCCAAAAACATAGATTTGCAAACTTTTCGTCACAGTGTGTCACGCGTCATTCAGACCCAGCAGCGCAGCCGTGTGCCGCCGTATGCATTCGGCCGCTCGCTCGGCAACACATGGATCTGCAAAACAAGGGGCAAATAGGAGCTTCTTTGTCACGCAAAATGTTGCTGGTTTTCCTGTGCATGAACCAGTAGGTACGAGTGCAAGGGACTCTAGATTCAGACTCTAGCGCTACTATACTAGCTAAGAAAAAAATCAGAAGTCTGTGGGATTGTTATTACTTCCACAGCATTCAAGTCAAATTTGAAATGACTATTTGCACGTCACATTTTGCCCGCGGAAATGGGCTTGCAACTTCTCAAATGCCTTGAGATTTTTACAGTAGCTCAATGAAGTCTATTTCTCAAACATACTTCATGTCCGAGCATAGGACATGGAATCTACAACAACTTAAAATTGGTTTTGCATATCTATGTGTGTTTGCACTACAGTACACGTGATAGTAGCCTTGAGATCAGCCAGGCGAGAGTTCATAGACGAGGGTGCACTGGAAAACCCCTATCTAGCAAAGGCGCCAAGATGTTTTTTGGTTGCGACAAATTTCTATCCTGCTTCAAACTTCGGAGAGAAGTGGCCGGCAGTCGGTGACTGAGCTCTGATTCTCTCTTGCCGTCGCGGCTCAAGCTCCGTAAAACAAGGCAGCGAAAACTCTCCAAAAGCATGGTGATATAGGGTCTAGTACTTCGGTGAACTGTTATAAACTCACATTGTTTCTTTTGCAATCTTGTACAGCGTCTTGACATATCACGCATGCGCTCGTATCCATGTTTTCTTCGTCCAGAATCGAATTTCAAACCGTGGTCGCTGCGAGCACCGGACTCGGCAACATGCAAAGTTCCACGTGCGGCGGAGGTCTGGGCCATTTGAGGTTGCCAAGTGGCACGGGCAGAGTGTTCCGTTGCAGTGCGCGACCCAGTCCCCAGCTAGTCCCTGCCCAGTTCGTTCCCGTATGAAACCCAGGTTTCCACGGGGGCCGACTGGTCAGGCCGGCTGGCTTCTGGAGCGATCAGCAATCAGCAATGAAATTATAGTGCTTGTCTCGTATATAAGCCTTGGGTGTGCAACGCCGTTTTTTCTCTCCATTAATCATCACGTTCACTTTACCAACAAACTCCTCAACTAATTCCCCCTACTCTTCCCGGAACGATGTGGCCAGTGGAGGTTGCGTTCTTGACCATCCTGGGCCTTTCTTCCTTTGGATCATGTTCCCCTCACGAACGGTATCCGATACGGACACTTTCTCCCCGAGGCATCGTCTACGACGGCAACATCGCTGACTCCTACGACTTCGTTATCGTCGGTGGTGGCCAAGCTGGCCTCGTACTCGCTGCCCGTCTCTCTGAGGACTCCAATCACACTGTCCTCGTCCTCGAAGCCGGCGACACTGGCGATGCTATCCGAAACGATATCGATGTGCCCGCTTTTGCCTACTACAAGTCTAAGATGGGATCGTCTTACGACTATGGCTTCCAAACTGTACCCCAGGCGAACCTCGGCGGCCGTGCCATCAGTTGGCCCAGAGGCAAGATTCTTGGCGGCTCCTCAGCTGTCAACGGCATGTATGCCACACGGCCCTCACAAATTGAGGTTGACGCTTGGAGCACCCTCGTTGCATCAGATGATAGCGATGCCGCGAAAGCTTGGGGCTGGACGAGTTTCCTTAGCGCTATGAAGAAATCTGAGCATTTCACCCCGCCAGGCTCCGATGTCAGAAACCTGGCCGATATCCATTACCAGCCGTCGAATCACGGAACAGGCGGCCCTCTGCACATTTCTTACCCTGGCTAGTAAGTCCTGGCGACCTTGCACATTTAATTCATTGTCTTATGCATCCGATCGCAGCACCTTCTCCCAATATCGCGACTGGCTAGTTACACTCAACAATGTCGGTGTTCCCGACAGCGAGGACGCTGCCGGTGGATCTACCGAGGGAGCGTATGCGACGACGTCCTTCATCAACCCCACTAACTGGACACGTTCTTACTCTAAGTCGGCTTACATCGACCCGTTGCCACCCCGCGACAACCTCGCCATCCTTGCCAACGCTACCGTCACTCGCATTATTTTCGACAGCTCGAACTCGAACAATTTGACTGCCACTGGCGTGGAGTTCGCAAGCAACCGTGATGCTACGAAGCGCACGGTCAAGGTGTCCAAAGAGGTCATTTTGGCTGGTGGTGCCGTCGGCAGCCCGCATGTCCTTCTCGTCAGTGGTGTCGGACCCAAGGACACTTTGGAAGCAGCCGGTGTCCCGGTTTTGCACGAACTCAACGGAGTCGGGCAACACATGGCGGATCATTTGGTGAGTCAGCTTCTGAAATAAGAAATCCTGATAATCGCTAACCCGTTTTTGTTCCCAGAGCTCTGGCGTCACCTACGCCGCCAATTTCGACAACGCGGGAGCCATTTGGGCTAAAGGTGGAGACGTCGCTGTACGTGATGTGTTGCGCAATCATAATTATCGGTATAGCTCACTCATTCACCCCCTGCAGAATTCGCCGGCGTTCTTGTCGTTCGTCAATTCGGCAATTGCATACGTCAATTTGACCACCCTACTGGGAGACGATGGAGCGAAAGCCCTACAAGACGAAGTCCGCCAAGGCTCCCCTTCGTCTTTGGCTGGATCAGACTCCGACGTTCTTGCTGGAGACAAAGCCATCTACTCTGCTGTCAGCGGCACCATTTTCGGCTCGCACATCGGATCTGCCGAGATGCTTCTCAGTTTGAACACACCAGGAAACGTCGCTATCCAGGCTGGTCTCCAACACCCATTCTCCGTCGGCCGTCTTTCCATCAACACTTCCAACGCGTTCGACAGCCCCATCATCGATCCGAACTACCTTTCGCACGCCTCAGACAGGACCATCCTGCGCGAGGCTCTCAAGCTCGCGCGTAAGCTCGGACAAACGGAGCCGCTGGCATCATCGTTGGGCGACGAGATCACCCCAGGACCCAGCGTCAACACGGACGCGGAATGGGACGCCTGGCTGTCCACGCACGTCGGCACCGAGTTCCACCCCTCGTCGACTTGCGCCATGTTGCCACGGAACCTCGGCGGTGTGGTCAACGCGAAACTGCAGGTCTACGGCACGGCCAACGTCCGTGTTGCGGATTCGTCGATCTTCCCCCTGTCATTCGCTGCCCATGTAAGTTCCCTTGCGAATTATTTATTTGTTCGCGAGATACGAGAGTCTGACTGTTACGCTTTTGTAGCTTGGTGTCCCGACGTACGGCGTTGCTGAACAAGCCGCTGATATCATCCGTGGCTTCTACAACGGTGTCGCTTCGCCAGTGTCGCCGCCGTCCTCGACGTCAGCGTCCGACTCCTCGTCTTCGCAGACGCCTTCGACAACGAACCAGAATAACGCTGCTTCTACGCACGCAATAAATTCATGGCTCAACTGGACATTGTTATCCGCTACCTTCCTTACATCTGTTCTCGTCCTCTAAACTCATCCGAGTCGTCGTTCTTTCACCCCTCACTCAACGGACACCAGCCATTTTCACGGACTCGTCTTTGCTTACTTATTAACTTATACGTTCGTTCGCCTCTTCCCCGCAAGACAGTTTGCTAGATAACAGCTTGTTATTATACCTGTCTCAGTGATATCCTTACGGACTACACACCTCGTACTGCGTAGTACATTATTGCCTTGGCGGCGATGTCGTCGCCATGTTGTTCTCAGACCCCACCAGTAGCAGTCATCATGTAGTCGGACGATGCTAAGTAGAATAGAAGAATCAATCATGTATACCTAGCACCCCTTGCATAATGCTACCTCGATTGCTATAGCCGTTTCACGGGCGCGTCCACTTCGTCAGGTTCCTTGTTATGCTTAAGGGCTGCGACCTTTTGGGGGAAGATACCACGAAGCCCGTTCCCGTAGTATGGGCCGAGTTCTAATTAAAGCCAGTTCCTCATATTGCCAGTGTATCCGTAGATATAATGACAATCCAATAGGCAAATTTCTCCATGTCAACTTTCATCACTACCACCTTGCTCACTGCCCCAGCTCCTGAAGGACTCCTACGCAGTAGGTACCACGTGGAAACCAATCCGGAAATTCACCACATCTACTTACACGTGTCGAAAACGACCCAATGTCTGTCTCCCAGTCCAAGTCCAAAGAGCTTGAAGATTACTACGACAACAGGATCAATGCATGCTTGGCTGAGGCTCGCCTTCTCCGCCAGCAGCGCAACGCAGACTGCAGCAAGACGAAACATCTACCTGCAGAGATACTGTCGAGGATATTTGGCTGTCTGGTCTATAGTGGGCATTCCGACGACTTCCCTCTGCAGTGGATCGCGGCCACCCATGTCTGCCGCACCTGGCGCACCATTGCGCTGAACGAACCCACATTATGGGCCGATTTCACCGATGTGCATCCCAAGTGGGTCCGCGAGATGTTCTCGAGGTCCCAGGCAGCGCCCTTGATACTGCGGTTATCGCTGGATTCGGCAAATCACCTCGCCTTCATTTTCGAGCACGCACTCGAGTCTCCGGAGCGACTCGCGGAGCTGCGCGTGTCTCAGCAGCCTTTCATGGCCCGTTTGACCCGCCCCGCCCCGTTCTTGCGCTCTCTCGACATCGGGGACGTAGATATTCCTCCGGACTTCCTTGGTGGGGTTGCGCCGCGACTGCGCACCCTGAATTGCTCCGGGAATATGCATCTGCCGCCCGAAGCGAGCTGGCTGGAAAACCTGACAGAGCTGAATTCCCTCGGAGTCGTGAACCTCCAGGCGTCCTATATGTCCAAGTTAACTTCCCTGTGCCTTGGGGGCGACTGGAGCGCGTGGGATGCCGCGAGTGGTCAGCCATGTCGAGTATCCGTCGACACCCTGCTCTCAGCTCTAGAGAACATGCCGCTGCTACAGTCCCTAAACCTCCTGCTTCCCAATGACGTGCAGCAAGCATCTCGCAGCCGTTTGGCACCGGTCTACCTTCAGCACCTCTCCGACGTAACAATCATTTTCGACACCCTGGAGGCCGCTACAATCTTCCACCATCTCCGCACAGATAAGATCAAGAAGCTGGTCGCCGCGGGACTATGCGATGACAATATCGCGATGATCGAGCCTGCGTGTCGCTTTTTCGAGACATTCTACCACGACGGCGGTTTGCAGTACTTGCTCTATAAGAGACATGCACTTGAAGTCCATCGGATCGAATCCTATGGCGTTCATACACTCGTCCTGATGATCGAATACTGGGAATACCTAGCACCTAGCACTTTGGCAGGCGTTGTCAGCATGCTCCCTAGCTGCGTGCCGCAGATCCTGGAAATGGAGCTGGATAATGAATCCCCTCTACATGCTTTTGCGCTTCCTGAATGTGGTACTATCGAAGAGCTCCGGATCAGCACACATTACCGCACACCACTCAATGTCTTTCAGACAAGCGATGCCTCCACTGCACCATACCCATCGCTTCGGCGTCTCGAATTCCAATTCATCGACTTCACCTGCACTCCCGAGTCCGCCGACCTACTGAAACGCTGGATATCCGCTCGAGAGCCTTCAGCAACACTCGAACTCGTCCTCAGAGACTGCGACATCTGGGAGCAAGACTTTGCGTCTCTTCAGGAAGTCGCCGCGGTCAGCCACGCATAGTCGTTCGTACATTTCCCTTTATTCTACTTACTAGGTAAGTAGCTATTCTGGTATCCCTCCAAACATCCTCCGAGTGGGATGGTACAATGAGGTCAACATCTCGACCGCGTGTTTGTGTTTGTTCGAGATAGTCCCTCTCCATTGTATCTTGCTCGTTGAACGTGAGATACAAGCCCTCGCTGCGGGGAATAAATGCGAGTAGCTTGCGATAGCTTCGGCCTAATGCGTGTCAATTCTAGAGAGGTGAGATCCGGCTGTTTGTAGCGAACCTGCGTGGGGTGTCGATGATCGGGACGAGCGCCTTGAGGTGCTGCGCAATCAGCGAGTAGTACAGCACCCGGTTCTGGTCCTGGAACGAGGATGAGCGTATACCCGCTGTTCTGCATGGCCTTCACGTACCTTCAGGCTTTGCAGGAATGTGTTCTTCCGTATGGCGGTGTCCCTCGACATCAACTGGTCGTACGCACGTTCGCATTGCTCTCCTAGCGTATTGGTCCGAGACCGTTCAAGGGGAAAGCCTGTCGTTCCGCGATGGAGAAAGCGGTGCCCTTGTTGAATCGCGCGTTGGTGAGAAGGGCAGCGCCCCGCAGAGCGACACGGATCTGGGGTTTGGGAATGGGAAGCACCATGATGGCGGTGGAGGTGAGAGAGCGAAGGACGTGCTATTCTTGCTGCTTCAGAGGTCTGGATTCTGGGACGGCGCCGATAACCATGCCCGCAAGCCTGCACGGGGACCTGTGGCCGAGCATGCTGGTATGGCGATGGTAAGTACGGCACCGATCAGGCGTGAATTGGCTGAATCTGCGGGGCCCCGGGATCGAATCGACAACGTCATTGATACAAGGCGAATCGCATCCTCGGAGCTGACAATTGCGGGGTTCTGGAATCACGTCATATTCGGATGAAATTTGTGGACTTTCCCTGGATGCCTCATCGAGCCTTATCGAGTGCTTAGCGCTTAGCGTTCGTCTTCGTGTTGAGCATCTTGTGCGAATGCCGTCGCTCATCCTGCATTGGAGATATCGCCTGCTCGGCGGACTGATAACAACACTCCTCACTCTCTTCCTCTATCAATTCGCCACCCGAGATCTCTTCCTCCTGTCTGCTCCCGTGGTACACCATGCTCGCGCCTTTCCGACCACCGAGTTTCTAGCCCACGCCCCCGGGTTCTCAGTCATTCAAAACCTGTAAGCTCGCGTCATCCACTCCACCCGCCTGACAGCCGCAACGCCCTTCCCAGCTTTTGGCGCAATGGGACGTTTTACTTTGTAACCGACCAGCCATGGCATATCCCGCCTATCGCACAGGTCGTCTCGCTATCCACCGACAGGACACGGAAGTTCGACGACGGGCGAGTTGCAGCGAAGATCAAGGCTATCCGCCTCCCGCCCGTGAGTCCAGAGGTCAAGGAGCAGAATCAGATCGGGGACACTATCAGTCTCGAGGATGCCGAACGCGAGTTTGGTGCCGCGGAAGTCATTGAAGGGCCTATGGTGAGTGTTGACTCTCAAAGGGGCGGACTACCAGTGTTCAACGGGCGTGGTTCGTGTGTAGATCATCAACAACGATGATAACTGTGCGTATTCCCTGCATAAGCTTCAATGTGTACACTCAAGACGTTCAACCAGTTACGGCACACTGTGAGTTTTGCTCCCTATGTTCTCATTCGACATTAAAGAGACGAGCATCGAAGACTACCACTGGATCGGTGAGCTTCACCGTCTCATCAGTGCTGCAGCATGCTAAACGAGTTAAATACGCGAGTCCAGGCGAAATGTTTCTCGGCGTTTGGAGAGTCTGGCATCACCACGGGTGGCGCACGGGTGTCCAGCTGCCCGAAATCCGACGCATCGCATACACGAAGCAACACTCCAAGGCGGACGCCCCGCCCGGCGCCAACGTCTGGTTCATCGACAAGTTCTTGTACGTCGCAACCTCCTCCCTTCTTCTTACGGGTGTCGCAGAAGTAACGCGCCGCCGCGCAGCCCGGGCATCCAATGGGACACCAAAACGACATGGGACGCGCGCGCGGCCGCGGACAAGACGTACCGCATCACGACGGCCATTCTCGGCGATCGCTCCGCCGGGCACGCGGGCCCGTCCTCGGCGTACAAGCCCTTCGGCGACGTCCTCCGTTTGCCGGTACCCCCCGACTGGCTCGCCGGTCTCAAGGCCCGCGTCCTGGGCGAGTACCACGGCCCCACCCCGCTGTCGATGCCCGACACGCCGCTCGTCCTGTATCTCCAACGCCAAACGCCAAACCGACGGCCGCAGACTCGTCGAGGAGGACCACGCGGCTCTGATCAGGGAGCTGTATACGCTGCAGGAGGACGGGATCGCGGATGTTGCGTTGCGCTCGAGGCGTTTAATTCGACGATGGCGTTTGACGAGCAGGTTGCGCGGATTGCGCGGGCGACGGTGCGCCGAAGTCGTTGGCGTTGGCTCTGGGATGAGGAGGCTTGGGCTTGGGCTTGGGCTTGGGCTTGACCTTGACTTTACCTACGCTTCCTCGATGCCGCTGTAGATCCTAGTCGGCGTGCATGGCAACGGGTTGACACACTCGCTGTGGATGACGCCGACGCGCCTCAGCGCGGTCTTCGAGTTCCAGCCCCGGGCTTGCACGATCGTATGTCTCCTCCATTCCACCATTTTCAATTATTATTGTAGGACTCACTCCTTGATGCGTTGGTGCATTGACGATAGACGGACTACAGCCCGCTCGCAACCGCCGCCGGCATTGCCCATTACCTCGTACACGAGACCGAGTGCGTCCACGTCCAATCCCCCAATCCCCCAATGCTCCAATGCCCCAATCCCCCAATCCCCCAATGCCAACCCTCCGAACACCGCGCGCTAACATGCTTGCTTGCCCTTGCCCTTGCCCCCCTTGCCTGCCTTTGCCTTGCCTGCCTCCGCAGCTTCTGCCGCCCCCTGGAGTGTCCGACACGCGGATGCGAGGGCCCGGTGGGACTTATCAACGGCGTCGTGCGCCTCGATCCATCATCCGGGGGTGGTGACTGGTGAGATACGCAGGATGTTCATTGTTGGCCGTGGATGCGTGATGGGTGATGGGTGATGTGTGATGGGTGATGTGCATTTGGGTTTGACTTACTTGTTTACTCCTGGCGTTCAAGCCAAGGTACAGGCGCTGTGTCTCTGTCCTGCATCTGCATTATGGCCGCAGTCGGTGTGACGAAATCCAGACTGTGCGACCAGCGCATTGTCATCGTATATGGCGCCGGCTCCGCGAGACTCGGAATCGCCTGTCAGCTGCGCGACGCCGACGCCATGGTAGGTAGCCACAGACGGCGCTGTTTTCGAAATGCAGACGCGCTGATCTACCCCGGCCTCGGGTTCGGGTTCGGGGGCGTCCTCTCCCAATCACGGCGGATGTCAGATTGGGGTTGTTGAAATAAGCTGGTGAGGTCGCGCGAATTCCGAGTGAGCAAGCAGGTATGTATTGTGTTTGGCTGGGACTCTAGCAAACGCATGAAGAGAAAGTATACATGCACGCGCGAACTAGCTACGTAGTTACGTGAACCCCTGTAGCCCCTGTACCGCCTAGATTGTCAGAATCCAACAGGGGTGGCTGTGGCTGTGGCTGAACAGGTGATTGGGCGATTGGGGAGGGGAGCGCTGGGTGGGCGAAGGGCGAGGTACGGTCGTTGTATGTTTGATGCAAGGTATACTGATACTGATGGCGAACTTTGGTTAGTATATAGGTATTGTACTGGTATGATACGGAATACAGTGACGATATCGTGCTCTTCTCCTGAGCACGGTTGTTGATATAGTGTGACTTCGGGCCTTACCAACGGCGAATCGTTCATAGATGGAACGCGACTGCGCACTCTTTCGCCACGTCTCCTCTCTTCAGTCAGGCTGGATCAAATCCAGCCGCAATCGATTTCATCACTCAAGCTGTCTCGGATAAATTCCGAGCAGAGTGATCATCCTCCGCAGGCATTTCACGACATTGTTTTTGGTCGCCTTCGTTCCGCGCCATATCGTTTCTCCGTAGAACCGCAGGAGGGTCGACATTACTTCAACTGTGGACCACAGTCCACCTTCCCAGCTTCGAGTTGGCGGAGATAGCGAGTAAGCATTGCTTTCCCTTGATCAACGTGCTACTGTAAGCCTCACCCTCGAACTGCATAAATAGATATCGATAGTGGACCCTCTTCGATTTTCGGGACTTCGTATTGGCACAGCAACGATGTACGTATGTGGGTTCCTATCTCGATTTCATGCTATTCCCCCGCTCCAACCCCCATCGACTCGCACGGATTAAAAAAGCCCAATACGCGGACAAAAGACAATCCCTGAACGACTGCAATTCCATCAAATGATCCAACCGAGGCCTGGGATTCAATCGACACCTGGTACTCGCGCGTTGCACATTCGCAGAAGCCAGAAGCCACATACTGCGCAACCCTTCACAACAAACCTTTATTAGCTAGGTGGCGAAACACATATATACAGCAATGTGGCGACTGTGATTGGCGAAGGATCCACTGAATTGCTGTACTCGGGCGCACTGCCTGTGTAGAAGGTAATGTAATCATTGATGGACTGAGTTCCGTCAGCTTCTGAGCGATGTTTTGCGGTAATGTTGATATGACTGGATACGAGTACTTAAAAGGTATGCCGGCCCTCCTTGCGTGCGCAGTGTCTCTTCGCCCTCCTCCACGCCCACATCAATGGATAATCAAGGCGTTGGCAAAGTCGTAAACGCCACGGCCGCCCACGTTGCAGCGCTGACCAGCGGCATCGAGGCTAGCACGGAGGTTGCGATAATGTGCATCGGCGGCCGTTCGTTTGGGCAGCTTCTCGTTTACACGTCTACGTTCGACTTGGAGAGCCGCTATGCGGGGATGAAGAAAGCGTTTGGGGACGATATGGAAATTTTGACGACGACGGGCTCCTCTCCGCCGCAGGATCTGCAGGCGGCGGACTACGACAAGTTGATCAGCAACGCGGAGGCAGCGCATGCTTCGAGTCGTGCGGCGTCCTCGGTTGTCGCGCCCCCTCCTGCGACTTCTATCCAAGTACCGAGCCCAGCCGCAGCCCCGGGGAACGCGACGCTGTCAACTTCAAACCCAGCGAGCAGCGCTACTTCGTCGAATGGCGTCCCTGCTATCAGTACGGCTGGTGCAGGATCACCGACACACACGTACCCGCCGCCGACACCCACTGCTCCCCAAGCCGACGAGCCAAGCCCGATAGACGAACCAAACCCATACCTCTCCGTCCATGCTAATTTCCCCATCATCAAATGGGGGAGAAGCGTCCACCACCCATCTCTGACTATCATATACACCATTTTTGCACTGGGCTCCATGCTCGGGCTGCTGGTCCTCAAGTGGTATAAAGGCGGGAGTTGGCTGTTCGAGATAATCTATCTCGTGTCGTTTCTCGTCGTCAATCTGTACACTATGACCATGCTGGATGTGCGGCGCGAGATCTGCTACATTGAGGTTAGCAGGAACAATGTCAGCGCGGGGATGCGAGGAACCTGGGATGGGTTGAAAGCCGTAGCGAAGACGATGCCGGATGCAAAGGACGAGGCGCTTCAGTATCTAAGACGCGGATTTGTGTGTCATCAGGGCGAGACGATACTGGTCCCCGTTATGGCGGTGATGACTCGGGTCGAAGATGCACCTGCCAGCTGGTGGATCCTCCTCAACGAACTGCGCGCGCCGATAGTCCAGATAGGGTTGTACCTCCTCCCAGACGACAACATCAACTGGATCGTCATCTACGGCATCGCGGCGTACGTGCAAGCGAGGATGCAGCGGGCGGTCGCGGAGCGGTATATACAAGACGCGAAGACGCGCCGGATTTTCTGGTTCCGCAAGCTCAGAGCGCACGTGTTCCCTGTTCACGAGAAGTCGTTCTATCTGGATTGCAGATGTGAGTCCCGAGTCGAAGTCGATGCGGAGTCGCTCTGACCAAGACGCCTGTTTAGTGTTTTCTGGGTGGACTATGGATCCGTTCAGGGAAAGGAAACGGGGCTGGAGGTGGTGAATCCGGCTACGAGTTTCAGGCTCGTTATATTGAGCAACGTCCGAGTCCTTACAAGGAGTGACGTTATTCCCGACTCATGTTTTGGTACCATGTATATCGGAGCCTGGGGCTCTAGGTTTGTCTATGTAGCAGTGTATGGCAGTTATGATATCGACCCCACATTCGGTGCTCTTGGCACTTAGATACGGATTGCCCCCGCGGACTACATTACTCGAATCCCTTCGAACCATGAATCAATGTACGACGCCTGCGAATCATAAACATTCCTCAGCTAGTTGACAACGCCCTATTTCGCAGAAGATGACACCTCACATCAAGATACGACCTACCTCCAGAGATACATTCATAATGGTTATCGGTGTTCAACACCGGCTTTTAGGTACGTACTCTCCAACTCGAATTCTCTCCCTCGATGACGGCGTTCTCTTTCAGCAGTTTGGTCGAGTGATCCATGGCCTGGTGGTCACATGTCACCTTACTACGAAGCAGTATCTACTCCGTTGAACCCGCTGCACCTAATATAGGATGATTGGTCTCAAGGTTCAGGATTACCTTGTGGTGTCTCCAAGTGTGGTGTCTCCAAGAACTCACAGGGCTGTACATCTCTGCTGATCAATCGCCGCAACCAAGCCATTGCCAGTCTTATGCCTGTTGTGTGAGCCTCCCATCGTATCTTGGCATGCTTTGGCATTCAATTCATTTGCCCCAATCTTCACAGTTTCGATTCCCATTGCTCCCATTGCTCGCTCTCACGCGGCATGTATTTAAGAACTCCAAACGGGAAGGTTGGTCTCAGTTTCATTATGACCTCGCAACATGGACAGTTCCTTGTACAAAGACATTCAAACATCCAGGGGGTTCAGCTACCATTACCTCGCTATCGCCCCACAAGGAGACAAACCGTACTTGCTCTTCATTCACGGATTTCCATCTACGTCGTACGATTGGCGACATCAAATCGCCTACTTCAGCGAACTTGGATATGGGTTAATCGTGCCCGACATGTTGGGTTATGGTGGCACCGCAAAGCCCACGGAGGTCGAGGCGTACACGAACTCTCGCACCGCCAAGGATCTCATAGACATCCTTGACGTAGAGGGTATCACCAAATGCATTGCAATAGGTCATGACTGGTACGTTGGTGCCATTTCCTCAGCGCCTCAGCACCTGTGCTTATTCCGTTCTACGTATCGTCATGCAGGGGAAGTAGGGTTGCATCAAGATTGGCCGACCTGTACGAAGATCGATTCATCGCATTCGCATTCTTGGCACTGGGATATATAGCTCCCTGCCCAAATTTTGATATGGATGAAGTCCTTGCGCTCACCAAGAAGCTCGCAGGATATGAGCTCCTGGGGTATTGGAAGTTCTTCGGCGCCCCTGATGGGGCAGAAATCATCGAGAAGAATGTGAAACACCAGTCCCTTCAGGATGCTACCTTGCTCACCGATAGTTTCTAGCTTCGATCGTTCTACAGTGCTCTTTATCCTGACGACCCCGAAGTTTGGAGGAAACACTTCGCTCCGTTGGGCGCTTTTCGTGCCTGGGTGGAGTCCGGACAGACCACCGCTATTGGCTCATGGCTCAGTAACGAGGTAATTGGTCTTCATCTTCTCATTGTTGTCCCCGATGCACGTCGCTGACTACGGCATGCGAAGGATCAAAAGATTCAGAATGAGGCTCTGCTCAAAGGCGGTATGGCAGGGCCTCTGAGCTGGTACAAAGTGTGGACAAGTGGCCTCACCGCCGAGGAAGATAAGGGTACGATCAATATGATATTATACATATTATTCTATCTGACGAAAATATGTAGGTATTCCGATTCGCTCTCCAGCTATTTCGAAGCCCACGTTTTTTGCTGCTACGACCCACGATTTCATCTGCGTGGTCAAGCCCCAAATCAATCTCATGACGAAAGCATGTGCTAACTTGAAGATCCACGAGTTCGAAGCGGGACACTGGGTCATGATGGAGAAGAAAGATGAGTTCAATATAGTGTTCAGTAGTTGGTTGCAAGATTTAGCTAGGAAGCACTAGTCTTAGTCTCCACGTAAGGATACCAAAGTTCAGTCTATGCACGACATGATCATGCTTCAGTGTCCTGGCTACATCCAAGTTGCTGAAACGAGTAGAGAAATAAAATTGCATCAACAATGACGCCAACTTAACAATATACTACTGGTTCTTCCAGAACTCTATGAGTCCTTCTACTTGAATCGCTAGACTTCGTGCTAAGAGCATCAAATTATCTTGCCATCCGCCTCATTCTCGATACTCATTAGTAATAATGGATCACAGGCTTATCTCTTGTTGCAGATACGAGAAGTATGGCTTCACGCTATCACTGGGCTTCTCGCAATACGACTTCAGTGGGGACACATCCTGTCAAATTCTTACAGCCCGACGGTCCCTGACCCCCCCTGTGCCCCTTGAGAGAAATCGACGAGCGTCAACAGAGAACTGTTGGTTCATTAATGCATTATTACTCGGATCAGATACATATGTCCCCCTACTGAACTTGCTTCAAACTCGCTGTCTGCTTATGAATTTGCTTAGTTGCAACAATGTCAGCTGCTGAGGCATGCGGCACATGGGGGCACATGGCATCACTCTCATCTCATGTACCAACAACACCAAGTCTGTATTATTCGCTGCTTCGTACTACGATCACATCATATCTGATCCATTCTCTAGCGAGACCTAAATCTAGAAGAGAAAAACTGATGAAGGGATCCAACCGCTACGATGCTCAATTTCGGGGATCTGCGAGAGCATCTTGATCAAGTCCTTCGAGCAGGTTCAACCGGCCAGATCGCTGTTAACGAGAACGACAACACCGCAAGAGACACATTGTGGTTGTTCCATGCTTCACTTCGCCTGCAATCCAGGGCTAGATCATAGCCAGATAGGTAGAATCCTCCCAAAGTATGTGGTGATTATCATTGTTGAACCAGGAGCCGTACCAACGCCGGGCCGCAAGTAATAGCTTTCCATTGCAGATGACTCGGTGACACTATTGACCTGCACCTCAAGAGCGGATTAGGCATTTTTTCAATCCAGCGGCATACCCGCTTCGGCTGTTGGACCAGGAGATATAACAACACCGGCACCCCAAATTGAAGTACCGCTTGGGCCTTGTTTATCGAATGGTAGTTGTAGTGAGTTCTACGCTCCTCAGTGCCATGCTTTCGTCATCTCACATCATACCAGCGGTTTCTGATGTCGCAGTTGACAATCTCGCCCTCGGTGTTAGGCAGGGTTGGCTACATCGATATTGGCTTTGTTCGTTCGGATTTATTTGACCGTAGTACCCCCAGCTGTATAAAAAGCTGCCACATCAAGCAGAGAGATCCTCAGTTCGAACTACTCTTCCCAACTCTCAACCGTTTATAACCCTCCGGGTAAGCCTTGATTAAACGAGGCTCTTGACAAAAGTGGCTCATTATATTAATCTAGTTTCGATACAGTCATGGTCTGGGTATCCAACCGATCTGCTCAAACTATCATCGTCGCTATCACCAACAAGACTGGTGGTAATGCCAGTAACTTCGAGATTATCCCCGAACCTCTACTCGTCGAGACACATGGAAAGAACCACTGGTCCCGCAGCGGAGCTGAGACTGCTACCGTCACCTTTGAGAAAAGCGGCGTCAAGTTTGAGACCGCTATCAGTGCGCTGGATGTTCTCGTCGTCTACAACGATACATACATCGTGCAGCCATCTACCAAGGTCAGGAGGGTTTATTGAGCTATCTGACAATGGATTAACATGATATCTCATTATAGCAAAAATCCATTTCTTGAACAATTGTGTAGTTATTCAGTAGGTGCCCATGGCTTAGTGAACTGGGAGGGTGCCTGTGATGTGTGTTAAATAGTGACGCCCGTTGATTGTGCCATCCAATACACACGTACACCTCATCCCTGTGATGATATCTTTTGCTCCCTCAACCAGACTCCGATGTTGTGTGTTCATCGGTCGCAACAAATCACATTTGTGAGCCTTAGAGAAAGTGACCAGTATCAACGAAAAAGCAAGAAACCCTAATGCGATACTTGACCACTTGACCACAGCTGGCGGTGTATTTCACGATACCATCCACAATGTACTCAATGGCTAAATCTATGCCAGGACTGAGCCGCACAGGATCATTGTGCACGTCGACTAGTCGAAGTCGATCCTACACCGGCGGGAAAACCAATCATGTACGCCCTAGATTTCAAAAGAAGTCTCGCGAAGTTCAAGAGAACCATAAAAGATGGATTGAGGACAACATCTCGAGGGTTAGTGCTTAGTGGGCCGCGCCTTAGGCGAGTAATCCGTGATTCTGGATTGAAAGCGATACGGAAAGTTATGGCATTATTAGTAGCGCCCGCTTCTCTTCGACCGGGAATATGGAATTTCAAGTTTATGGTTCAAGTAACCTCTTTCATCGCGCAATTTTCTAGGAGTTGCCGACGCAGGTTCACTAATTGGCGAACAGCTTGTGCTAGGGGACGGATTTCTAGCAGCTTTCCGTATTTACACGAACGTCCAGTCTGAGTGTCCATTGTCCTTTTTCTTCTTGTATGTCGATATAAAAGGTGCGTGTTGAATATGCTCTACCCCCCAAGCTCGAGCTTCCAGTATCATCTCTCAGCCTCTTGAGGTGAGTCATGGCTCCAATAACTCGAGCCATTGCCCAGCCAATCAACCCAACTGACACCCTGCCCCCCCAGAATCTGCCGTATAATCATGGTCTGGGTCTCCAACCAAGCTAGCACATGCCTCAATGTCTCCATCACCGCCCGCTCCGGCGGTGCAGCTGGTTTCTACCCAGTTGAACATGCGCCAGAAGTCTGGGCCGTGAACCACTGGTCACGCGCAGCGAATGCTTCTGAGACAGCTGTTATTCGGTTGAGGAATACCTCTGTCACGGTGAACAACGTGAAGGGGACTGATCTCCTCCTGGTCTATGACAATGCGGTCATCCAAGTCCCGGACACCAATGTGAGCATTCCCGATGGATGTGTCAGTGTGTCGGAAACTAACGCGACGTGGTCATGATAGCAAGTGTACTTTGCTTGAGCGGGGGGCCCTCCCGACTGCATCACCTACCATCAGGAAACGGCCTCACCTATCTACGGCTTTTTGATGTGTATCAGTAGCATTTGATCAATGTGAATCGGCACTCAAGTGGTCGTATTATCCACAGAGAATATCGAAAGGTACACATATCTGTGTCCTATACATTAGACATTCAAAGCACTCTCCTCTTGGCATCTGTGAAGCAAACCAACAGATGTCATATAGGGTGAGTCTACACTCCACGGCGTACCCCAAAGTAGCACGTTCGCATCACCCTTTAGTTTCTTTCGAAAAACTTGCGGATGACCACACCAAATATTGTGATCGCTTTCTTCATGACTTCGAACTGCGCCATCCGGGAGCTTTCATATCAAGTATCGGTGACGCAGAGGAAGGTGTGCTTACATCTGCATTGCTGAAGCTTATCCGGAAATGGCCTTCGCCGGGCACGTCAGTGTTCTCTTCCTTGGCTGAGAACATCCAGCCAGGCGCGAATAAAACTCCCGCTTCAGCAAGGTCTATCCAAAGCTGCATTTCAAGGGTCTCCCCATTGCCATCGAACGAAGGATGATTGTCCAGATGGAGTTGCAACTAGGTAGATGTAGACGGTAAATGATCGTACACACACGTAGAAGCTGACAAGTAACTTGCCCAGATGTACATGCCAGACGTGGGAGGCACTAGTGAGAACATGGGCTTGATTGTGGTAAGCTTCTCGTTGAAGGCGACATCGGCAGGAGCCTTGCCATACGCCCTATAAATATCGCAGCCACTCCAGACGCCGGATGTCTCGTAATGGAGCTTCAAGTGGAACTCATCGCCCAAGCAATCCAAGATGAAGTCGCGCCGAAGTTGGTACTGAGAAGCAAGCGCTGTGAGAGTTTGAGCGAGAATGATGGGCAACGTATGTGTACCACACGTACCTCTGAGCCATCGAATATACCCATCATACCCCCAATTTAACAAGAGCGCTGTCACAATCGACTACCCGAAATTCAAGAGGCGGAGTACATGAGAGACTCAATAACATACCTGACCATACCCGCAAGGTGCTTGCGTAGTCGTTTCTCCTTGCCGTTCGAAGCGCTCGGCGAAAGTTGAATTGCAAGTAAACCATCCGAGGCGACACCCAGGTGTAATGGTCTGAAATCGGCTTTAGAGTGCTTCCGCCGGAGCCCCATCCACGCATACCTTGGAGAAAGAGTCGAGACGGATCACCCTCCCTTGATAGTCGATGCTATATTGGTGTCATCTACTACATTCCTCATAAAAGTGCTGTACATTACCTCAAGAAGCTTGGAACCAAGTGTGACAGGTATTCTTCGTCGCTGTTGAACCGAGCAATCGCGGAGCGTTTTGACTTGGGAACATAGGGGGCCTCCTGAAGAAAATAATAGGGATCGTCTTCGACGATGAGGACATCGAACTCGACGCAGATATTGTATATTTCTTGTTTTCGTTCAATACCCATGGTCTTTCCTATTTCATCAGTCGACGGCTACAAAACTGGTGATACATAACTCACGGCGCCGGTTGGGTTCTGGCCAATTGGTACGATGTACATCACACGAGGCCTAAAGATCATGAGTACCAGAAGATGGAACATACTAATCATATACGTTACCTAGGCATCCCAGAGACACTCCCGTCCCACTCCTCTAGGACTTTTCGAAGGCCTACGCTACTCATACCTAGCCCATCCATTGGCACGGGGACAGGTTTGATGTCGTACGGAACCATAGTTGCGACAGCGGATGGGTAAGTCCATTCCGACACCAGTATCCCGTCACCTGGGTTGCAGAATGTCTGCACACACTTGAACCACCTATCAATATTGTCGGAACGACAGTTAGTACACTATGGAAACATCTTCGGATAGGCCACTGTACCCGTCTGTATTGCCAGCATGTACCAGTATCACGCTATCTTCATAAGCCGGTTTGTAGACTTTACCTACGAGTTCGTCTAAGATCTTCTGCAGCTGCGGAACGCCTTTCGCCATCCCTGTAGAGAATCCGGATTCACTTAGTGATAAGGCTAGGCGCTTGATTCGAGAGTCAGGTTCGGGCTTACCGTACTGTAAAGAAGCAGCCAAGTTTAGGTCATTTGGGGCTGCGGGGTACTTGGGTATCGTCAAATGAGTAGTCTTCTCTGGGGGTTTCGAGCCTTGGAAAAGCCTGAACAACCAAGAGAAGGCGGATGTTGAAGACGACGTAGGCGATAAGGGAAAGCTGTCGGGGACGAGGCCCTCGGCGCTCAGCTCTGAGAAGGGAAAATATGCAGGACTGGGGAAACCTAGTGGAGAGGACTAATCAACAACCTGACCATCGCGCATTGATAATCTTGATCTCACCTCCAGCCATCTGCACTACCCCTTCCTTGCCCGAGTATCGTTGCAATCCTTTCAAGGGGGATGTCTTCCTGGCTTTGGAGACATTCGAGAGGTGGTGCGAGAGGTCGATGGCTTTTGGTTTCTCTTTGTTACGATGCATGGAGGGTTGATGCTGGGACGAACGGAAAATACGGGCTCACAGTGAAGACCGACATATGGATTCAGATGAAAAGTCCCACCAAGATAAGTTAGCATGTGGCCGCTGCGCAGCTAGCCTATGTCATTCGTTCACCCACGATAACGAAGACCGTCTTCTCTCCGGCTCTCCCATGGCGAGAACACGCATCCTAGTCGCATCAGGTTCGAGTCAGTGTGGACAGTATTAAGCGCCCATGGCTGTTCCTCGATCCAGGCATTTGAGACATACCAAAGCTACGCCATCCAGACACTGGTGTGAGACAGTTGCATCGCAGTACGAGGGCGCCGTAGGGTGCCAGTGCGCTGTCTGGCGGACTCCTCTGATGACTAGCTGGATTAAGAGTTGATCAGGGAGTTGTAACTGGCCCTGGTCTTGTCTCAATGTGTTGTCAATGTGTAACAGTGAGTTCGAGATGGCCATCTCAACGCAAGTTATATTCATGCAACGCTACATAAACAGCCAGGTTTCCGTCGTGTTTCGGAATGATTAGAGGGGCGTCATGCTCCAAAGAACGCCTGCTAAGATTACAAAAACGTCAGCCCACAGCCTAGTTTCACGAATAATGGCAGCCTCTATCAGGCCCACTCACCACCTCAGTCGGAATCTTGAGGTACGTATCCGAAAAAATGAGCAGGAAATCGTTGCCCAGCACATCCGGCACCGTAACAATCTTTTGCCCCAGTCGAATCACAGCCGTCTCAGCACCCGTGGCGTTGCGCTGCCAGTGGCTTGTGGAATAGGATGCATACCCCGGCTCCACTGGGAAGAAGCCTGTCGCACCGCCGGGAGTGTGGATGGAGGTGATGGAGACGTTGATGGTTTCGCCAGCTTCGTTGCCTATCCAGACCATGTCTGTGATTTACGAAGAGATCTAGGTGGGATGATGGGAATGATGGTTAGGTCAGCGAGTAGATGGGCAATTTGGCTCACCTTGGGGGTTGGGGCTGCTGCTTGGGGGATGTACGTCCCGAGACGTTGCTTTAATACGACAGGGAGAGAATGCAATGAGAATCACCAGGACACCCAACTGGATCGCCTGTGCTGAAAAGCGAAGTTACTGAAAGAATTTCCGAGGTCGCGAGGCGCGCGAGTCAGTAATATGAGGAGTTCGGGGACATTGTAGAAGAGTAGCGTCCACATGTACTCTTGCTGAAAGACGCGGTAGAATCAGAACCGTGGATAACTTCTTGCTTGTACATGACCTTTTGGGGAGTCGCTGTACCTGTCCGACGAGGAGGGTCGAAGGAACACACCACGCTCCTGTTAAAGCCTGCACCAAGTAGGATTTTGTTGCTGACATCTTCGTGGTCTCCCAAGTGAGATCGATTATCAAACAGCGCCTTACCGTGACGGCGGCCCAACAGCATTAATGCGAAGATGAACGCGGGGCGTCTGAGATAGCGAACTTCCGGAGATTTTGTCAGGGCCATTCCCTTTTCCTGCTCGTATCGTGTTCATCGTGGTGAACGTTGGCCGTCGAGTGGGCGAAGGCATCCATATGTGCAAGGCAGCCTTAGTCTTGAACTTGGTTCGAAGAAAGACCTGAGAGGGCTGTAGCCGAAGAGAAGTTTCGCTGAGATCGAAATTTCATTGAGCCACCACCATCGACTGACTTGAATCCGCCTCGCATGTCGGTTCGAAGGAGGCAAGGAGGCAAGTCTTCCATGATTCTGATTCCGAAACGGCGCTGCAGAACCGGCCTTTTCTGAGAATATGGTAGTTAATATTCTACTCGAGCTCGCTACACCAACGCCGTGATTGCCTCGCATGCCTCACGCCTTTGGAACTCGCTTCGGCACTACCATCGCACTTCAGTACAGGTGACCCCGTCAGGTATTCTTCGCATTCTGCTGTATTCTCCTCTGCTTGTATAAAAGTGGAGCCATGAATATCCCCCCAAATCCGAGCTCCAATTGAACCTCTCAAAGTGAGCCCTCGCACTGCACTGGATTTACTTCCTGAGTACCTGATGCTAACCCCCTTTCAAGTATTCCTAGAGCCTTCGTAAACTAAACATGGTCTGGTTAGACAACTCATCAGGCGCAACCATCACCGCCTCCATCTCCTCTGCCCACACGCCTGGCGGTGCGACAGGGTTCTTCGCCGTTGAACCACTCCTGGATACCTTCGCCAATAACCACTGGGAGCGCAGCGCAAAGTTCAATGAGACGGCTGTCATCCACTCGGGGAAAGCTACTGTCAAGATACCGCATGTGCGAGGGGACGATTTCATCGTCATCTTCTCTGATTCGTTCATTCAGGTTCGGAATGCACCGGTGAGGCCTACCATTTGTTTGAGACTATATCTGGGACTGACATTCTGTGGCATTGTAGCAAGTCTACTTTGGATGAGCGTAGGCTCGGCAGCACGATTACATCTCTCTCGGTTTGCGAACAGGCATAGTTTTTGGCGGTTACATGATGTATACAAATTGTCATTCGTCAATATCACTCGCCTTTCACAGACAATTCATTCGCTTATCCCCTCGACACCGATGTGTTGCAGGCAAAGCTTAGTGTTGCTTGGCCACACCGTTCACAACATGTCCCTAACGGCGAAAACAACGCTTTGCTTAGCCCCAAACACAGCACAAAGCGTTCGTTCAACGTTCTGCGCTCGTGGTGCAACGATTCCTGAGGAACCCCTGGAAGTAGTGCTGCAAGCTATGGTTCTGATTCTACGGCGGGCTGATAGACGACACCCACTTGGTGGCCTTCTCCACACACCTGGCGGTGCAACAGGTTTTCTTGCCAAATGAACCGCGGCCGACACCGTACGCCGTTAACCACTGGCAGCGCAGTCCAACGAGCACCGAGGAAGCTATAATTCGGGTCGGAGACCCCCCCGACGTGGTTTCGGATATCAGAGGGAACAATACAATTCTCGGAGCCCGCTGCCAGTTGAAACTTGGCACCAAGGCGCGCCGTGTGGTTCGACGCCTTCCACGGCAAACATACTTTAAAGCACTGTGATGAATATCTCTTAGTGTATATAACCGTTTGATGTATACAAACGCCATTTCATTGCGTTTCATTGCAATGTATGTGGCCGTCCTAGGCACAAGATCAATTGGAACGCTTGACTCTTCGCATTCCCGTACTCGAAAGTTGTAGGCTCTGAGTTGGTAGCGTGAGCTCCTGTCGACTCCTGTCCTCCATGTGATCCAGCGCCTAATTGGCCCTGAAAGTCCCTGACGTCAGTGCATTGATGGTTCCATATCGTCCGATCCTTCAAAAACTTCCGTCGCATAGCCCATAGCGCGTTTCGCATCTTGACTTCGTACCACAACCTACTCCCCACAAACTACCAACGATCTCTGTGATTTTACGACCTCACGACTGCAATCATGGGAATGGACGCGCATATACGCAGAGGGCATCCCAGTAAGCGCGTCGTTGAGCGTCCATCGCTGGGCATCGCTGACAGTGTTCTCTGCAGTCGTCTTTGGCATGCTCATCTTCTTTGGCATTATTGAGGTATGGTATTGACCAGCATATATGCGCTGATTCTGAGACTGACGCCGTTGGCGGGATCGTAGTTGGCGATATCGGCGTGGTTGACTTCGCGGTTCAACGTGCGTGCTACTCAACTATCAAATTGAACGATTTTGCTCACTACGCGTTGCGTATTTTACAGGCTCGCCATGACTACTTCAGCTTGACGGAGCGCGACCGTGTACGATACACCCTTTTTGCGTCGATCTGGACTGTGGTGTTCTCGTTTTTGTACCTTGTACTTTTCATGCACTCCGCCACCGGATCAGTACTCACGAGCGTCGCGTCACACCTTATTTTGTGAGTATACAAGAAGGTTTTCTCATTGGCTTACCTTTTTGACCGAAAACGCCTTAGCCTGGCCTTAACGTGGGTGATATGGACTGCGGCGGCTGCGGCGGTCACGGAGATGCTCGGAGGAGGGTTGAACTGCAGGTCCGTACAAGTCTTCTTTCTTCTCACAATGCTCGAACGCTAATCCCGGTCCAGCAACACCACTGCAAACTATTGTGGTCAGCTGAACGCGTTGGAGGGCTTCGCATGGGTTGAATGGTATGCATGTTCACGCTTGTGACAGTATCGTCGCCTAATCACGCATATATCGGGGTATTTGTGATTATAGGGTGTTAGTGACACTCGCTATCGTGGTCGTATTGGCTCGCGGAATTAGTGCAGCCCGTAGAGGAGACGGATATCGCGGTCCTTTGGTTGCTTAAGCTTCGGCACACTGCATCCTCCATTCATCATCTCCATTCCCATCACCTTTTCTTTCCCCGTGTTCAATCCCGCGTGTATCCCGTATGTCCCATTTTCCTTCACGATTTGCCACGAAAAGCGACGTTTGCCAATTACCATTGGATGATGTACCGTTCAGTTGTACCGTTCAGTAGCAAGTATCGTGTATTACTGTCATCTTCCTTTCTGCGACGAACATTATGTTTATCTTATGACCTGTGTCTCAGAGATCGTTTATAATGCATGTTACAGTTCTATATCCGTGTTTCCGCAGTTTAGCCTCGTTGTGTTGGTGAGATTGACAGGCCCATTTGGATGCTGAACACGCCGTGGCCGCCGGTTCCTAGATCTGATATATAGACGCATTGAATCAGGCGGGGCGGATTTGCCTCTTGCACCTGCACCATCGCTTCATCCTTGGTTGATCCAGGGTTTGGAGGGCATTCAACAGTCGCGGGATTTCGGGCATGCGCGCCACATCGTTGCCTTTGTATCTGCTCTTTCTCGTCGCTCGGGCGGCGCTGACTCTCGCCGGGCCTCATGCTGTCCTACAACGCGCCCACCACTTTGCTGCCAGTCGCAGCAGGGGTCTTGTAAGCGATCTTCGTCTTGCATTCAGCGTCGTGCCACCGAGGAGACGCCAGAAGAGTGGACTGGTAAAACGGAATGGCCAGTGTGTTGTCGCATTAGGGATTACAGATTCGAAGCATTCTAGTAACGATGAAGGAGCGAGCGGGGATAATTCTGAAAGCAGTACGCAGTCAAACTCGAGTTCGGCCTCGTCCTCGTCCTCGTCCTCTGGTGCCTCAGGGAGCTCTTCTTCGACATCGACAAGGGCTGCGGCTACTTCGAGTTCCCGAGCTGCAGCTACTACTACTTCTCAACGCCAGCCTACGTCTACATCCACTACTGCTTCTCAGCCTTCGCCCACTCCAGCGTCGCCATGGAGGCTGGTTGAGTCCCATGAGGGCTTGGATTTCTTCGAAGGATGGGAGTTCTTCACGTTTCCGGATAGTACGAATGGTGTGTGAATATCAATTACTTGTCAATAGCATGGGCAGATGTGCTGCAACTTTGATCCCACCATTAGGTATCGTTGATTATCTCAATGAGCAGGATGGGGTGAGCGCACATAGGATTCTCTGCCGGAAACAACTCCCATCTCATCTATTTCAGCGAAACGCCAATCTCGTATCCGTGAATGACAACAATAACGCTGTTATGCGCATTGAGACGACGCCTACTGTCGCGGCTAATCGGAAGAGCATACGAATCACTACACAAAGCACTTGGAATGGGGGGCTGTTCATCATGGACGCCGTGCATATGCCGACTGGGTGTGGGACATGGCCGTGAGTACGCTTTAATTCTCCAGTTCATCCTTCGACCAAGGTTAATGAGAGGCAGTGCTTTCTGGAGTAACGGTACGTAAGCTAAGACAATCTCTAGATTGGGTATCCGAAGTGACGACGGTCTTAGGACCCAGCTGGCCAACAGGAGGCGAAATCGACATCGCAGAAAGCGTGCACAACTACACGAACAACCAAGCCACCCTCCACACCTCACCGGGATGTCGCCTCCCCTCGAGCAATCCTTCGGATTTGGGCATCTCAGGATCGCTGCTCGCGACGCAGGACTGTGCGGTTGCGACCACCAACAACGAGGGCTGTGGAATCCGCTCGCCGGACAGCAATTCCGTCGGTGTGGGGTTTAATGCCAATGGGGGAGGTGTTTATGCCAGTGGGTGATCGCGAAATGCAGTGTGTGTCGTCCAGATACTGATTTTGCCAGTGCTTTGGAACGGCGACGGCATTTCTGTGTTTTTCTTCCCCAGGGGGTCTATCCCGTCCGATATTTTTGCGAGCGCGCCTCGACCGACCTCGTGGGGACTCCCGCAGGCAAGGTTCCCCGCGTCCGGGTGCAACCCCTCGCAGTTCTTCACGAACCATCACCTAATATTCTCCTCTACGCTCTGGTACGTTATGTTGTTGACTCTTTTATGACTTGCTATGACTTACTCGCTGACTGGATTCAGTGGCGATTGGGCCGGTGGTGTCTGGAACATTGCTGGTGTTCCTGGACAAGAACAGAGCTGTGCGCAACGTACGGGGTTTTCCACGTGCGAGGACTTCGTACGAGCTAGTGGGGCGTCCTTTAACGAGGCCTGTGAGTGTGCAAATGTTCTCGTGTTCTTTGTCTACCATGGGGTGCTTATGAATGTGTATAGACTGGGAAGTACGAAGCGTCAAGATCTACCAGCTGCAGAGTTGATAGCTTTTCCGAGACGATCACGATTCACGAGGGTTTTTGTTGATGACTTATTTACTTTGTTCTAACATTTTGCATACTCACCATGTATCAACCACTCTCACTCAATTGGATAGCGAACTAGAACGTTGTATCGATTGCATCTGGCTTTCAAATTGCCTCTCCTGGCCCTCCGCAGGAAAGAGAAATGCCTCCATTCCGCGAGTACGATCTAGGAGTCGTCCTTGTGGGGGATTGGCTTGTGGATGTTGGGAATAAAGTGGAGTATGTAGTCCCCTGATACAACTCGGATATTGGGTAATGCGAGTTTCTCTGGCACCTAATGCCAAATTGGGCAAATGGCGGGACCCGGCCCTCGAATACTCCTTGTTAACGGCGGGGTGGTGCGCCCCCTTGACTGGTAAAGAATAAAGAATCAAAATTCACTCCTACCTAATGAAGGGGACACAGCGGGGCTGTTCTGGGAGGATGTATGGAATATACTGAGTCATTGTCATAACCTGAATGTTTTGCTAATGTGTCGAGCTCAAACGAAACAAGTAAAGTGGGTTCTCAGCAGCCCAATGTTTGCAACTCCAATTATTCCAGGAAGATCAGCGCGATGTGTGCGGGTTGCAGCACCGACATGGTGTTCGGAGTCCAAAGGGTGTTCTGCGCCGTTCCCGATCTCTATTACCCAAAGCGGACCCTCGGAATAATGGCCGACGCGCGGAGTTGTATCAGGGGACTCAAGACTGAATAAAGTGCAGATTCTATTTTACTTAGAGTTTCAAGCTTCAAACCTTGGTTCTTCTAGGGTAGATGTTTGCCTGATTGCTCGGGAAAGTGGTGGGTCAGCCTGCTTTGCATCACAGCGAGCTTCGCATCGTCGAGTCTCAATGAAACTTGTATGTACAGTCGACTCTCTTATAACCCATGGCCCTCGTAACCCATAATCCCCCATAACCCATACATTTTGGCGTCCACCGGCTTGGTTACCAGGGAAATTAGCAAAATCCCCCATACTCCATAATCCATACCTTTTTGGAGGTACCAAAACCCATAAACTCTTGAATATACCGAAATTCATACCTCTTTTAGAAGGACATAATACATATTTGTACTGATATTTACAGTAAAATTTTAAGCTATGCATTGAAAAGTTAAACCACTGCCCAAGATGCACCCCTGAGCTCCGCAACCGATACGTTGCAACCCTTTTGTAATCCGTTACACTTTTATAATGTTTTCCAAGCAATCTTGTATGATTTCTTGCTCTCATATACTTGATCGTGGATGCTTTTTGCTACCATACATTAATTGTAGATACATCTTAATAGGCTGTAGAATAGCGTACATAATGTCCTTAATTTTTTCGTTGTATATTTGGCATAGACGCCCAATAAGCGCTCTCAAGCAACCCATACTCTCTAATAACCCATACTTTTTTGTGTCCACCGACAGGTATGGGTTATAAGAGAGTCGACTGTAGTCGGAGTGTCGCGCGGCTTGAAAGTTGAGATGTCAGTCACGTGTAGAACTATTTATCTTCACTACCACCAAGAATCATCATGATGATCGAAATCCCAATCAACCCCTTCAACAACGTGAATCCGAATACGCCAGGAAGCAACGCTTCGGCCATGAATCGTCCATGAAATTACGAAACTGTGGAACTCTCGAGGTAGAAGTTTTTTGATAGAGTCGAAACTCTGGACCGCCGGCGGCTTGGGGCCATTTCCACCGGGTTTTCTCGCTAAATTGAGAGAATCGATGCGTCTATCGTGTATAAAATGCCTGGCCTTACAGGGTCGACGATACTCACAACGCTACCAACCAAGCAGCTATGCCTCTAGACAGGGATTACGAGACTGCGTCGGCTCTCTTCCTCGGGCCCACCGGCGAAAGCATGGACTTTTTCCGCCGCTGCCTTGCGGATATCTTGGGAAGCCATCAAACGATCCGCCTAGAACGCCACAATCCCGCTGATGTACGATCTGTCTATATTTTTTGTCGATGAACTTCAGCACTAACTCATGTCCTAGCCCGTTCACCATCCTCTTGCCCTTCAATCTGACGGGCTCCTGGAGGTTCGCGGGAGGATATCAGCTCGTCTCCACGAGCTCCTAATGATGCTTCAAGAGGGCTCCTCACCAATCGTCTCGCCTCGATACCTGGCCCATGTGTGTTGCGAGCCGACATTACCATCGATTCTAGGCTATTTCGCTGTCATGCTGCTCAACCAAAATAACTGTATACGCTCCTTGGGTCCTGTTACGGCTGAGCTAGAGACGATTGTCGGTCACCAGTTATGCAGGATGCTTGGCTTCACGGTTGATCCAGACTTGAAGCACGGCCTGGCCGCATGGGGACATCTTGTCGGTGGCGGCACGATTGCCAACCTTGAGGCACTTTTGTAAGTTTTCTACTACTTCAGACATGTTACTTCTTTGCTCAGTGGCCTTCTCGACAGAGCTAGTAAGTATTTCGTGAATATTGATACCCAGACCATGCCTATCTCTATTCCTAGTCCGCAACCTCAAATTTTACCCGTTCGCAGTCCTGGGAGCTCTCCGCGACGATGGGCCGCTCGCCTCCGTTGGACGTGCATTTCGCATGAGAACACGAAGCGGCAAATATCGCTTATTGCGAGAAATGGCGCCGTGGGATCTGTTCAACCTGGGCATTACTGATGTACTCGATATCCCAACTCGCCTTCGGAATGAGTTTGGTGTCTCCAAAGAAGTGCTCGACTCCGAGGTTGACCCACATACGTGCCAGTCCCTTGGCATGTTTCAGTTGGCAAAGCGCTGGAACATGGACAGATTGCCAAAGCTGTTGATCGCGAGCTCGCGCCATTACTCATGGCCAAAATCGGCCGGTGTGTGCATCGAATTGTCTTCGTACACCTTTTGACTTATATTAGGCCATGTCAGCGTTCGCCGGGATAGGCTCAAAGAATATCATCAACGTCGACGTTGATAATGACGTGAAGATGAGCATCTCTCACCTTCGTACTATCCTGGAGGAATGTCTCGAATCTAAACAGCCCATTTATGCGATCGTCGCTACGATAGGCACCTCGCAAGAGGGTGCCGTCGATCCTGTCCACGATATTATCGAACTACGGAAAGAATTTGCTGCGAAAGGCCTCTCGTTCGCTATTCACGCTGACGCCGCATGGGGTGGCTACTTTGCCACAATGATGTCTCAGGAGTTCGCCGCGAACGCGGGAAGTACTATTCGACTGCGCAAGGAAACCGAGCGCAATTTCGCGAGTCTGAAGGATGTAGACTCCATTACCGTCGACCCCCACAAGTCGGGGTATGTCCTGTATCCTGCCGGGGGTCTCTGCTATCGAGATGGGAGAACGAGATATCTCGTAACGTGGTCAGCCCCGTACATCGAAGAAGGCCTTTCCAACCACATTGGCTGGTTCGGTGTCGAGGGAAGGTGAGACGCTCAAGTCTGGTTCATCAGTCACTAACCGATTTCCGCATATTAGCAAACCTGGTGCTTCTGCTGCCGCTGTCTGGCTCTCTCACGAAGTCATTGGTTTAAATGTACATGGGTACGGCGCCCTCCACCGACGAGCATTGCTTGGCGGCCGTCTGGTGGGTACTACCGTGTATTGCGATAACGGTGAAAAATAACGGCCCCAGCTTTATTGCCATCTAGCCACTATGTCCGGTGACCAAGTCCCATTCATCGTCGTCCCTTTCAATCGCCTACCTTCACAACGTTCTGACGACCCCTGTGAAACGAGGATTCGCACTGAACAGCAATTCATCCGCCATCGTATTCTAGGAGTATCTGAGGCGCAGCTTGAAGCCGACAGCGACGCCGTGGCCCTTCTGAACTCCGTTGGCTCCGAGCTCAACCTCAACCCCTTCGTCTGCAACTTCCGTCTGGCCGATGGCTCTGCTAACACAAGCGTGCGCCTGTCAAATAGCCTCAATGAGCGGATAGCTGCCCGGCTGTCCGTTGAAAATCTGGCGGGGTCGCCATTCATCATGTCGTCGACGACGTTCACGCAGAGAGAGTATGGGAATTGTTTGACTACGTTCAAACGACGTATCGGCTTAACTGAAGGGGACGAGAACCTTGTCGTGTTGAAGTACACCGTCATGTCACCTTTCTCTTCGCAGCCCGCCTTCATGGACAACATTATCGGTGACTTGCGCAAAGTCCTGATAGAAGAGGCTGCGGTGAGTGGTCTAAGTGAATCTGCGTTGCATATTCTCGCTGACTCAAGTTAATAGTTCGTTATCAATACATCGGTATCAATCGCATCGAGGCTTTGATTAAGCACCATCTGGATATCATATTGTTTCAAAAGTACGTTGCATATATTGAAAGCAATTGTAGTCGTTCATTGTGAATTCAATTGATCCTCCCAACTCATCGACCACATTTGTCCTTCAACTCGACCACTCACACCTTTCAAGAACGTATGTCCCCGCGTTATAAAGCCCAGCCTAGAGAGAAACGGAATCTTGAGCTGATGTTAGCCACAGAATCCATGAACTATGTTCGTTGATCTACGTACCACAACTGCTACAGAGTCGGCCCCCGAGCAAGGTTCCACCGTTATTGTGACACCAGGACCGTGGGTCGAACGAGCCTATCGGTTTGTTGTTGTCACTAACGGGATGGGTACGGATGTATATGTGTTCACACCTGATTGATTACTTCATGGACGAAGTGCTTCCCTATTCCACTGCGTGCATGATCAGGATGGATCGAAGCGAGTTGCAAATGCCAGGAATCTAGCAGTGTTCCAGGGCCAAGTGAAGAATCCAGAAAGGTGCTATATTCAGGTATGAACTGGCCATGTTTATCTTTGAGTTCTGGTGGCGGGGGCGAAGAATTGGGCCCGCACCTCGTTTGTCAGCCACCAAGAAGTTCTGTTGTCCAAGCAAGCAAGGAGCGGCGCAAGAGCTTCCTCTTTCTGCCGTGTGCTGGTCATCCGCTACGTCAATAAGGTTCTCAAGCACGATGATCTCAAAAGGCGCACGTGTGGAGGAACTCGGTTCCCGGCCCAAATGACATTATGGCACCGACTATTTTGCCAGCTGAGTCTTCGGCGACATGCGTGGTTCCTTCGAGCAACGCGGCTGTTAGAAACAATCGCGAAACGGCGACCGAATACACGGGGTCATGGTTGGCGGTCATCATGAGACACCTGTCTAAATCAAGTCAACGCCGAACATATTTAACCCAACAGAGTCGCAGGCTTACTATGCTGGAATCCATGTGCGATGGCGATCTCGGCAGCTGCTCGTTCGCTCACTAGGATAGAACGGTTAGAATGGCTATCTGTGTCGGGGGGAATAATATCTGATGGTACCGGTCGCATCTTTGAGTTCCCTGATATTGTACTTGGACGATCGAGGTCTGGTATAATGGAAAAAGCGGCTTGGAGTTGAGTGGAAGGCAGTGAAGGCAGTGAAGTGTCTCTGCATGATACGCATCCTCGCTGGCAGAGGAGCCAGAAGGGGTGTCACCTCGGGGCTGAGAATGGGGTGAACTGCTTAATATTTATTCTACTATTGAACGTTAGTATCTCACGTACTCCCACTTCTTTGAACCAGAGTCTACTAGTTTTCTGGTTGGTGGTCGGTGTCTCTTCCCAGGGGCCTTTTCAGGGCTTGAGCCATATATAAGGCCAGACAAATCCACGCCCGAGTCCATTCATTAAACAGTGCGCCTGAAGATGGCAGAGAGTACCAATCACATCAAGGTTCTGGCCTAGTTCTAGGATGTCCCACAGAAAGATGCTCGTGGTGTTACCAAGTCTTTACCTACTAGTTGTCCGGCATCAAAAAGAGCTTCGTGATGCTCGCGGGGCATACTCGAATGCGGGACCCTACCGTGACCGTGAGTGAGGCGATGACCAGGAAAGATCGGGCCGTACCACATGGCCCAAGTACTGGTCATACCACCGTGAGACTATAAAAGTCCAGGTGAAGTGAGCTCGGTTATCATCATTGCTCTTGAATATCGGCCTCTATGTCTTCAGGAATCTGAAATTCGCCGACCGTGTACCAATGAATTCACCATCTAATGAAACGTCCCCGTCTGAGGATGGATCACCGACCACCACTGATTGCGACGACCTTACTCTCAGCGCCTCCGATATCCTGACACCCTCATCCGCGACTTCCGAGGGATTTGACCCCGTCGGCTGTGTTGTCGAGGGCACAGACGAAATAACAAACGACGCACCGAAGAAAAAGAAGAAGAAGAAACCGAAGAAGTCAATTAAAGCCAAGGCAAATGCAGCGCGGAGCAGCCCTACAGAGGAGGACCGACCACCAGTTCTTTGCATTAGCCGGAACAAACATTGGCGGTATATCAGCTCATACCATGTATGTTTCTGTGCGTCTGGTTGGAATATTTACTTACTTGGATCATAGGGTCCCTGGCTTCAACTACCTCTGGAGCTACTGGAGTCTCTGTCGTTACTTAACTTGGATCCAGCCACGCTCACTGCCTCCGAGGCTCGTTTGCCACAACTGGATGCTCCGTTAGCTTCGAACAGCAAGCAGCGTGAGGACGTAAGCTATGGAAAGCAGCGCGATCGAGGGTTCCACGCTCTCACAGATCACTCTCCTTTGGATTCTCCCCGTGGAACGTTCTCTACCCTACCGCTACCTCCCCCAATACCGCCTCCGATGCACGGGAAAACCACGCCCCCACCTATTGACCCGGGGGTGTTTCGAAACGTTACTTCCATCCGACGACTCATTGATGAGGCAGCAGAATTGTCTGTCCGAGCATCGTCTGGCCTTTCCGCTGCAGAACTCGGTTCGCTTCGGGGAGGTTCAAACGGCATTTATACCAACCCATGGGTGACCTCCCAACCACTAGGATTCAACGCGTTCGGGCAGACTAACGGGGGACGCAACGTTGCTATGTCAGCGATGCGAGTACATCGGCTGAGGGCTCTAGCGGTTCAAAAATTAGCGCAAGCGTACAAAGCTGACGAGATAGCCTCGAGCGTGATGGTAATGCAGGGTGGCAGTGTCTTTGATGATGTTGCAGAGCGCGTGTTGAAAGTTGGTGAGTACTCTACATTGAACTAGGATTCCCCTAGGATGTGTATCTCACTCCTGGCGTAGATCCCAACGACATCGACGCGAAATATGTCCACTTTTTTCACGAAAAAATACCTTCACGGTGAGTATCAAACACTGATAATGTTCACTGTGGTTTAAAGAATTTACCTTCGAAGTTATAGTCAACTTGCCGAGTCTACCACCACTCAGGTCCTCGACGAGCTCATTTCGGCTCAGCCTAATTGTCTGGAATTTTATCGGACTCGTGGGATAGTCCACTGCTTCCGTGATGAATACCCACAGGCTGCAAGGGACTTCACTCACGCACTGAGAGAGGCCCGGGGGGCGCGAAAGGCGAAGACCTCCCACCTAAACCATGTATCATCGAGTGATTCACAGAGGGTAACCAAGAACGGGAAAAGACGCAAAGGCAGCGGTAACAAGACCAACGGGCAGGCTCCACCTAGCGGAACGAGTGTCAATGCTGAGAACACCGTTGAGGGACCAGACGGAGAGACACTTTTTCTCCATCCTTCGGTTCTCCCGAGTGCACCGGACCCCATAGAGCCACAGGTTCTATTCTTACGTGGAGCTTCATACCTTCAACACGCTGTATTTCTCATTGAGGCTGCCATCCTCGAATTAGAAGGCGTTCGAAAAGCCCCGACCGTCGATGGTGCCGAGCTGAGGTTGTGCTATATTGAAAACGGAAAATATGGAGGCGTAGAGATTGGCAATCCCGATGGCCCTCTCGGAAAGCCTGACGGCGCGAAGGCTGCAGCGTACTCTAGCGTCCTCGCGAAAGATACGTTCAAAGGCCAGATTATAAGCTTGCTACGAAAGAGCATTCGCGACCACGAACGCTTCCTTGCGCATTTCGATACTCTCGAGTCGGTCATGGACAATGAAGCCCTCGGTGATCTGGCTAAACGAACCGAGTACGCTTTCTTACTCACAGAGGCCATCAGACCAGGAAACCACGGCGCCAACGTGCCTCCTATCCCTGATGGGCTATCTATGTTCACCACCTACCACCCTCTCCTTGTAGAATCGCACTTCAGCATCCTACTCTGCCTGCTCATGCTTGGAGAGTTTGTGCAGATCCTGCCTACCTTCATTAGGACCTCCACTCTCGTTGATGGGTTAGAAGGGTATCCAGTCTTTCTCCCCCCTCGTTCAATGGCCCAAGCGGAGTTTGTGGAAATTCTCGAACGCTTGGCGGGTGGGTGGCGACATGGCATCCAACCTCATTCGTTTGCTGGTGATGGCAAGCCGTCGAAAGGAAGATTGGCTATCGAAGCTCCCTCTCCCATGGTGTCTCACCCTCCTTCAACCTCTTCTTCCAGCGTCAGCGAATTTGATCCTCTCGCACCATCTTCATCCTCTGCAACGGTATTCCCTCCTCTCGGATCTCCTACAGAGCTGACCGACGGACAATCAAATGGGACCAGTCGTCGTTCTACCCGTCAAGATGCCTTGGAGGCGCTTGACTGTGCTCGTATACTACTTGCGCCTGTTGTTAAACGTCAACGCCAACGAGCCGAGAAGGCCGCCCAAGAGAAGGCTGCGGGTGCAAAGAAAAAGCCGCTGTCGATTAACATTCCCTTACATGGCCCACGCGTTGAAGTCATGCTGGCTTGGTTGGCGGCTGTCCATTTGCCTGAGTTAGCACTCTGAAATCACTTTGGGAAGGACGTCTATGAACGTGTACAGTGTCATATTTTCTGGCCCCCGGTCTGGTTTGTATCACCTCTGTACTGATTAAATTATCGTCTATATACTATAAGTAATGATTGTAAACTGTCCCACTCCACCCTTGCGTTCGATTAAGTTCAATATCAGCGGGATTCTACGACAGAAGAATGCATAAATGGTCTTTTCACTGCCTTTTCGCGCTATGCTCCCGCCTCACCCCAGACACGATGCTATCGAAATGAGCGATGATCTTAGGCACAAGAATAATGGCAGAAACAACCACGGGGACCATGAGCAAGAGCGTTGATGTCAATGAGATCGGAAGAACGCCGAAATACAACGGCTCGAGAATCAGGGCGAAAGGCACCGATGTTCTTTGTTTCGAAGAAGTCGAGGATGGTGATTTTGGGGTGAATACGCCCGTGCTCACTGCCCGAACACGCGCGTACCTCACCCTTGCTGAAGATACTTTGACGTTTTGTTCATGCGTGGGCTCTACGCGGTCCCCCAGGGCGATACGAAGGCTTCGTCCATCGTAGATCCTGATGTCGAAGTCGGCTGGGGACTACCACAAATGAGTAACCGCATGCAAAGCGGGTATGGGAAGGACATACAGAAGCTGGCCATGAAAGCCGTAAAGTGAACTTGGTGTACCCTTTCCAAGCTTCGGCTGAAAGATCAAGCGCGAGCCACAGCTCTTGATGGTACTCTCCACCACTAAACGGAGAATCGGACGTCGTTTCCGACGAAACACCACCGCCTGAACCAGTTTGTTCAGAGAACGGTGGCCCGCGCACCGAATGCATCGGGGTGCCAACTGGTGCAGGCGTCATGTTCCATAGTCCTTGGTTACTTTCGAACCGCAGAGTTGGCCTATACAAGCGTTCACGAGAAGCGAACAAGGGTTCGGTCAGTCGGCCTCATGGAGAGCGATAGAAGACGATATCCGTACCACCAGGAAACGAATTCGGGGAGCAATACCACGGGCGCGTCGTCTGCTCCGGTATCCAGGCCGAAGTTGACGATTTCCGTGTTCGCTACCACCAGCGGCAGCAAAAGTGTCAATATCTGGACGACTACGGTCGCTTTCTGGATATGGATGAATGTCGTCCTCATGGTAATACAAACAGCGCACGGCGGTCACTGTGTCATGATCATCTGAACTCTAATTTTGAGCTTGATGGCTCTCGAAGGTTTCAAGGATACTAGATGCGAATATTGTAACTTGTGACCAGCCTCGTGTTGGCGTTACCGCTTAGCGGCCGCATTTTACTGAAGATCGTTATATTGCAAAGTATTTACTAGTGAAAATGAGAAGATACAGGGGAGGAAAGGAGTAAACAGGACCGACGAAGAAGTAATCCCATAAAACTGTTCACTATTAGAGGTATTATTCATCGAGGGAAAATATGAAAAGTGGAAAGGCGAGGAAAGGATTCCATGTGCAGAATTAAAGACACGATGCCACTAGAATAGCGATACAACATAGCAAAGGAAAGCGAGCTAAGTAAAGTGGTAGAAGGAAGGGCGCCCATAAAGAGGCATATATACAGTGAAAGGAAAAGCTTACGAAAAATCGTGGACAAAATGATACGCCCGAAGTATGGGAGACTGTAGATTCATTCAGACGCTTAAGGTGCTACGTATACATGGCAAACCCGTCTTTGAACGGGTTTGCGTTGGTCGTGATGCGATTCGTGGGTATGGTTCATGCCTGGCCCTCAGCAACCGCGGGGAGGGCTCCAGGCTCCACCTGCATTGGCTCAGAGGCAACTTCAGGAACGGGCTGAGCTGGAGTGGGAGTTTGTTCGTTCGAAAGTTCAGATGTAGGAGCAGGAGCGTCGGTGGTGGGAACCTCGGGTGCAGCGGTAGTGACCGGTGCTACTGGGGCGGGCTCAGCAGCTGATGGCGGATTGGCAGCCTGAGGCTGTTGCTCTGCTAACGCTTGAGGAATGGTCATGGGAACGGAGACCGGGGTTGGGCCCGCGCGAGGAAGGCTGGGATCAATATCATGATCTGGAGTAGGGACGGGAACGCTGACGGCAACGGGGACTGGCGGGGCAGGCCCAGACATGACGGGCGCGGCAAAGTCAAGCTGCATCGGCTGCATTTGCATTTGCATAGGAGGACCTTGCTGCTGATGCATGGGAGGGGCCATCTGGACGTCCATCATGGGTTGTTGTTGCTGTTGCTGTTGCTGGTGATGGAATTGCTGGGGGTCGAGTTGGAACTGCCCTTGTCCTGGCTGGGGTTGCTGCATCTGGGCCTGCATCTGGGACTGCATTTGCGCCTGCATTTGCTGTTGCATCTGAGGTTGCATTTGAACCTGCATCTGGGGCTGCATCTGGGGCTGCATTTGAGGGCCCCCTTGACTAGGACCAGCCATTGGCTGGTTAGGGTGTCCATTAGTCGTTGGGGCGCCGCTGCCGTTGGCTGGGCCGGGCATCTCCGTACGCAACGATGAAACCTCCATCGCCATCGAACGGAACGGTGCCGTGAGGTCGGCGGGAAGGCCAGGGATGTGCTGCATGGCCATGGTGTTTTTTAGTGTCGAGAGCAGGGCGATGGCCAGATTGGTGGAGAAGTCGACGGCTGGGTCACCCGTCTGCGGGAACAAGCCTGTGGGGATGTTGGCGAGGAAGCCAGGGGGGACTTGGAAAGGCAGTGCGCCCTGGGAGGTGCCTGCCATGGAACCGTCATCGCGGCCTTTCTGTTTGGCGATGGGAAGAAGGGCGGGGTCTTTGTGGACTTTGAGGTGCTGTAACAAGTTGTCATGCCTGTTGAAGAACTTGTCACAGGCCGCGTGCGTGCATTTGAACGCTAAACGGAGCGAAATCAGTAAATCGATGGATCCGTAGATGTAAAGGTTAACTCACGTTTCTCGTTCGTATGAATTGAGCGAATATGTCGCTTTAGATGTTCGCCGCGGTGGAAACACTTTCCACATCCCTCGACGGAGCAGATATATAGGCGGGCATCTTTCTGAGTCTCCTCGACCTCTCCGATAGTGGTTTTCGTTGGGACTCTGCGCCCTCTGCTCTTTTTTGTTAAATTGGGCACGGGAACGGGCAGCGTAGCGCGGGCGCGAATAGCACGGGCGGCCTCGCTATTGGGGTCGTCTGGGTTATTGCTTGGGTCAGGCGGCGGCTCTGTGTTTGCCCTCGATATGTTGAGCGAGAAGGAAATATCCGTTTCTGAGGTATCCCTTCGCTTGTTCGCGCCCCTGTCCTCCCCCTCGTCCTCAGATTCTACTTCGGAAATAGGGCGCTTTCGCCCTGCAGTAGGTGGCGGTGGCTTAGGTTTCTTGACCTCCTTGCCTTTGCCTTTGCTGACACTGCCCTTGGGTCTGCCGCGAGGGCGAGGCGACTGTGTCTGCGTCTTTTCCGTGTCTGAATCATTCTGGAGCACCTTGCGGAACGATGGACGCGGACCGCTGGGCGTCGTCTGGGATCGAGTGAGTGGCCTGCGAGGCGGCGAAGGCGCCTTTGCCGTTGTCGCGGTAGATTGTGGATCGGACGGTGCATCCTCCTCCTCATGCTGCTGCGAGCGGGTTAGTTCTCAACGGACCTGATCTGAGACTTCCGAAAGCGTACCTCGGGTGCGTCGACAGGAGTCGTCTCCTCCCCCTCTGCATCCTCATCCCCCTCCCGAAATTGCTTGAGATCCAATTCCTCCATCTGTTTGAGTTTATGAACCAATACCATTCTCTTCAGTACGGGCCTTGTTGAGAAAATACAGCGCAGAAGCTGTGACTGGCTGGTCTGTGTGGTTAAGTTCACAGGGGTTGCGTGTCGAGCGAGGGGGCCTCTTTAAGCGATAAGGGGTCGGGCTGGGTGTCCTGGAAAAGCGTGAACAATGTGAATCCTTGCAGAACTGGCGTGGTGCGACGGCGTAGTGGATGGTGACAGGGGCAGCCCCTCTCTCGAAACACTCGAGGGGGCGAAGATTTTTCTGTTTGTATTTGGTTCCACGCCACGTGGCCTCGCCTTTGTTTTTCCCACCGCTTTGATACACAATATACCCCTATCCGGACTTTTCCCATCGCTGTCACCCAGTTTGAGAACAAAGGGCGGCCTGCATCAGTACCTTTCACGGTTGGCCTCGACTCGCTATTCACAGAAATTTCTAACATATAGACTATAGCACATCGCTAATAAAAAAGCCACCTTCTGACGCGATGGCGACCAGTCAGTATCACGCCCAAGACTGAGCCGTTCCTTGATTCTCCTCCTGCCGTATTTGTGCAGGGATTGTTTTCCCGCGAAGTAATCAATATTCCGAATGTCATCGCCACCAAGTTCACCGTCACTGATCAGCGATAGTGATCCTTAACAGAAGGTCAGTTAATAAATACCCTCATGGTCAATCGTTGAGGTTGCTTGCTGATTGATCATCAATTATCCCAGAGTAAACGCATTTACAACTGTCAGCCGTTTTACCGCTGCTGGAAAACACTGGCAACGTGTGCTAATGAATGATGCACGTTTTGACGACATGTAGCTCGTTGACTACACGCGAGTGGAGTGGGTATGGGTTATAAAACACGATGCTATACGAACTATTGTGCCCTTTCACAGAAATAGGGCCTATGTGGTAACGACCATTCGGGTTACAACATCAGCCTGTACTTCAATCAATGTACTCACAGTCGCGACACAACGGCTATTCCTCACAACTTCAGCCTATTGCATTGTCCATGAAGCCTGGTTGAAGGTTATGAACCCCGAACCATTGTAAGTTGAAACATCCTTCTCACCTGGAGCCAAGCTGACGCTTTCTCGTACTGTAGCCGTACATGCTACGACTTGATGAGCTACTCGCCGCTGCATCGGGTTTGTAGCCTGAATAACAGGTCATAGTAAGCTACGCTTCGTCCTTCCCTTCTAACATGATTTTATGACTCCTTCCTGTCAAATCTGAAACTTCCATCGTTCCGGCGTGGACAACGAGGATATACGCAGCAAACTGAAATCATTGGGCGACTCGCATTTTTGCAGACACCGGTCCGTCTACATTCGTATTTCGGAGTGGTTTCAGACGGTTTCAACATCAGCGCCATCATACATGTCCAAGATGCCCGATATCATCAGCAACGAACCGGAAACAATGGTCACTTACGTTGTCGATAAAAACGTAATTAACGTCTTCCCAAGTCCTCCCAACTACCTGGCACCTGGAACGGTTCGCTCGTATTTTTCGCTCTACCGGCCTGCTCCATCATTGCATCAAGTCGGGGTTACTGTTATCTCCCCGGCCTGTCAACACGAATTCGACCGCTTCCCAAGCATTGAAGAACAGTTAGCTGAAGTCTTTTTGACGGCGCCACTCCGTCACACCGATGTTTCTCAAAGCGCGCTCTAGACCATCGGCATCCTTTCGCAGAACTCCATTCTTGCGACTCAGGAAGCCGTTTATTAACATCGTTATTATGTGCTTGCTAAATGGAATCAACTGTAGAGACATCCCATAGGGCGAGCATCCATCCCATTTCAAACGACAGCATCTCATAGGATGCGATGAGAAGCGCACGACAAACGATTCCCATGGATTTCGTGTCTTGCCAACACCCGAAAGGAAAACGACCGATAGAAGTAAAAGCAGGCGAACGGCGTCACTTTCTCTCGCTCCATCTTGGCTCCATCTCGCGACAATCTTACTGCATGACATCATATCAAGTAGCCCTCAATGCCTCAAGGCTGCATCAACTCATCGTCTGTGCGACAATGACGAAACTCCAAGCAATTGGTCCTTCCATGCCGAAATTAAGGACAAGATTAAGGTTCCTGCAGAGCTTGCCCACGCACTGCATCGCGGTCAATTATTTACGTGTCCGACGGCCGGGATGCGGGCCTTGTGGGGAAGATTCCCTTTCGTCGCTCTGCGGTTGGGACTTTCGGTGCTTAAAATGGCCATGTCATGCGCTGCTCATGTGATATGAATAACTTCCTTTACGAGGATTGACTAGGATTGAGCTGGAGTGAACTGGACCCGCAGTATCGAAGTCATCCCAGCCTATCGCAGGGATCCGATGTTGCGAACGATTGCCAGAGGGCCCGCAAACACTATATTAGCGTTAACAGGTAAGCCTATCCTTGTCGATGGCTCGACATACGCTGATAGTTAGGTTTTCGAACAGCTTCCTTTCTATAACTCTAAGACGATGTAAACGAAGGACCGAGCTGCAAGACGGGAAACGCCGAGGGTAGCCAATGGACATAGAGTCCAGGATAACGGTAATGGCCGATTTATTACAGGTAAATGATACCGTTTGAACCCGCGGCCAGCCGGGCAAATCGCCCTCCTTGCGAAAGGTCAGTGTATCATCTGATACGTACTTTCGCATCCATGAGACAATTCAACGAATGTTAACTCGCTTCATAGATTGCATTAGAATGAACCAGTGATTTCCTGATCGTTCTTCACAGCAAAGCATCACAGAAATGTCAAAGAACTGCACAATGGCGCCTTTTGGAGTTGGAGAAGGCGTTCCCGCCCCATAATACATTCGACATTTGTGGTGTTGTTCGCTTGTCATTGGATGGCTGTCTATTACTGATCGGACCTTTCTCAGAGTCAAGTGCACCGATAAGGATACCATGGAATGTCTGAGGCTCGTAAACTCTCATCACGCCAAGCATGGAAGAAACGCTGGAGACGAGCACCCACGGTTCACTCTTTGGTTTGCTGCTATTTCCGTCTGGCAGCGGGAGTCGGAAGTACCAGGTTCTTAATCGCTTGCGTCTTTAGCCTTGGGACTCGGGATGCATCTTCACCTGGGATCTTTGCTGGAGGTATGCTACTGGTGAAACTCTTGATTGAACGAAGTCTACCTTCCTTACGGGCGTTGCATACGCCCGTCGTCGCTTGCTCGTTGCGTCCCCCTTGCCATGGCGAGATTCGGACTCAGGGCTGTCTGATAACGGGGCGTTAGTTTGGTCGTTGGATTCTCCGGACTCCGTGTACAATAGTGGTGCTTTGCTTCCCTTGACGGTATGCGATGATACCCGTCCGTATCTGTCCACTTCTGCCATCAGCTTACTGCGTTGAGCTGTACGTATACACCTCAGTTTGCTTTCCGTGTATTCCGACTTGGTTCGATCGTCTGAGTCAAGTGGTGTTATATATACCCTACCAAGCGGAGAGTCGGCGATTGCTTGCGGGAGGTGCGGTCGCTTACGGTCGGTACAACTAAAATAACCCCTGGATTATCTATTTCAGTGAAGTGGTGAATCTTTGTGACACGTCGTTAAGTTGAATTGCTGATTTACTGGTACGTGGACACATGGGAGTAAGCAGTTGTTGGTCAGTCTTACAGCATTCGTTATGCATTATAATGGTGATGATGGTTATGATGATGTCGTGCTCGCCAATTACGAAGTAACTTGATATTAAAGGGCGTTCATTTACTAAATAACTTACCGTACGGCTGTAGTGAGGAGCGATTGATTGAAAGGATCGTTCCACAGATACTTTTCGAAGGCACGGATTCAGCAAGCGATCTAGTAAGAGCACAGTCAAACTATAACAGGGTGGAGTAGGGTTGCCAACATTGGCTACAGCTTCGAGGGCACGAGGACCGCCGCTCTCACCAATGTTTAAACGATAGATAAGTGTAAGCGTTGATATGTATGCAGCATGTTAGCTCTTCTTGTACACCGGGGGAAGTAGAAGAGCGTGCCAGGTGACGCAGGAAGGGCCAACGCTGCGTCCAGAAGAACATCCACCTATTAATGAACATCCATCTTCGCTTCCTGTTGAACACATCGCCTTCATCGTGAATTTCGGGAAGCCTCTACGAAGTACCCCCCAACACGGAAGGAAAGAGTCATTGACAGTGACTATTGCGGCTGTAGTATTCTCTTCAACCGCAGCCGCACGGGGCCCTTCATAAACACCCCCGCCCATATCGAGGCGCAGATAGCCATGTGGCAAAATCCTGCCATGCGATCTACCTCCATGCGATCGCAGTTTGCATTCAAGACCAGTGAGAGTGCATTGCTATTTTTTGAACCGTTAGTTTCCGAGCTTCCCCTGCGTAAACGAGACGGTACACCCCGGGTAACCGTAGCGGTGTTCGTTCGCCTGCTAGAGCTGTTGAAAGGACCACATTGAAAAGGCGGCTAGTTTGAGTTGTCGGCTAACCTCTGTCAAGGTTAGCTACGGGAATGTGGCAATCTGCGGGATCGGGATCGTAGTAATTAAGTGGTGATTTAGCTGTTCTGTTGGATAGAGTGAGCGAGCTAGAGTTTTGAAGTCGGCGAGAGAGAAATCCCGTGGAGGCGCATCCAGGAAGCAGTGGTTATGACTACCAGAGAAGGCTCCAGTGAGCAGAATAGTGCCGCCCAAGAGTACACAGAGTTTGAGGTGACATTATTGAGGGCGGGGGGCACTTCGCACAGCCGAGTGTGAAGTCCGAGGCGATGCGGCGGAGACAACTGAGCCGTAAAGCAATTGTCCAATTATCCAAGGGTGGCAAAAAGGATCCAATACACTGTGTGTGACTGGTGATGCTGCGAATGTGGGGTCTGCTTAGTACTACAAGAATCAGGCGTAAACACGCACACGACTTTGGATAATAGCCAGTCGGGCGTTAACTCAGTGTTTCGATTGGAATGAAGATACAAGAACCTGAGTGGGTTGTTCGGTGAAGAGTTAGGGTCCGCAGTTTGATACACGCGTAACACATGTGGGCCCGGTGAATGTGCCATTGAACACATGTGTGGGTTTCGTGAGGTAAGTCATTGTCCTGTTCCAGTAAAGAGTATACATGGAATGATGATCAGCCGAAGTGAAAGTTGATAGATACTGGGGCCTACAAGCCGACATTTCCCCTCGATGCTGCGCCGAGCCCACCGAAAGCAGCTCCAGCCATTATGAATGGCGGCGGGATACCGGTTGTGCAAACGCCTGAGTCATTATCTGGAATTCCAAATCAGAACAGTGATACGCATAGGCGTCAATCAGTGCAGTACTTTTTCAACCAATAATGTCTCTAGAATATTCTGATTAGGATATATTAGCACGATGCATAGTAGGCGAAAGGTGAGCCGCCTCACCATGACTTTCCGGACTTGGTGGAAGATTGCTGTTACGACGTTGCCAGTAATTCAGCGCCGGCATTCCTTCATTTTCCGTCGTCGAGTGAGTGGCTCCGTCATGCAATGCGAAACGTTGACAACAATGGCCTTCAATGGCTCACAGCCATACATATCACTTCAGGCGACAAACTTTCCCCGAAGCGGAGACTTGCTTAAAGGGGATACATTGGACTTTACCAGTGTTATGTTATTGCCCCAACATACAATATGGAACGGACCAAGATCAGCATTTCGAGCTGAAGGAACAAGCCGAGCGTTCCCGTTTATCAGTACAAGTTACTGCTTGATAGCTGAGAGAAAAGCCGATCGGAGATGTACTTGTCATGGAGAAAGAAGCTCAATATGGGAAGAGGTGGATAAAACCGGCGAGAAGGGCAAGAAGCTCGTTCAGATATGGATCTGGGAGATTAGAAGGTTGTTCAACTGATTTGATAATGTACACGCACGACTGGCGATAGTACAGGTGACCTTGGGGAATCTGACATCTTGAGCGCTGAGCGCGGGAGGTGATAATTGCAGGGCGTTGGTTGCTCTGATCAATTTGAGAAGACGGTCGAGTGGAACTGTGGAACTTTCATTGAGCGAAATCTAATCATAAAGCCGAAAGCTAGAGGAAATGAGAGGAATCCACGCCGGCCGGTTTGGGTCGGAAATGCAGTGCTGAGCCGATGCGGATCCGCTGTGCAGGGACTGGCAGGAGCCACGGATGTAAGCAGCGGAATGTTTCCGAATTGATGACATTGGGCCGCAATGCTGTTCGCAATCAGCATTGCGGGCGAGTGATCGAACATAATGGGTTGTGAGCCTCGTGTCGTGTCAGTGCGTGTCAGGCGCCGCTCGGTTGACAGGAAGTGTAGCGTTCTGCGAACCGATGAGCAAGTTGGACAGAGCGTCGATTCTGGCGGTTCGTGGATGAATCTGCTGGGAAGTAAACGGCTTGTTGACAGTAGAAGAAGAGAGCGGCCTGGAAAAGGCTTGTGTGAGCCTGAGATGAGGACTTGCCTTGTGAGGCAATTTCTCTGGGGACAACAGGCACACACAGACTTTGAACCCACGTCCATCATTGAAGCTGACTCGATTCGGAGGCAGTCGTGTATATATATCCCAGAGCTCTGCCTCGACCAGGTCATGTACGGCGACCGACGGGCGGGGCTGGTTTGTTTCTCGCAGGCAGATTGGCGCGTCGGCGGCGTAAGTTCAGATCCTTTGTTTATTGCCCCTCGGTCAGCTCACACCGCTTTCGCCACTCCAGATTTGTGGTCTGGGGCTTGATTTGATTTGCATTCAAGGCCCCCAGGTATAGCACTGGTGGCCCGATCGATCATCGAGTGAACTATTGAGTCACCTGCGAGCCCGGCCTATTATCATTCCAGCCCAACTTGGGAACGAACCTAAAGCTTTCTTTGTTCCCTGCCACTGACATCGTCCTTCACCGACACTTCCGCCTCGCCATTCCACCCGCAGGCCTCACGATCACTCCCGCTTGACCCCCAGCTCGTGTACCCCTCATTCCATATAATCTAATCGCAAGTCAGCCACCGTTTCTCTTCCGCGACCCGCTGTCTCGTCGCCAGATCTACTTGGAATTTCCTAGCTGCACTCTTCCCGTTTATCTCCTTCAAATGCCACAAGCGACTCATTCCCCCTTGCCCTCGGAGCGTTTCCCCTTTCCTACCAGCTCTGTATCTGAGGACGATTGCAGATACTATCCCAGACAGAGCTCGTCGCGGTTCAACGGACAGCTACTGGACTCCCCTATCGTTGCATCGCATACCTTGCCATCGTATACCGCTGCCAGTTCAGGACAGCCGCAGCAAAGGAGACGCAGCCCAGCCACTTCGGTGGCAATCGGTACCAACACAATACCATTCGCTACAAGCGGGGAGGGCGCTGGTCCAAGTAACTATTATCAGCTCAACGTGACCAACAATCACCCAAACACGATTGATCACTCCTCTGACTCAACCACGATATACGCCTCCGACCAGGACTCAGGCATGCTTGGCTATCAGTCGCAGAGCTATTCCATGAATACAGCTGAGGCATGGTACTCTGCTCAAAAGAAGCTCGTCGAACACAATATGCAACAAGTTCAAGAACAGACGGGGAGGGACAGAACACCAGCGTCCCCCTTTCCCCCTCCCCAACCTCTGCCACCCACTCATTCTCAAGAACGCTCACCCTCTATGATGCATTTCCCCATCACCGATGGTTCACAACCCCCGTATCCTCCCGGTCGTATGCCGCGCTTCGAAGACAGCCAACTGCCGTGGCATCCGGATCCTCCAGAAGCTTCACTCCACCCTCGGTTTCCCCCTGAATACTCTCACTTCGCATCACACTCTATCGCTGTTGCCAACGTCTACGGAGCCGGCTCTACTGAGGTCACACCTACGCAGGGGGACATGGTCAGACTGCGGCAAGATGGGCTTATTATTCATACTGACCTTCGTGCGCCCCCCGTCTCCTAAGTCACAGACTTTGGCTGACCATTTGCCGTTAACAGGTCAGCACGCCGCCAGCCGCCAGGGTAACCCCTATGTACCCTCCCCGTCGATGGATATGCTGGGCGGTCACGATGTCCACCTAAGTCGGCACCACCGGACACCATCTTCAGGCATGTACGCGCAAGGAGCAGAAATATCGCCGTCCGACGTGTCTGGTCGCTCTCCCACTGTGGCGTCACCCGGCGTTGGCAAGCCAGGGGATGGGGCTATGCGTCAAGGCTATCCCGTTGCTCAAACGTCGTTCGGAGCGCCTGTCATCGGAGAACATAACATGCACGGAAACGGTATTAACTCCGTTAGGCATTGGGTCGGGCAAGAGTCCGAAGTAGATGTCGATGCCGACGGCGAAGAAGATCCGGATACATTGAGAATGGCACCCGGGGCATACGGTCAGTCTCAATTAGTAGACCCACGTAAAGCGGGGGGCAGACGAGTAGAATTTGAAGGGGCTGAGTTTGATCATGACGGCGTTTACGACGACGGAGGAAATTACGTATCGCAATCCCATGGCAGTAGCCTGGGCAGCGACGGTATACGGAGGTTACGTGCAACGCCAACACGTACTGTGCGGTACACGCCTTATCCATCTTACGGCCAGTCACATTCCCACTCCCAAACGCAACAGGCGCAGCACTCTCTTTCTGTTCTCCCACCAACCAACTCGTATTCGTACTCTCTGGGATTGCCGTCGAATGGTAATCGTACCAACGATCCAAGCGTCCCTGTGCTTCCTCCTTACCCAGGCCAGTACGAAGATATCCCCAGTGACGAACATGGGGTTCGCACGAGGAAAGTTAGCAGTGGTACGGCGTGCTCTTCATCTTCCGCCTCGACCTCGACATCCAATACATCCTCCTACCCACCATTGACCCCCACGTCCCCAGTGTCTCCTACTCTGACCTATCTCCCTGGTACCTACTCCGACGGCTCCAGCTCCAATTTAGAGTCAAAACGGAGGGCAAGACAGGCGACGCCACTGCCAGTGCCTATACCAGTACCTAACCTCACGAAGAAATCTAGAGGCCGGAGGGTTCCGACCGTGGCCGTCCTGCAGCGTGGGAGATCAAGCGATAGAACGCGAGGCGGAAGCAGCATGTCCGATGGCGCTGCGGCGGGAAGCAAGACGTCAGCGTCTAGGATGTACACCTGCACGGCGGACGGGTGTGGTAAGTGTTTCGCCCGTGGCGAGCATCTGAAGCGGCATGTACGGAGTATCCACACGTACGAGAAACGTACGTGTAAGCCAGTTATACGGCTTCTGTTTCTATTATGGCTTCCTTTACTGATAGAGGTGGTATTTTAGCTCATAGATGCCCGTATCCTGGATGTGAGAAGGATTTCAGCCGGCACGACAATTTGGGGCAACACATGCGCGTGCATAAAGACTTTGTCCCCCCTCCTAAAGCCCCTGTCTTTACGGGATATAGGGAATCGAGGACCTAAGCTCCTCGACCTTCCGCCCCACTGTGCTGGACTCGACGATTGGGCTCTAACACCTTTCACCTTTAATCCCTCTTATTATTTGACTATATTTTCTTGAGCATGCCTACAGTTCGAACTTTCACCATTCCTTGGAAACCATGATTACACTGCTTCGTCCCTTTCCTGATCATTATGCCATCCCGTGGCCCTCGCTTTCTTGTCTATACATCCCCCTATGGTTTCATGTCTGATTTATTTTATAGCATACTGTTCACGTTGCTCATTCAGTCGTGTTTAGCAGATTGCTATCCATTTTATTAGGGTCTCATCATTCCCTCTTGATCGCATATTATCGTTTCCCGGGTTTTTGGTTCTTCGTGAGGTTTCTGTATTTCTTTCAATTCTTATGGTCGTTTCGAGCCCCATCATCCCGCCTACACATGGTTCGTCCCCAGCGGTTGCGCCCAAGCTGTAGCTTCTTCCCAGACGCAAGGATCGCAGAATAAGGTCTGAGGTTCGCATGCTGGAGCCGTTTAAAGGTGTCTTCGGGCATTCCTCGAATCAGCCCCCCGGCCGATGAAGCTTCCCTTCCTGCCATATGCCGTTTGCAGCCTGCTTACCCCATCCTCAACTACCGTGTTCCCGCACCCCGCCCGTCTGCTATTTCTGATGGATCTTCACACCAAGCCGACGCGATCGTCCACTTTCCCCGCCGATGATGAAGATGTTTATGATGATAGAATAGAGCCCTCAGTGGTTTGGTTCAATTACAGCAGTCTCATCAATGAAAACAAGGACCCATCTCCCATTTCCCCCCACTTCCTCCGACCTTTCTCTCTTACGACCGTCATGACATAACGACTTTTTGCAATATGGACTAGTAGATATTCTGTCAGCCATCCTCCCCTCTTCCTCCCCATTCTGTACCTTGTATCTACGTTTACAATACTCTTCATCCCGTAATTCCTCGCTCGTCTCTGTACCATCAGCCACAAGAGTCACTGTATCGATTACTATTTCTGGGTCCATGTACTTCTATGTTTTCTTCGAATATATTCGGGCGTCTGGGTGTTTCCGTGGAGTTAATTTGGCTTGGATCTCGATTCCATCCCGAACTAGCCAAGGACGGGTGTACCCATACTGATAAGGTTACTATTCGCTCACTGTTGTGAGAATATGTACCAAGTTCGCTGCGTGAGCTGGCGAGGCCCACGCATGGGAAGGGTCGAGAATTTGTTTGATATCGACATAAAGTCGAGCGTGGATATTATTTACGGTATTGGATACATTTGTCAATTGGTATAAGAGGCTCGAGCCCGTGTATGAGCCTGTTGGAAGTAAAAGGTGTTCTCTTCGCCGTTATGAAGAGAATCACAAGGTCCAGATCTGATTTTTATTTCCGTACGCGCACTCCCATGTCTGTACGACATTCCCATTCCCGCTATTCCCACCAGGAAGATCGAGGCATTGCCCTATGTTGATGACTGCGTCAGCGAAGCGCCAGGCTCACTGATGAAGGTTTACTGCGCGTACCTTTGCCTTCAAGAGCGATATGTTTGTCCTCAGTATACCACCATTTCTGTGCAGCTAAGCCGTCGAAGCATTGCCAGATCTTCAGCTGTACGCCGTTGCCTGGGGCTGCTGTTGTAAGATCTTGAAGTAAATGGAAGCACAGAAGAGAAACGTACTGAGACCTGAATCCAAGCAGAAGTTGGTGCCGTCAAGTTGGAGTCTTGTCGCCCCGGGCTTCGAGGCGATTCGCCACTTCTGTGCGTTGGATCCATTGCAGTCGTGACTGGTAGGAACGAACAATTCGGCTTGTCTGAACGGCCCGTCTGAAGCGAAAGAGTAATGGGGCTTACATTTGAACCGGGGAGCCATTTTGGAACGCTGCTGAACGGACATCTAAACATTTCTTGTTGTCGCCGTTGGGATGGATCTGGTGGACGTCACCGCCAGTTTGAGCCGAGGGTTGAGGGGGCTTGCCATCCGGGCAGAAACTAAAGCGAGCAGGCAGGGTAAGTCGGGGGGAGTGGAGTATGTGACAGACTACACGTACGTTACAGTGAACCCGACATCGCCGGGGCAGCGATAGAGTGGTGGGCCGGGTGGGCCGTTCGATGGGGGCGGCAGGTGGTTAGGTCTGCTGCGGTAAGCGGTATTGCAATTTGGACCGTCGCACTTGGCCTCCGGGCACCAGCCATGGTCCTGTCGCGATACAGGTCAGCTCGACGCTTAACATGAAGCTCGGGAAGTGTCACTACCTCCCCACGATTTGGCTTGATGCTAACACCCGTGTTGAAACGGGAAAAGTCTGAGACTATGAAGTAGTACCCTTCCTAATAAAATTCCAATTATTTATTAATATTCCAAATAACGTCAAAACCGCTCAGCATGAGGCTTACCTCGAGGTGAAATGAGGCTCTAGTGGACTTGTCACCACTAGCACTTCCCTGGTACGAGCTTGTCCAGATGTCTCCGCTCCAGTCTCTCGGCACGTCGCTATGAACGTTCCCTCCGTTGTTGCCCAACACGCCTCTGTTCTCGCCGTTGATAAACAGCGTCAGCGTGTTCGGGCAATTGTTCGTGATGTTGAAATGGACGGCCAAGGTGGCTGGCACGAGTCCAAGAGCCACAACGGAGAGGGAGAGCGCCGATCGAAGGAAATGAGACATCTTCGAGTACTAGGTAAGAAAGGAGTAGGGATACTACAACCAGTCGATGCATTACATCGTTCAAAGGCTCAGGCTTTTGTACTGGGAGCTTATTCCTACTCTACATTTGGGTTAGGTCGGGCGTGCGCTGGCGGGGAACAGATGCTTCCGTTAGTGGCATTCCCGCCTTCTAAGGGATCCACAGGCGTCTAAACCAGGTCAACTTGCCGTCATAATGCTTCTGCTGGCCAGTGGCAGGTGGTGCGGAACACTGTGCTAGCCTTCAAGTACACCCTAGAATCGCCATAACGATACTCATAATCCTCACCACGACCGGTGACTTCCAATTCCGATATGCACGGATGTCAAGGATGTCATTGGCGAACAAAGCCAATGCACATATGTATGTAGTCAGAGCAAATATGAAAGCGGGATCCTAGTTGTGAGAGGTAGGTAATGATGCAGGTATAGTAGTGGGCCGATATGTCAGAAAAATAAAGCAACATGTACGTTATACTCAACGTCCGTCCTGTTTTCGTATGAACTGCAAAAGTAGAGCGAGGCGGCCTGCCTCCAGGGTCTATAGATTCTCGAAAAGATGTTAAAATCAAAAGTGATGCAGAGACGTGTCACAAGTCGTAAGTCGCAGAGAAAGCAATCATAAGTACAGCGCAATGCAATGACTAGCCAACAAGTGGCTCATGCACATCATCAATGGCTTAGGCGGACTTATACGAATCCTGCGAATTCAGGGAACGTCAAATCGCCTGCATCCAAGCGAGTGGGTGAAGAGCGTACCTTGACGCTTTTCTTCGCCTTCTGAGCGGTCATCTTTTTCTTGCAATAATGCACGATCCTGACAATATCGGGGGCGATGAACATGGGTAGAACGATAGCCATAACAGGAATCGCGATGAACCAGAATCTAGACGGAAGCGTTATTAGGGGGTCTCCTGGAAGCAGGTGGAGGAAAGGGAGACATACACCGCGTCAGAGTGACCGTGCTGAATCGTCCACATGAACTCGAAGTTCATACCCTACAATGAATGTCAAGCTATTTTGGGGTGCCGGAGTAGAGACAAAGACGTACGAAGTAACCAGTAAGAAGGGTGAGAGGTAAGAAGATGATAGTCGCCAGCGTCAGGCGGCGCATGACTTCGTTCATCTCGTATGAGGCCATCTAACAAGCTCAAGGTCAGCGGTCAGCATTCCACTGCAAGCCGAAATAGTCAACCTACATTGAACGTATAATCAATCAGATTCTCCGCGATACCCGCGAACATTTCTAAGCTGGTGAGGATATACGCCATGTGGTCGTATACATCGGCCTATTAGAGCAACAAAAGCAGTTAGCAGGCGATCTACAAAGCAAATCGGAACTATGAAGGCCGTGTGGTGACACCCATGTGCCTCAGTCGAATTAGTGGCGCGACGGCGTCGTCGGTGGGGAACATAGCCCACTGATCCTAAGAGGGAATGATGGACTCACGAGGTAGATTTGAGACTTGTGAGTCATGAACCCGACTACAGGCTCGCGTTTCCCATTGGAATCCGGATTGGCTTCCGCGAGAGCAGCACACCTGTCTTGATCATAGCGCCGTAACCCGTAGACAATGGTCTTGATTGGCTCGAGTGTCCGTTTATGGAGGATGAGATCGCCCGAAAGAATGTGCACTGAATTGATACCCGTCAACCGAGATTCAGAGAGTCATACAATGGATAGCAGGACACTCACAGTTCCTCACAGTTTTCATCTTGGGCTTGAGCAGGATATCCCGTTCGAACTTCTTGATTTTGTAATGGTACGCGTCGATGACTTCCAAAGCCTGGTCGACGACTATGAAACACACGTAAGTCTGCGAAGGGCGAGCCGCCTGGATACATCGACTCACTGAGATCGAGCAGACTTTGGAGCAGCAAACTCGCATCAGCGCTCTTCCTCAGTAACGTATCGGGTTGGCGTAGGCGGTGCACAATAGGATCGGTGAAGGTTGCATCGGGGGATGGATGGATGGTGATGAAGGTACCTATGAACACGGATAAGTAACAATGAGAGAGTAGCTATAGAATGTCAAACCGACCGTCTTTGTAGAGGAACATGAACATCGGGTAAACCTTGACGTTAACACGTTCCCCCCTTTTGAGTTCCTCAATCGTAGCATTACGCTCCGCTTGCTTGCGTTCGTCATGACGCTATACAGGCCGTGCAATTAGCGAAGCTGAGGATACTGATGGTTAGTACTCACCTCCTCGCTCTCAGCATACTTGGCCAACTTCGCTTTTGCTCGCTCTTCACGTACAGCATGCTTCGATTTTTGAAAAGCGACCTTCCTCGTAGGAAGCGCCCCCTTTTCGACATCCATAACGCTTGACATGGCCGACTTCGTCCTACGCCAGCTGCGTCGCTTAGACGGCGTCTCCGTGCCGAACAATGTATTGTCGCGGTCAACATCGCCTGCCTTAAGAGTGCCGAATTCACCGTTTGATACTCCCTCTACAGCGATGCCAACTTCCTCTTTCACAAGACTATCGTCCAATGCTTGATGCTCTCTGTGTTCTCTGTCCTCCGGCGTGAAGGGGGCAGGCGAAGTGGAACGTGGTATCTCAGTCAGGGTCGACCCGCGCGCAGGATGGAAGTCGCGAAAGCGTGGAACCGCGAGGTGCGGAGGGATGTAGCTAGAGTCGTCATCTGGGTCAAGGAGCTCGTGGCAGAGAACGCGGAGGAAAAGGTGTTTGTGATAATAATCTGCCTTCGAGCGAGATTGGTCGCGCTGGTGGAGTACGTCTTCCAGGGCCAGGGGGTGCATTTCTACAGCATTGCTGTAGATTAGCCACGGACAACGATGCAAGGGGAATGAAGCGCACCATAGCGTAGAGCCACTGCACTGAGAACATCCCAGCTGATCCCAGCAATATTTATCCACCTCACTTTCACCCAGCTTTCCCGCTCACTTGCGGCATCGCTTTGCATCATCCCAATGAATTCCTTATTCGTCATCATCCCGAACGAGCTTCGTAGACTGCTGTAATCGTTGACCTGAATAACGCAGTCCTGGTGAATGTGTCCCCAGTTGATGTACGCCGAGTCTCGTCGAGGATCGATACCGGGCTCATCACCAACACCAAATCGCGCGTACGAAAAGGTCGATGTTGAGCGGTGCAGAGCAATTACCTTTCGGACAACTTTACGAAATCTTTCTTTCGGTGCAATTACGGCACGATGCGCAACCGAGCTCGCTGCCTGGGAGCGTGCGGTACGATGCGTGTGGTGAGACATTACTGGTGAAGCTATCCGCTGTATGGGCGATTGTACGTGGTTTACTTCAGGAATGCCTCCCCCAGGAATGGCCAACGAGATGGGCGACGCGACAAAGTCTTCATGATCGCTTAGGTCGCTGAGGTCTGGGGTCAACGAACGCCCCTCAGAGTCGCTGAAGCTGTTCTCTCTAGGCATCTTCTGGGCAGGGTTTGGGGAGGCGGGACTGGGTGCCCTCGGGAATGTGATGGGGAAGAGAGAAGCCTAATGGAAAGAGAAACTTGCTCTGGTTGTGGAATATAGGGAAATTGACGTTGGGCGCCCAAATCACCCAAACATGAGGCTCAGCGGTGGTATTTTTGGCGAGATACCCGTTGCAGAGCTTGCTCAGGGGTACAGATGTTTCAGGTCCTTGAGATAAATTTAGAGTCCTGCTGGAACCGCCCCCTCGATGATATGTTTGCTGGCATATGGCTCATGGGAAGAAACAGCACATTCAGCTCGTCGAAGATGGTGGTGGTCAAGAGAGAAGAAGGGCAAGCGTTGAGTGAAATCGATCGCGTTGAAAGAAGGCGATCAGTAAGTGGCTGTGCTATTGCGATAAGACAACGACTTGTAGATCACAACCACCACCAATGGCCGCTCCTCGCTGGAAGACAGCAATCGAGAATGCACTCGCCAAAAGCGACAAGTCCACTGGTGAGCACCATTCTACAGAAATAGCCCTGATCACCACTCAGGACCATTCCAGTGATCCAAATATCCACCGTTTCAACGGGCGGTGCCGCTCGCCCACATGTTCGTTCGCACATCTTCCGTTCGTTTATCACGCCGAAATCACTGCCATCGCTGCCGGTGCTGCTCTCGTCAACAGACGCCCGCACGCCCAAAGTCGCCCAGATTCTGGCGAACCCGCTCGTTGAAGTCGCGTGGTGGATCGAGGGCACACAGGAACAATTTCGCATCTTCGGCAAAGCAAGTCTGGTTCCGTCTCCGGACTTCACATTTGATGCCGATACCGATATGGCACAAAGCGATGGCGAGAGCTTCTACGATAAATGTATGAAGAGCGGGGTGCTTTCGACTGCAGACACTATTCAAGGCGACTATGCGAAGATAGGATTGAACCTCGCGTATGATTCCTTATCCAAGGAACCTGGATTCGACTGGGAAGCTAAGCGTGTCGAGTTATTCAAGACGATGTCGGCCCATATGAAAGCAAGCTGGTGTCGCCCGACTCCTGGCATTAAACTCCCTAGAGGATATGATGACGCGAAGAAGTGGCCTGAACGTGTTGAAGAACCCAAATCCGGTGATCCTGGTAAGTACATTCTCTTCCATCTGACAGGCCAAGTCAAAGCGGCTGTTCAACCCGTGCACACATCAGAGGTTCCTCACGGCCAAAGTATCGTCGAACGACTTTCACTGACCAAAAACCACCTTTCTCCACCACATTGTCATCCTTTGTATACAGATTATGAACAAAAGTCCAAGGATTGGACTACTGCGTTGCGCAACTTCTCTCTGGTAGTCATTGAACCTCTCGATATTGATTACGTCGAGCTTGACGTCGTACCAAATCGCAGGACTCATTTCTGGCGAAGAGATGTAGGTGAAGAGAAGTCGGTACAATGGGAAGAAGAAGCGGTCGTTCCGTGATTTTCAGTGTCAAAAGTTATGATGGTTGTATTAAAGATAATCGCAAATGTGGAACAAAAGTAAAATATGTAGCTAGTAGCAGAACGAAATCGTGTCCATAATATGGAAAAGTCAACAAATGATAGCAGAAAGTTCGTGAATAGGTCTTGTTGTCCGATCGTATGCTATAACTTAGGCTACTGGTGACGGTGTACCGCTGGTGACGGAGGCTAAGCTCCACACTTGGTTGGTGTTGTTATCTGTGCACTTCCAAGTCTGGACGGTGTTGTTGTTGGTGAACAACCCATCTTTGAAGTCCATGCATTGCCCTGGCATAATGTGTCATCCGCTGTTGACGACAGAGGATGACTGGTTTATTACCCTTGTTAGTGACAGCTATACGGCTATCGTTCGTGAACCACCAATCCTGAGCGGGGAGGTTGTCGTAGCATGTCCAAATCTTCAGTGCTACGCCGCTGGCAGGCTCTGAAAGGGGGATTGATTAGGGGTGTTTGGTAGGGTTATAGGGGCGAGGTACGTACTGGAGCCAGCGTCCAAGCAGAAGTTGGTACCAGCGAGTCGCACCTTTGTTTGGCCTTTGACAATTGACCAATTCTGTCCGGAAGAGCCATTGCAGTCGAAGCTGGAGAATAAGATGAGCAAAGTGCTTGTGAAGAATGGCTTTTCCTTACATTTGAACAGGCGTGCCGTTTGCGGTGACATTGCCTTTGACGTTTAAGCACTTGCCAACAACCCCAAATGGGTGGATCTGGGTAGAGATGGTTGAAGCATTGCCAGCAGCAACTTGGCGCGAAGAAATATCTATGGTGAGCCCGTGGGCGAGAGTCGCAAGAAAGGTGGCGGCGACATAGACTGAGGCGAACATGATGTTACTGGAGCTTAAGAGTGACTTGGAATGGTGGGGAGAATGATGATGCAATTGCAGGCACTTGCACAAGGTTTATATACCCCACTGAACCCCTGTCAGCGGCTAGCTGATATGGCTGACATTCTTGTACGTCGGAACGGAAGCACAGTGCAAGACAACATCCGCTTCCGGGAGAGACCCTATCCGCACGGGACATGCCTTCAACCAATGAGCAGCCTGAGCAGGCGAATTCGACGAGTGAGCAGTAGCCGGATCGCCCGAGCTTGACGACCCGAGTGTCGATAACTACACCCGTCTACACTCATCGAAGAAGTAAGTTTGTGAGGAGGGAAAGGGGCTGCGGTTGAAGTTACGATGGAATTTAGGGTAGTATTTCAGTGGACTCTGGCGCAGTAGTTTGCCTGGTGTTTGTATGCGCTGGTGGTTCAAAGGTGGATGGGAAAGGGAATGTGGATGTGAATACGTTGAAGTGGGCGCCAAATGCGCATCGACTCGCGTATGGACTTTGAATATTTGAATGATCTTGACATCAGCCATGAATAGGCGCACACGAGCCACTCCGCTGATTGGGTTGGCTGAGAAATAGCAAGATATATGGCAGGTGAAGAATTGACACCATAAGTTCTCGTTAGCAATATCCCGGCACAAACACCCTTCCTTCGCACTTGATGCCACACGACCTCGGCTCTCGGTAGCTAGGAAGAATCTATTATGACTTGGTCAGCGTCCCTACGCCTATTGCTTTGTGTTTAAACCTTCCAGCCAGCTACCCAATACTTCATTGAATTCATCTTTGTTCTCCATCATCACCCAGTGCCCCGCTTCGAACTCGTGGACCGTAAGGTCGACGCACGCTTTCTCCATGAGCTTTATTTGCGGTTTGGGCACGCAGATGATATCATGAGTCGTGGCGCCGAAAAAAACTGGCCTGGAGATAGCAGGAGAGCGAATCGGGACACCTGTAGATACTTGTGAGTTGGAATAATGCATGGCGACCTTTGGCATTACCCTTGTCCTCCTCGGCAGTGAGACCGCTCGTCCAGACTTTATACCAGCTCGCAGGCCCTGTCAAACCACCCTTGATCAGAGCTTCCTTCTGAACCTTTTGCTCCTACACATAGTGTAACACATAGTGTAGTCAATAAAGATGGAAAGTGAAGTTTAAACTACCCACCTCTTCGCTGAGCCATGAGACAATATCAGTAGTCTGCCCAGACTCTACCCAGGCGCGTAGTGCGCCCGAAGGAGTGAAATGTGCCGTGACAATGTTGAGGTCAGCAGAATAAATAATGCTGAAGAATGATTCGAACTAAAAGCCCTCATTGAGTGAGTAAGCATTTAGGAAAGAAACTACCGTCGTACATTCTTCTCGATGAGCTCGGGGCCATCTGGGGCCGTGAGCAACCCCCAATACCCTAGGGTCTCACGCCCTGCGAGCTTCTTAGTGAGCGCGAAGACTTCATCCATGTCGAAATTGGGGCAAGGTGCTATATATCCCACTGCGAAGAAGGCGAATGCGATGAAGCGATCTTCGTACAGATCGGCCAATCTCGCTGCAATCCTGCTCCCCCTCCAAGCCAGCAAGCGAGGTTAGCCCATTTAACACAGTCAGTGGGATAATGTGGAAGTACGTACCAGTCATGTCCAATGGCGATGCATTTCGTGATACCCTCTGCATCGAGGACGTCTATGAGATCCTTGCTGGTGCCGGAATTCGTGTACGCCTCGGCCTCTGTGGGCTTTGAGGTGCCACCGTAACCCAACATGTCAGGTACAATCAAGCCATAACCAAGCTTGCTGAAGTAGGTAACTTGGTGCCGCCAATCATACGACGTAGATGGAAAGCCGTGAATGAAGAGAAGGTAAGGCTTGTCCGCCCGTGGGGCTACGGCCAGGTAATGGTAGTCAAACCCTCTGGATGTTCGAACGTCCTTGTACAAGGAACTATCCATGTCGAATCTAGGATGAGAAATCAATGCCGTGCTTTCCCCTTTATATACGCGGTGGTCATGCTGAGTAACAACGAAATGTGGGAGCAATTACTAATGAAAGTTAGAAGCAACGGTTAGGGAATAACAAAACATATAACATGCTTACACATTGATGGGCGCACTGTGCATGCAACGTCCAACGTCCGCCAAGCGGACTAACGGGCCGTAAGCTGTTCTTGTTGCGTCCTTGAGGATACCATAAGGTGCTCCCGTGACCGAGAACAATCATCGAAGAGTAGTAGGTGTTGAAAATACGACGCCATCTTACGGAACCGCGCTCTACGCACTTCTACGTAGGGAATGTGGTAACCGACACTCTGTGGGCCGCCAAATAAAGGCCACAGTCGGGATGCGAATGGCCATCTAAGATATATATATATCGTTTCAAGAATCCGAGGCGCCAGTGAGAGAGACTTTGACCAGTCGGACGGTCCTTCAAGTTGACCCCGACTCGACTAGAAAAGCGTAGGCACCAAGTAGGCGCTGCATTGTAGCATCGCGTCTATCTTGCTATTATCGAGGCCTAAAAACAGATGGATCAGCGGAGATTGGACGCGTGGAACACGGAGAAGGGTGGAGGACTCAGGACGTACAAAGTTGTTGAACTTGAAATCTTACCAGTGAGAGCCTTGACTTGAAGTTGTGGCTGAGTCTCAACTTGAACGGTCGGCGCTTATTGTGGTCGCGACTCACGAGTATATGCCATGAAGCGATTCCACTGGAATGATAAGGAAGCAGGAGCAATATTACGAGTACTCGATTCTGATACAACACAAATTGAGCAACAGCAAAATTTACCACCTCCAGGTATCCCCCCTTTCCCTAAATGGATCCATAGTCCACCCAGAAAACACTGAACAGGGATTTAGGTCAGAACGACTCTGTGCAAACTTGGGCACCGGACTCACGACTGCAATCCAGGTAGAACGACTTCTCGTGAACAGGGAATACGTGTGCTCTGAGCTTCCGGAACCAGAAAATCCGGCGCGTCTTCGCGTCTTGTATGTAGCGCTCTGCCACCGCCCGTAGCATTCTCGCCTGGAAGTAAGCCGCGACGCCGTAGATGACGACCCAGTCAATATGGTCGTCTGGGAGGAGATACAGTCCGATCTGAACTATCGGCGCTCGGAGTTCGTTGAAGAGGATCCACCAGCTAGCAGGTGCGTCCTCGATCCTAGTCATGATCGCCATCACGGGAACGAGTATGGTCTCACTCCCCGCAAGATGACAGACAAGTCCACGTCTCAGATTTTGAAGAGCCTCTTCCTTCGTCTTAGGCATCGATTTTGCCTCAGCTTTCAAGGTCTCCCAGGTTACACGCATCCCCGCACTCACATTGTCCCTGCTAACCTCAATATAGCAGACTTCTCGTCGGACGTCCAGCATGATCATGGTATAAAGGTTGACGGCGAGAAATGATGTGAGGTACACGATCTCGAACAGCCAACTTCCGCCTTTGAACCACTTGACGATCAACAGCCCGAATGTAGAAAAGACCCCAATGATAGTGTAGATGATGGTCAGAGAAGGGTGGTGGACGCTTCTTCCCCACTTGATGATGGGGAAGTTGGCATACACAGAGAGGTATGGGTTTGGTTCGTCTATCGGGCTTAGTTCATCCGCTTGGGGAGCAGTGGGTGTCGGCGGTGGGTATAGATGTGTAGGAGATCCTGCACCGGCTGTATCGGCTGTATTGGCGGTAGGGACGCCGTTCGACGAAGTAGTGCTGCTCGCTGGGTTTGAAGCCGACACCGCGGTAGTTCCTGAGCCGGCGGCCGGCGCTGGTGCTTGTATCAAGGTCATAGGTGGGGGCACGTATGAGGAGGCCGCGCGACTCGAAGCATGTGCTGCCTCCGCGTTGCTGACCAGCTTGTCGTAGTCCGCCGCCCGCAGGTCCTGGGGTGGAGATGAGCCAGTCGTCGTCAGGATCTCCATGTCATCTCCAAAGGCTTTCTTCATTCCCAAATAGCGGCTCTCCACGTCAAACGTAGACGTATGCACGAGAAGTTGTCCGAATGAGTGACCACCAAGGCACGTTATGGCAACCTGCGTGCTGGCTTCGGTACCGCTGGTCAACGCTGCAACGTGTGCTGCGGTAGCGTTCAAGACTTTACTGACGCCCTGATTATCCATCAATCTGAGCGTAAGGGGAGGGGAGGGGAAGAAACACGCACATAGTAAGGGCTTTACATTGTCACAGAAAGCAGTGCAACCGAGTACAGCAATTGAGCGGTTCCGTCGTCAATCACAATTCCAAGCATTATTGTGTAGAGAGGTTTTGCCACTTAGCTATTAAAGGCTCAGTGTGAAGGGTTGCACAGTATGTATATGGCTTCTAAAGTTCTACGTGAGAGCACCGCGTGGAAACCAGGTGTCGATTGGATCCCAGGGCGGGGACCGCCTTTTGTCCATGTATTGTGTTTTATGAATCCGTGCGAGTCGATGTGGGGGGATGGCACGAAATCGAAGTAAAAACTGTATACATGGTTGATGTGCCAAGATGAACTCACGAGAGGGTCATCATTGGTATCTATTTATGCAATCCGAGGGTGAGGCTTATGGCAGCGTCGATCAAGGGGGAAAATGCAAACTTACTACTAATCACCGCCAACTCGATTGAGAGGCGGTCCGAGTTTGAAACAATGCCGTCCCACGGAGATACGGGCATATAATGAGATCAGCATCTCGACCTCGTATTGGTCCCGCTCCATTGGAGCCTGATCAGTGAGCAAGGGGCACAGGCCTTCTCTGCGGCAAAGCAGATTGCGAGGTGGGAGCGTAGATGATGGGGACGAGGTGCCACGAATGTAACCGAATCGAGCATCTCCATCGTTCTGTGAGATTTTTACGTACCTTGGGGTTTCGCAAGAATGCATGCTTTCGTATGACAGTGTTCCTCTAAAGTAGTCGTACACATGTTCGTTCGCATTACTCTCGATCCGAGACGTTAGTCTACCGTTCGAGTGGCAGGCAAGCTGGTCGTTCTGCAATAGAGAATGCGGCATCCTTGCTAAGTGTTGGTGAGAAGCGCGCTACTTCGTATAGCAACACGAAGCTGATATTCTGAGTGCCTAGCTCCATAATGGCGAAGTGAGGGATCGTATTATTCTTGCTCCAGAGGTCTAGAGGCGGGACCGGTTGCGATCTTGGCATCGCGCTGATAAGTGTAGCGTCAATCAAGCGTGAAATGAAGCCATATCGAGGAGGTTGTGTTAAAGAAAAGGAACCATCTGAGTCGTGAGTACGATTGAAATAAGCGCCTGCGTACACCGAGGCACGGATCCGAGCCTCGCGCATCGATGCGGAGGACAGGTGTACCAAGGTGAGTCTTATCCGTAGTGCAGGAAGCAGTCTGGCCGCAAAAGCTACCCTTGTTGGTAGAGATTGTCCTCCGGACCAAATCATGTACGACGTAGCGCAACTAGTGGTGATAGGGAATGTGTAGCAACATTATGCGTGGTCTACGCTCAGGTCTCTGGGTTAACAGGGAAACGCAAAAGCGATTCACGCGGCTTGTACAGTGTACATCTGTCGTCAATTGGATTCGGAGACAGGCGAAGGCGAAAGTCCTGATCCTGAACTCGTGGTGTTGGGACTGATAGCGAAAGGAGGCATTGTGCGTCCATTAAGGGCGGGCTTAAATATTCCCTCTTACAGGCTCCCACAGAAGGTGCCAAGCGAGCGCGGTCGAAGTCGATGATGCAAACTTCGTCGTCTGTGCTGACCAACAGGTTCTCTGCTCGAAGGTCCTTATGACACACGCCAGCTGTATGGATCCGTTTCAGTACACTGAGGAATTTGTCCCTATTCAGCAGTGGCAATGAGTTTAAGTATACTCGTACATTAGGGTGCCTACCTCCAGGCCTTCGGGACAACGGCGTCTGAGTTCGTAATATTGGGAATCCAGTGCCGAAGCCAAAGTCCTTCGTGGCTGGTGAGCACGACCAACGGGCCATCGTCTAACGGTTCAAATATCCCATAATATTTGGGGATGCCGCGGATGCCCTTCGAGGAAAAATGCTGGTAGATAGCAGCTTCGTGCTTCATGCGCTGTTTCTGAAGCTCGTCGAAAGCCAATTTGGCAACGACCTTGCAAGCTGTCGGCGGTCTATTTGAACGATTGGCCCCCAGAGCGCCCGCATGGACTATTCCAGTGGCGCCTCTAGCAATCATAGAGGTGAGGCGAAGCATTATATATGCATCTGGTTGGTAGATTGCGTGTTTATTTTTTGATGGGGTCGGCTGGTGACCACATCGGAAAAAGGTTGCAGGATTGGGGAAGGAATAGATGCCATATTGCGGAGTCATTAACAGGAGGTGACAGTGGCAGATATCGCTAGTGTGATCCTAGAAAGGCTGGTGGGTAAGGACACATACTGTGAAACCACTGCGGACGCACTTCAAATTGCCAAGTGGTCGGTTGTCGGCTAGGCGCATATGCGAGCGAAGTTTTCGACGTTGACGCGGTCGGCTAGCCGATTCATTAGTGACTCTCCGACGCTTTGATGGGCGAACTATGGAATCATCATGACTATCGAAGTGGGGGGCTCTCCGCATCGCATCGTCGAGTATCGACATGTAAAGGCTGACCTGAAGTTCGGTGTACGCCCTGGGGTCTGCCATGTTTGGTACATCAACGATATCAGACAGATATAGTGTTTGGCTGGCTCGATGCCGAACGCCTATGCGTTCCAAATTGCCGCACTGGAAGATAATGAAGGTCGAATCTCTGCGGGTGGCGGTGGCCCAGGCCTAATCGAAGTCAACTAGCGCATCCTCGGGAGAAGCGAGCACGTACGCACATGCTGAAGGACATGGTCAACGGAAGGCGCGCGACTTCGGAACAACTTCGGGTCAAGGGGAATTTTAGCTGATAAGCAGGTCATTCGTTGTCCTTTTTACCCGAAGAGGGAAACACTGACCCTCTGGGTCAACATCGGCTGGGGAGGGAGCCTTTCTTGACCTTAAAATTCGCCTCGGTTCATAAGACAACCAAGGAGAGGCTTCTGCGTCCAATGGGGACTGAACAACACTAGGCGATTGAAACGTCCCAATGTGTGGGTACATTCGCATTTCGAACCGAATTGCAGATCTGCGGCGCGAAGAGCTTCCACCACAAAGATCCTGTATAATGTCGACGGCTTGGGATGTGTAAGGTAAGAACTCCCATGTCGCTAGACGACGTTCCTTTTCCCATAAGCGTCGCAAAAGCTCCATCGTGTCATCCCTGAGACATGCCTCGATTTCTGGACGCAGCACTAGCATCTGGTCATCGCTTAGGCACAGCGAATAGTCTTCGAGGGAGTATTTCTGGTCGGAAGTGTGATTGACATCGTATGTAGAACAGAAAGATATTGCAGGCAGCCACGACGAGCATTGTGGTGAGAGAAAAAGCGTGGATGCTACCGAGTCGCAATTCAATCCGGTAGTGACCTCGTATAGTTTGGCGATGGATAACGCATCCGTAGAGGTAGTGTCAATGGACGTACCATCACGCCAGCCCTTCGTAGGGAAACTACCTTTGATTGGAGGCAATGATGTCTCTTGAACATCCATCAAGTCCAGGCAAGCAAGAAGAGTTTTCGAAACGCCCCGCAAGAGTGTCGGCAAGTATACCACGCGTTTCAAAGCGAGATTCGAAGCGAGATGCCTGTCGTAGAAGGACAGTGCGCTAACATGGTCCTCCACCTGGGTGGGTGGGACTCGCACAGGCGGGGGATTGTACTCCAATAGCGCCTGTATTTCCTCTTCCGGTGAGAGACCCATGAGCTGATTGTGCAGAGTGGGCTATGTCGGGGCTGTGGGTAAGTCGTTGTAGTAGCTCATCGTCCATCAACGTTCAACCTTCAACGCTTCAGACTGCTTCAGACTTCAACTACACGACACGTGACCGCATGGACTTCGAAGCGCCTTAGTACACTCAAGAACAGCATTCACATGGCCCGGTAACTGAGCAAAGTCGCACTCCCGGCGTCTCTCTGTAGGTCAGGACTCAGGAGGTCTTCAAACTGAGTCAAATCCAACATGGGAGTTCGATCAGAAGACCAAGTTGCAGCATTCATGTCGTGATGGTACGCACCTGAATATTCTTGATTTCCGAAATGTTTCCAATGAACTCAATGCTGTCTCTGATGATCCAATCAGCAGTAATGATAGAAATAGACCGGGGTTGGTTATCGATACCGATCATCACGATGTTGTACTCTTTCCGAATACTCACGGCGACAGGTCAAGTAACGCCCAGAGAACACGCGCAAAACACGTTCACCGTAAACGCCTTGTTTGAGTTTTTCTGACAGGCCATTGAACACGGCCGTGGGTCACAAGGGTTCCAACTGAGAGCTTCTCCCCCAGCTAACCAACTCGCTCGTTACAGTCATGAAAAGACTGATTGCAAACCTAGGTTCCCAACAATACCAGGGCGCGGATTGGGACTCTTTTCGGGTATGCGACGTCTTACACTGCTATGAAACCGCTGACATATACCTAAGGACAAGGTGAGATCAGTGTACCTTCGACTGGCTATGAAGCCTGACGGAGTCGGCGATGCTCTCACGAACTTTGATCTTCCAGTGAGCTTAAGTGCCACCACTGTTATGGCCGCCCGCCCTAACGGCGATTACATGCAGGTTTGAGCGATATATCTCATCGTATGTCGAAGACTGTCCCTTCCACCTCTTCGACACGAGGAGGCAACGGAACATCTCTCGCTCTGAGCTCAAGGATGACATTTCTACCGTTCTCATGAGCTGGATCAAATGTCCCTTGACCGACGCCGAAGTTATGGGCATCATATCAAGCACTCTGCCTTCTGGCTGGGAGGACGAACTCAAGCAAATCCACCCATATGTATATTCGGCGATGGCGAAAAGCCCTCTGCATGAAGATGAACTCCGTTTCTTATCAGTCCTCAACGGCGAGCTCCAGGCCTATCATTCAATGCGCCGAAAGTCCATCGGCACGCCTACACCGCCCATACCTATACATTCCGTCCTTCTGGCAGTTCGTGAACTGATCGAGAAGAAACGCAGCACGCACACGCCAATAACCAGAAATCATGTATTGGACCAGATCTGTCTCTCTGGCCAGTACGCCATCTTGTCACACCGTTGGTATCAAGATAACCAGGAGCTATCCTTTGTTGATATAATCAACCTAGCCCATCCTACCGTGCAAGCAAAGAGGGGATACCAAAAACTAGTGGGGTTTTCGAAGATTGTCCAGTCTTATTATGGATGCCGTTATCTCTGGGTGGATAGCGCGTGTATCAGCGAATCCGACCGGGCTGCGTCGATACCCCTCATGTTTACTTGGTATCGTCATGCATACGTTTGCGTTATTTACTTGATGTCAAGTTCTTCGACCATTTCAAAGGATCCATGGTCCACCAGAGGATGGACCCTCCAAGAACTTCTCGCCGCGGAGAGAGTTATATGCTTCACCAGTGACTGGCGTCCTGTGAAGGACTACTCCCCTGGGAGGTCCTTGTTTCATGCTTGCAGAGAGGACTACACTTCCCTTCCCCCAATTTCCTTGATTTTCAACGAATTTTTAAGTGTTACGGGTAGGCTGGTCAGTCCATCGTTTGCAATAAATAGGTATTGATCCCCATAAATATAGGAAATATGGATTGGGCGGGGTACGAACCAGGCCTTCACCAAGCCTTCCATTTATTCGGTGCAATGGGGACACGGGAGACTACAATTCCTGAGGACATGGTATACTCTCTCCTCGCTGTTCTCAACATCGAGATCCCTATCAAATATGGTGAAGGCTTCGATAAAGCATTTTATCGCCTTCAAGTCATATATCTCACGCAAACCCAAGACCGTCGCTTACTCGCATGGCCAGGCGACATTTCCTCACCGTATAACTCGATGCTTGCTGGTAACTACAAAATACCGGCTTGGTATGACCCCCAGATTACGTACCCCGGATGCCATTTCAGCCCCAACATATACTTCAATTCGAACTGTGAGATGCGAATCATGGTTAGTCTTCATCAACTCCACGCTTCACCATCCAAGCCACATTTTTTCGCCCCTCTGGGAGAAAATACCCTGACCGGAACATATGTCGGTGTTTTGCTACGTTATCACCGGGCCGGGCGGGTATATCAAAGGATAGGGCTACAGACGCTCAAGAAATCTGAAATATCGCTAGAGTCAAAAGCTCCTCAGTGGGTCCTCATCAAATAGACGATTGATTTCGCGCCGTCGAGGAGTAGAAGGGACTATCTTCTAAACGTTGAGAGTACTATGATCACATTTGCCGATAGACATAGTCGCAGATAGTACTTGTACCTGTTCACTCTGAGTCGGGCGAATTTTCGAATCGACCATCTCGAGCCCTTGATCATGCAGCTAGCCTCCACCGTCGCGTCTCCATCGTCAAAGAAAACTAACCTGCTTAGTCTTTCAAGTTGTAAGAAATATGTCGAGTGCCACCGGGCGAGTAGATTTACAATAACTGGGCCACCATTCCACTGCGGTCATTCAGCAGCTTGAAAAACATGGATCCTAAAACAACGAGCGCAACCATTGAACCAAAGAACACTCCATACTGTCCCTATATTGCCCACTCCCAAAGTCATACATGTGGAATCTATAGACAAGCAACTGAGGTGGCTAGGGAGCGCAGGAGTCAATATAATACAAGACAAGACTCATTGAGAGACACCGAAGTTACCAATTAAATCAAAGGAGTGAACGGCAGATGTCAGTTTGGCTAGCGTATGGCTTGCGTTCGGTCCTGTTGTCTGAAGAGGTAAAATGCCACGAAGCTTGGAGATCTGTCCGTATGATTGTCATGAGTTTGCGGTCACCGGGCTTGGATAAGAGCCAGGAGGGATGTGTTGTCCACCCAAGAGATTTCGCAAATGTTCGTACTCTCGCCTTATAGCGCTCGCGGACGACACCAAGTCAGCCCAATCGAAGCCAACGATGCGAGCATCATTGCTAGCATTGACAACGAGGTTTTCCGGTCTGATATCTCTGTGGCACACACCCGCACGGTGTATAGCCTCCAAGACACGCAGGAATTTCTTCCTGTTCATACTAGGTAATTAGCTTAGGACCGAGTACGATATGAAATATAACTTCATACCGCCAGGTCCTCGGGACTGAGATGTTGTGCTCACGGGTCCAGTGCTGTAAGCAGGTCCCTTCGTGACTAGTGACTAGAACCAAAGGACCGCCGTGCGAGTCCTCAAATATCCCATAACATGTAGGGATTCCGTCGACGCCCGCCTTAGTCAAGTGCTCATAAATGGTCGCTTCGTGCTGCAGGCGCTGCTTCTGAGCGCCGCTAAAGGCCAACTTGACAACAATATCACTAGAACAGGGGACTCCATCTCTACGATGAGCTTCCAACCTCCCCCCGTGGACTGTACCGGTAGCACCTCGAGTTATTAGAGACGTAAGTCGGATATGAATATATTCGGTAGCCTTGTACCTAGATCGCTTCGCCCCAGAAACGTTCACCTGGTGGCCAGATCGAAAGAAGGTAGCAGGATTGGGCGACGAATAAACACCGTATCGCAAGGAAACCAGTAGAAGATGGCGGGAAGAAATATCGCCATAGAAGCTCTGCCCGATGTTAAGTACGTCACGTTGCAATGGAAGCCCCATGGTATTCTTGTGAACATACCGGAGTGATCATATCGGCCATAACTTCATCGTCTAAGCGATTCGTAGGTGAACAGTGTTTGTGAAGTTGTCGTGTTCTGACCAATGGTTCGTCCCTGCCTCGCTTCTGAGAAATGGGCGGCAAATCGTCTTGAGGGCTCAGATGAGCAGCCCTCTGGATTGCGTCCTGGAGGATCAAGATGTAAAGATTGACATGGAGCTCGGTGTATGAACCTGGATCTGTGATGTCCGGTACGTTGATTACGTCGGACAGATAAAGGGTCCGAGTCGCTCGATGTCGTACGCCTATACGTTCATAATTACCACATTGGAATATGATGAACGTCGAATCCCTACGGCAAGCAGTGACCCAGGCCTGCGCAAAAATGATAACAAGAAACCCTCAGAGATACAGAGGCATACTTACGTGTTGAAGTACTTCACTGATAATGGCCGATCGTTTCTTTGGAGGTGGTGGAGTAAAGCAGATTTTAGCTTGTGCGAAGGTTATTCTCGATAGCCCCTGAGAAGGGTGGCCAACTTACCAGAGGGATAGTTCGAAATCTTTGCTAACGACGCTGGTTTCTTTGGTCGTAGATTTCGTGTCAAATTTTGGGGATGCCAAGGAGTGACTTCCGCATCGAATGGTATGGCAGCATTAGGGGAATGAAAAGCGCCAATTGGTGGATGTGTTCGCATATTGAAACGAGTCGTCGTCCGCCATTGATTCTTTTCTCCGCGAAGGTTCTGTAACACGGAGATAGCTTGAGAAGTATATGGGAGAAACTCCCAGGTGGCCAAACGGCTGTCTCTCTTCAACAAACTACGCAAAAGTTGCGACTTGTCCTCGCTCAAGCAATCGTTGATGACTGGATGAAAACGTGGTTCCCCGTTATTGCTGGGAAGATTGATTGAATAGTCCTCGAGCGTAAATGTCTGATCGGTTGGGTTATCCTCCATATCGACACGATCGAAGAAAATGGCAGATAGCCACATTGAACAGTGGGGTGTTAAAAATAGGGTCGATGCTACCGCCTGGCAGTTGTCCGCCGTAGTCGCCTTGTATAAGCTGGCTATAGACCGCGCATCTGTAGCTTTCGTATCAGCCCAAATAGTCTCGCGCTGTTTCTTTGTGCGGAAATGGTCGTGATCAGTAATTGGGGGTAAGGATATTCCTTGGGCGTCGACTCCGTCCATACAAGCCTCTATAGCTTTTGTTATGTTCTGCAACATTGTTGGTGAGTAGGCAACTCGATTGAGGGCCAGACTGGAGGAGAGATGTTTGTCATAGAAGGAAAGGGCTGGCGCGTCGAACTCCGTCAAAATAGGTGAAGCTTGAATTGGGGGGGGATTGTACTTCAGTAAAGCCTCAATCTCCTCGCCGTCCTCCGAAGACATATGAGAGCTCCGGTGAAAAAGCGAGAGTGTTGGAGTCGCCCACCGTGTCTTGTCTTGGGCTTGATGCTTAACGTTTTTCATTTGAACAGAACAGAACGTTTGCTCTCACGCTGATAATCGATGACAACTTACTAGATAACCTTCGCGACTGTCACTGTCAGTACCACTCTGGTAACCGCGGCCCACCGCTCAATGGTAGATAACTCACGAGCTCTGTCAGTGGAAACTAGAGGTACTACGTGTAACGTACCGTTCAATGGTGCTTTGTTGAGAGCAATGTGGCAGCTCGTGACAAGTACTGACGCGTCGACGACGCCAAATGCGGGCAGGACGTAAATGCTTAAACCTCTGATCGACCCCTGATAAACACAAGCACCGCTAGCAATGGGGGGATTTAGGTATGCCTTATCTGGATTCTATGACGGTGGTAAAAGCACCGCCAGAAAGCGGTAGCCGTCATTGCACGGCACCGTTGTTGTCTGCAGATAACAAGGAAAAAAATGGTGGCATCCTTATCCTGTCATAGGATTGTCAGATGCAAAACTCCAGTGTTGTAGGGAGGATTCGGGGAGATTTCCATGGACCTCATCAAGCGTGGAAGCTGCGAGGTCAGAAAGGGGGTTCCTAGGAAGCATTGCGACTAGGATGTCGTTCACCGCAGTCGGAGTCTAGGACTTGAGCCCCGCATCTTCCCCCAAACACTGCTGGCCTCCGTGAAGGCGTGTTGTTGTAGTCCAGGGCCGTGTACTTATACGGGTCGCTCACGGTCGATTGTTCCGACATTAGAGGGGGCAAGTCAGGTTGATCCCACTCGATATTAAACGATAGTGAGAACATTGTACGTACATACCTACTTTACATTTGAGTATTGAAAACGCTGTCCCGGCATCTGCGAAGCGAACCAACTAATGTCGTACGGCGTAGGCCTGTACGCCACGTCATTCAATGTCACTTTCCATAGCCCATACCCGAGATGGTCCATCTGATTCCGCCGCTTCACCATGCTTCTCAAAGCATATATCGTCCAGTTGTTGCACCTCTCAACGTGCATTTCCCCCAAGGATATGCACCTAAGAGTGCTCTCGTGGCTGCCTGGCGGAGCGTTGGTCAATATCTCCAACACACGGTTATTAAACGCAGGTGAGTCAGTCACCCGAAGTTGATACATGTCGATATCTTCGAGGAATGATGCCATATCTTCTCTTGCTGAAATACTGTTTAGATGAAGCGCGCCGATCATGACGATGCGGTATCGAGAACCGAGCGTAGGAAGGCCGCAATTGGTGATGGTTAATTCGTCCAAATAACGGTTGTCGAGGGTTTTCCATATGCAGAGAACGGTAGCTGATGAGAGGTCTTCAAGGGACAGGTTTCCCATCCGTCGCTGGGGCCATGCGTCACTCAGGGCGACAGGCGAAGAAAATTAACAACGTCGAATTGCGATTGTCCGGGCACGACTGAGTAATTGGGTCAACATGGCGGCCTCATCAATAGGCTCCATCGCCGCAATAGGAGGAGGGTAGTTGTAGATGGCCACATCGGTGAGAGAAAGTCCTCGTAACGATTGAGAACTGTGGGCGATAACAAGATTATGGCCATCAATTGTGAGCGCCCGGAGGTTAGCCATGGTACAGCGTATGCCAGGATGACCCAGAGTCAAGGCTGGGTGCTCCATTTCGGACGAAAGGTTAAGACGGGTGAGAGACTCGTTGAAGCCGATGAGACGGCTGAGGGGGCCAAATATGGGTGTGTCGGGGGCTACGTTGATTCGAACGCTCACGCAGCGCTCGATGCATGTCGATTCGCGGAGGATTTCCATGATCGCGCCCATGCGCGCGCGTAGCACACTCTCCGGCAAATTAGGGAGGCCGGGATCCATCAGGACGGTCAATTTTATACCACGACCAGCCTGCGACCAACGTATTTCTTCGTCAAGGTATGCAGGCGTCCAGACAGGATCATTGACAAAGACGTTGATCCATGTCCAGAAATGCGCTTCGCTTCCGACTGCATCTCGCCATAGTCTGCACACCCATGCGACCGAGTATGGGAAGCGTGTGCGTAGGACTTGCGCTGAATCAGTACAGACATCGACGCACGAAGGATCGCTTGGAGAAAGTCAACAAGCCGTCGACGACGCAAGCAGGCGCACTCACCGCAAGTTGACATATTCTTCTTGTAGATAGTCGAATATACTGCAAAGCAACTCCACAGGCAAGCGGTGAGCGACACAGACGGTGGGAAAGGCCATTGTTGAAACAATGGCGCCGGCCTCGAAGAAAGTTAAATCGTCAACTTTAGCGCTCGCACAGCTGGCGCCATACTGTTCGCTATCCTCATATGTCGAGATCCTCCCTCGATGTGTCTTGGGAAGTGATCTGTGTTGGTGACACCTCCCAATGGAGATCCGAGGGGGAACAGCCTACCGCCGCTTGACTTGAATCAATTGGTGCTTCAGAAGCAACTGAGCCTCCTGATGCTCCAGTCCAATGACCGATTCTCTTCTTTCTTTCGTGCTGCCATCATCTCCCCTCGCAGATGCTATTCGAAGGGGTCGGCTCATTCTCTCGTAGGTAAGCTAGCGTTCGACCATATGGGTACGCCTTGTAACGCGACATCGACACTAGGCACCTGGCGGGCCGTTGAACTTTGGGGGGACACTGTCTCCTTGAATTGCGTGCTCGCGTGGATGTCCGGTTTCAGCACTGTCCTTCGTCAATGGGTGCACCTTGGGGCGTTTTTGACCTACGCGCGTGGTATAAGTTAGCGTGGATTTACATAAGCAAATGTGCAGCGTGGCCACGGCCCTGCACCTCCTTTATATCTTGCCTTTAACCTACAAATTCTAAAATCCAGAGCTTCATCGAAACAAGGTTCCAAATGGTCTATTGCGACAGATGCGGCCGTTCATTCAGCCACTACGGAGCTTACGACCAGCATAGGCAATACTCTTCTTCTCACTTCGTTTGCTGGGACTGCAACATTGACTTCGAAAGTTGGGTCGGATTGAAAGAGCACTGGGTCCAGAGCAAGAGGCATTCATATTGCCAATATTGCGACAGGCATTTCGACGACAACAGCAAGCTCAGCGAGCATTTCGACGACGAGCACTATCTTTGCTCTGGCTGCAACATCGTCTTCAAGAACGAGTATGGGCTAAAGGAGCATTACAGACAGTCGCCGAGGCACTTTTATTGTTCTCCGTGTGACAGGCACTTCGGCAGCCAGAACTCCTTGAACAATGTATGCTCTACCCCAAGTTTTATCTGATTATTGACGAACCTCTCTGCAGCACCTCAATTCGTCTATCCATCGTCCAAAGGACGTTCCTTGCCCGATGAGAGGATGCGGCCAGTATTTCATATCCCTCGCCGCAGTCGCTCTCCATCTGGAAGCCGGTTCCTGCACATCAGGCATGGACAGGTACGCGTTGGACAGGCTCATCCAGAAATACGACAAGAACCACCTCATCACCGACCCATCGCGGCTCATCAGTAACGGCGACTCGACCACCACTCGCTACTATGCGACCGAAATGGCGTACAACGAATATTACGACGATTACGAATGCTATCTCTGCGATCAGACCTTTAGGTCGCTGAGTGGGCTGAATCAGCATTTGGGCAGCGCGAAGCACCAGCAGGAGGTGTATATCTGCCGCTTTACAAGTTGTGGTCTCAGGTTTAGGGCGTTGAGTGCCTTGTGCCAACACATTGAAAGCGGAAAGTGCGGGGCTCTTCGGGGCACTCCCTACAAGAGTGTTATGGGGGGTCTCATGGACGGTATGAAACGATTGACGGTTTGAATCGCGGTAGGTGGCCTCATTCTGTCGTCCCTCGCACATGCTCATTCCTCGCCGTGGCACACAGTATCGTTTGGATTTCTCTGTCAGTTCACTACGAAATGGATATATCATCTTCGTAGTCATTTAGCGTTACACCATAGCGCATGCCAACTTTGGATCTTTACTTTTCATCTCCCTCATTTTACTTCCCAGATACAGATTCACTTACATGGCTCCTTGTGCCCGAATTATAACTTCTTCCACACAGGATTTACATAAGCGATACTCCCGCGACGGTCGACCCGCAGGCTTCAACGTGGCCACACCCCTGCGCCTCCAAACTTGCCTCTCGTTTAAGGAAATGACCCACTGCGACAGATGCAACCGTTGGTTCAATAACAACCACGATTACCATCAGCATATACGAAATTCCCCCCTTCACTTCGTTTGCTGGGACTGCAATATCGACTTTCAAGACTGGGGTGGGCTGGAGGAGCATTACAGATGATCACCTAGGCACTTCTATTGCCCATCGTGCCAGAAGCATTTCCACAGTCAGAATTCTTTGGATAATGTACGTCCTCCCCAAGTACCATCGAACTATTGGACAAGCTCCTTTTCAGCATTTCAATTCATCTACTCACCGTCCGAAGAACGTTCCTTGCCCGATGAGAGGGTGTGGGCAATCTTTCATATCCCCCGCCGCAGTCGCCCTTCATCTCGAAGCTGGTTCTTGCACATCGGGGATGAACAGGTATGCGTTAGACCTGCTCATCCAGCAGTACGACAAGAATCACCTCATCACCGATCCATCGCGGCTTATCACTGACGGTGGGTCGATCGCTAGTCGTTATTACGCCACTGAAAAGGCGTACAACGAACATCTCGGACTCTACGAATGCTACCTCTGCGATCAGATATTTAGGTCTCTCTATGGCCTGAATCAGCACCTAGACAGCGCAAGGCATCGACAGGAAGTGTATATTTGCCGCTTTGCGGGCTGTGGTGCTAGGTTCAGGGCGTTGAGCGCCTTGTGTCAACACATTGAAAGCGGAACGTGCGGGGCTCTCCAAGGCACTCCATACAAGAGAGTTATGGGGAATCTCATGAACAGTATGAAACGTCTGACTATGTGATTTGCGGTGGGAGGGTCCTTGTGTCCTCTCTCCACGCGCTCAATCTTCGTATCCTGTGGGACACAGAATTCCTTCAATTTCTATTATACCCAAGAAACAGGATTATTTACGCGGATCGTCGTACCCGGATTCTCTCCAGGCAGCAGCTTAACCCCTGGTGCCCCTGTATATATATAGGGTTGTCTGTCAAGCCTCAAAGTCCGTCTTATCCTCGATGTACGATGATAATGGATTGCCATATGAATTGTATAAATCATTCTCGAACCTCCCTAAAGGCGGGTCGTTGAGGTCGAAGAGCAGAAGCCATGCATATTCCACCTCTAAGCTGGTCTCCGATGCCAACGTCTCGTTCACCGACTTGCTTTCTCATATGGCCAAGCCTTCGCAGACACAGGTATGCCTATTGTGAAGTTGAAATTCAGCGCATTAAACGGTGGAGGCCCTGAGGAACATTATCGGACTACATGTACGCCTCCACCCTTAGTAACAGTGCAAGTCCGTGGTGTGGTACCCATCGCATGTTGATGCGGTATGTCTTTTTGATCAAAGTAAACGCTGATGGCAAACTCGTAGAAACCGTAAAAAATAAAAGTATATTTCCGCTACTGAGTCACAGCAATTCATGTACTTAAGCCCACTTCTTCACATCGTCCTCAGAGGGTCCAACAGGATCGCTCGAGGCAGCCAAGTTGCATTGGTGGAAGGCTCGCACTTGGTCCGGAGTAAAGGCACCAACGACGGTGTGCAGCACGCCTCGGTTGTGGAAGAGAACGAGGTCCTTTTCATGCCTACATTACCCCGGATACTTAGCGCGGTCATGTTAAACGGGGAAACATCTACTTACCAATCATGAGGATAGATGAGCTGCGAGTATGGTAAGCAAATCAGTGACTCGGAAAGGCATTGAAGGGAAGGAACCTAACCTGAGGCGCGATAGCAGGTCGCTGCATCTTGTAGAGCAATTCACGGACTTCTTTGAGGTTAGTGAGATGGGCACCGTCGGGGAACAAAGCGCCTTCGCGTTTAGCGCCCTCGGGTAGAGGAGCGACCAAGAGCTCAGAAACACCGCAAGGATGCACCTGGAAGTGGAGAGCGCCAGTAACGGGGTTCTTCCATGTCTGTTTCGTCTGCGTAAGTTGTTTGTTTTGCAACACTTTGTTGATTTTACTCACCAAAGGGAATATCTTCACCCTGGACTCCTCCCAAGGAGGTAGTTCGTCCAAAGGCAGTTCCAGACCCTCCGATTCAATACCAAGACCCGTAGACATAGCGTGAGCAGGGGCCATCCAGACTTCGTGTTTGGTCAGCACAGAACACGCGACGAGAATATGACGTTCATACCATAAGGGTGGGGAGAGTATTTAACTCTCGAACGAACGGCGAGGCTCTTCAGTTCAATAGGAAGAATGTCGAACATGGTCCTACCGGATACGAAGGCAGTTGTTCCGAGGGGTACGTGAAGCTCGTCTCCGGTGCCGTCATCATATCGAACGGTCTGAGGTTCGCCCTTCGGCACCTCTAGGCCATAGAGGGTGGTCACTTTGGGCGGTGAAAGATCGTATAGAGCAGCATCGATATGCCAGCGGTAGAAACGAGTATACCCCTTCGCCTCGTCTTCCGGGGACACGCGAGTCTTGTGAAAGGTCGTGTGGCTAGGATGCTTGAGCTTAGCTTCCGCAAGACCTTCGTGGTTGTAGACGGTCCCGTTGCCAATGAGCTGGACCTGGGGGACCCTTGGGATGGTCTTGAGATCAGGATGCAGGATAGATTTCTTGGTGCTCTCGGTTTTGTTGTTGCCGTGTCCATAGCTCTCTGATTGGGGATCAAAGGCCTGTACCGAACGTCGTATGAGTCTCGATGTCAGGGTCGCCCACTACGAACTTCATCGACGTACCTTAGTGAGGGCATACTGTTGCTCAGGGGTGAAGTCGGCGTTGCGGAACAAGAGAACGTCGTGCTGGGTGATTGAAGCATGCTCAGGTCATGCAAACGCAAGAGCTACATGTCACTCACCTTGTATAAGGCCTCCTTAACCTGCTCCAGTTCCTCCTCTGACAGTGTACCAGGGCTCACGCCCTTGACTTCCCGACCAAAGTCGTTGAACTTGGAGGCATCGGCCGAGGCAGGTAGGGGGAGAGGCAGCAATTCGATGGCCATTGTGGAATGAGGTGATGGGAGAGAGGTTGGTCAAAGAAACCAAGGCAGTAAACCGAGCTCCGAGCGAGTCTACTTATCGCATTTATAGCCTCCATCAAGGCATGTGCACTCGGCGTATGGGCACGTGAAGAGCCTCCAAACCGAGACTCTGCGGGCTGCGCCGTAGCGATAAGACAAATTCGTGACAATCTATTTGCCCTGCCGCTGCATGGACTCTGGAGCATTCGACCTGAGTCTACGCTTGGATGAGGGAAAATTCAGGGCCATGAACGACACTGCTCGTTGGCGCCGGCCTATCAACTAGAGAATTTCATTTCTTCTATCTTCTACAAGAGAAAGAAGAGCTGCGCCGACTTCGAAGACTTTGTACTCAGATCCAATGGATACGGCGGTGTTCTGGACTGTATCACAAGGCAGAATGGTCGGAACTTGGGAACGGGCGTCGTGGTGGTACGGAAGGAAGAAGTACGCCCGCTCAGTATCAAACATTTCAAGATGAGCTCAGGGCTTCAACACGCCATGGCCAGGCGGCGTCTACTATGGCAAGAAGCGCTCAGAAGCGCGCCCCATATCAATGTCTTCGCGGACGATCTCGTGTGGCCCGACGCTGTATACGAAGAAAAACAGCGTTTACGGTCTCAAATTCACCGTCTTGACGGATCCCCCGCCCGATCTAGCAATGTATGCATCGCGCTCTCGCTTGGATTGGAGTACGAATATCGTCTCGGAGTCGTCTTCTACCACGGGACTCGAATCAACGTTGCGCAAGACTCTAGCCTCTACGTTGCCTTAGCCTTATATCCAAAATGGTAAGCAATATGCTTTGAAACGCCAGGCAAAGAGATACATTGTCAAAACATGACTCTTGAACATACGAAAACATTTATAGGGCTGCTATCGGAACACTATTTGTACGTATCAAAGGAACCAATGTTCGAGTGATACGTCAAGAGGTGTATCATGCTCATTCAATGAAGACTTGCTATGGTACAACAAACCGTTAGCCAAATACTAAACTCCCCAGGTCCACTTACCTCATCAGTCTTGAATTTGATGACTGTATCAGTATAAATGAGTATGAAATCATTTCCGCTGACACCCGACACGGTGATCGTCCCGTCCCCCACTTGAATAACGGCCGTCTCGAAAGTATCTACGTCGCGGCTCCAGTGGTTGTCGGCGAATGATTCCAACCCTGGTACGATTGGGAAGGACTGTGTTGCACCACCAGTGTTGTTGTCGGCAGAGATGGCGACGTCGACGGTGATTCCGGCTTGGTTAGATACCCAGACCATGATTATAGGGCGCGAGGAAACACTATAGTAGGGTGGGGAGTTAGTCAGGTAACATCGGGGTTGGGGGGTTGGAGCACTGGCTCACCTTGTGAGGTTGATAGGATGTTGGAAGCTCGAGCTTGGGGGTTTGGGTACACCTCCATGCTCATTTTATACGCAACAGAGTCTGCACTCACGACCGGACCACCTGAGCCCCAGCGCGAAGTCATCGGAACTCTGAAGGGGCGAGCTATGATGGTCAGTAGATCAGGGAGCCGGGAATATCAGAACTCCAAGAGAAACTTTGGAAAACAACAGACCCGCAAAGTTCAACGTTCTGCTTCCATACTCTAGAAAGGCGGCAATCAGCCTCGAGCAGAGGTATGGTCCGCGATTTTTAGGGATCTAGACCAAGCTCACAGACAACCTACCGGCAGGTTTTGGATTATACCCTAGTTTTCGCCCTTCGAACCACTCCAACAAGCAAGTAACGAGCCATGTGACAGGAAATTCTGCTTTCCTCGATTCCATTCTTTCTGTCGAGTAAAAACTTGGTATCATGCTTAGCTGCTGTTCAGCCGCTTCCCGTGGTCTTTTTCTCAGTTAGTTGGTAGGAAACAGTGCCGCTGAGTCTCAAACCACACATACCTTGACGCTGGTTTGGCGCTGGTTGTCTTCGAGTCTGCGGCGAGCAACTTGCTCATGCTTGAGGCAGTGGCTATACCATCAAGTATATTATACTTACAACTTGGACGAAATTGCAGTGTTTAATGCGCAAGCTTGACGATGCCACCAGTTCATAGGCGAGTAAAGCTAGTGAAGGGGTGTTGGTTCCGCAGAACGACCGGCAAGTCTCTAGCGCTTCTTCGACTTAAGTTCTTCTTAGCCCTTTCATCCACAAGTATTTTTCCGTTGGGACTGAGGCGCTTGCTAGGTCTTCGCGTCACCACGCTCAAGAACAGTACTGTCAAAAATTTTCTCCTTCAAGCCTTCCTTTCTTGTTGAGACATGGGGCATCATCTTATATTCATCCGATGTGAATTGGGACACCTCTTTGTGTGGGGGGTTTACGCGGCGATCACCCCTCATCATCGCCGTAAAGAGGGTCGTAATGGAAGTCTTTTTCTGGATATTAGAACATGACCCCCATGTGCTCTGCCTGACCTGCTGGTCCATCGCTATCGATGTCACCACATCGAAGAGAAATAGCACCACAGGCGCCCCAGGTAATGATGGACATGGTGAATGATAGTTCTATCCTTAGGTAGGGCTGGGCCAACCGGGAAGTATGTGGTTCCCACGGGTGTAAAGTCACGGAATCTTACTAATTTCCTTCTTTCAAAATCTCAGACATTCGACCACGAAGATCCCAATGGCCGCTAGATCACCACAGAAGAAAACTCGACCTGTGAAACAGGCGTCTGGGCCGCTGAGGCGCGCTTCAACGCGAAAATCGATACAGAACACAAGCGTCCTTGAGAACGACGTGTCGAGTGCAGCTGAAGGATCGGAGGCAGAAGCTCAAGTTAGTAAACGCGCTCCGAAGCGCCATCAGAAGAAGAGAACCACTCCAAGAAAAGCACCGTCTAAAAGGAAGAGGGAAGAAACGCCAGGAGAGGTCACGGACGACGACGTCGCCGCCGCCGATGATCCTGAGGAATACGACAGTGACGCGCTCGACGATGACTCAGATGACCTACGCGGCACGAAAACGAAAAGAAAGAAAGCGTCCTCTTCACCTCGAAAGAGACGGCGTACAAAGGTCACGTCGGATGACCCTGAATTGGCTGAAGGACAGGAAATCATAGGGAAGGTGGTTGAAGCCCCTAAGACAGGCCATGGTGCGCGTTTCCTCTTCAACTCTCCGCGTTCCCGAATCGCTCATCCGTAGCAGTGCCTGCTGGTCAAATATCCGGAAACACACTGAACTTCCTCCGCGATCTGAAGAAGCCAGAATACAACGACCGTCAATGGCGAGTTCTACATTTTGTTACCCGCGTTCGGTACTAACGCGTACGCTCTTAACGCCTAGGTTCAAATTGCATGGTGCGTGGAATATTTCTCGTCCATGATATACATATCTGACGAACTCCCTGTAGAGCCTGTGTACCGCGCTGCGGAGAAAGAATGGAAAGCTTTCATCGAATCATTCACCGACTTGCTCGCAGAAGTCGACGCGCAGGTACCTCACCTTCCTCCTAACGACGTCGTGCATCGGATATATCGTGATGTACGCAAGTGTTGCTAAAATCCCCGAGAGCATTCGCGAGTAACAAATATCTCTAGATTCGATTCAGCAACGATAAAACCCCTTACAAGACCGGATTTTCCGCGAGCTTCTCGAGGAGTGGTAGGAAAGGGATATTTGCTGGCTGTGCGTAGCTCCTTCCCATCCTCCACGCTTTTATCTAATATTTGCCTTAGACCACATGTATGTAGACTCTGTCAACGGAAGCCTGATCCCTGTCTTATACTATTTCGTAGTGCAGGTGATCATCTATCTTATTTCTCTTCCCCTCTCCGTTGAATCATACGGTGAAGTGAAACCGGGTGGCGAAAGCCTAATTGCAGCTGGATCCTGGTGTCCTGGCAAGAATGAACTGGCCGCGATCAGAGCCAACGTCCTTCGCAATCCAAATCGTCTCCGTCAAGTCATATCCGAACCCGAATTTGTTCGGTGGTTCGGTGCAGCGGAACGTCCTCCCGATGGCGAAAGATCGAACATATTCGGAATGGAGGATGAGTTGAAGGTTGCACCGAAGGGGATAGACAAGAACCACAAGTGCATTTGCCTTTCTTTTCTCCCGCCGTTTTCTAACAGCCTGCTATGTAGGGACATCGACTTACTGAAGTGCCGATCATTCGCTGTGGTTCATCGGTAAATCCCGCCGTTATGTGCCAAATACCATCTCATCTCATCCTTTCTTTTCACAGCTTTCTGGATAATGAGGTGCTCGATCCCGAGTTCAAGAACAAGCTCGCCGACGTTGCCAGAGTGATGATGCCGTTCGTTCACTGGTATGTCCACTGTCTTGTTCCTCATAATATAATACAGACTAAGTTTGATGAAAGTTTGAACGATATGATGACTGTCCCTCCTGACGGTGACGATGGTGACGAGGATCAGGATGAGCAAGGATCTGGGCAGGGTTCGGAGTGATATGGACGAGGCAGACTCAGTCTGGCCATGCTTTTTGATAACTAGCGTATTCGTTTTCTTTCACTGTACTTTCTTCTGTATCATATATTACCTTGCTCTTGCTCGAAGCTTTGCACCCTTGATTAACCGCATGGCTACGTAGACAGGTCCCGATACAACTTCGGTGAGACTATCCTTAAAAGAACTGCAACTCGGCACCATACAGCAGCATCAATCCAAGACCCAAAGAAACGATAGCGAAACGGCAGCCGAGGGCGCTTGAAGAGGGTACAGATGCACCGCCCAAAAAGTGCGCAGGTGCTTGCTTGGAAAGGACCTCATTCCCTCTCTCCCACGAGAATCAACGACTCCACCGAAAGGACTCCCTCGACCTTCAGGACAAGTTGATGAAGCAGGAAGAGTGGTCTTAAGCATTCGCAGGATCCGGTACAAAATCAGATCATATTCAGCCGATTACGCCTGGTCTATATGAAAGCAATCTATGCGTCCTTTGCGTACTGCTTAGCCCACTATCACGAACGCTAGGTCAGCATGCCACAAAAGGACTCAAATGCTGCGGGACGAACCTTCATTGAGGGAATTGGTTTCGACGGTTGCACGGAACGATGCTGAAGTATATATGTTTCAGTCAACTTCACTGCACGCAGGTCTAGCAAACGCACCTCATGGTCAGCGCTAACGTTCCATGTCGCATAGGTCAAGGCCAGAATTCCTCCAAAAGCGACAGCGGTATTTGATTTCCAGTTCGACGGTCGAACCCACCAGCCACCTAGAATATCAGAGATAACAGGCGAATGTCAGCCATTCGTCCCCCTGGGCAAGAGCATCCACTGCTCCCAGGACGCACCAGCAGGAGACCAGACTTCTTTCGGGTACGGATATCTTGGTTGCCCACCCTAGCCTACGCTTTAGACCAGTTTTGATAGTAATTATTCAAGGACCAACCATTGTACGAGAATTCGTGTACCAGGTAGGTTTGTGTAGGGTGAATGCCAGTGGCGGAGGTGAACGGCGCTCGGCGTTCAAACGCACTTCGTTAGTTACGTAAGATCGTCAAGGGGGTGAACAGGAGATAAAGGGGGGAGAGACAAGCAAATTAATATTTGAGTCCTACAAGTATTTCGAGGCAAAGATAATTGCGTTCTCAAGGGACTATATGGTAGTACTTCAAAGTAGTATCCCGACCGCTGCCTTAGGTTGCTGCCTTGACCTCACTTAGCAAAAGTCGATGGATGTTCTGACAATTTCTAGACCGTCTTCATACACCGATATGCCGTCGTAAAGCCTGCAGTCAGTTATTCCTTCCTTGACCTCCCAGTAGTTGCTAAGCCGTAAATTGTAAGCGAAGACCCGTGCTTGATTCCGAAGAATAGGTAACTGTCCCGCATCTAGGAGATGGCGCCGTGGCGACGAGGGTTGGAAATGGCATCCCCAGAATACAGTCCGAATTGTCATCTTAAGATTACCAGGGACAGAGAAGCGTCGAGGCCGAAAAGGTCAAACGAAGGAGATCAAATGGATGGTATACACTACGAGCTACTACGCGCCCAAGCTTTCCGTTGATAATCCAGTATCATCCGTATGAATTCCGTCAGACCAAAGTCGGGCCAATACGTTGGAGTAAAATGAAGCTGCGTATCTTCGCAACTCTAAGTCCGTATGAGTAACAAGTTACACCTTGTCATGCGAGGGGATGGCGGGGACGTACCTGCCAGAGCATGAAGTCGCTGAGTCGCTTAACGCCGCTTGTGCGAATCAAGACGTCTACTGGGGGACTCCCGGCGAGATTTGTTAACATCTCCGCATCAATATCTTTTTCTGTTATCTCTCTACGTGGATTGTCAACGTTGATCATTGGGGGGGGTGGTATGTCGACATACAAATTTGGAGGATCGGATTTCAAGGCGTTGCGTACGGCTGACTGTACGGCGGTTGTCATCTCATCGCGCGAGGTATATGGCATGCATAAATTGAGGATTGCACTAATTATTCAGTAAGTCGAGCTCTTGGTTTCTCGTGAAGCCGAAATCAACAGGCCTACCGTGTATTGTGGCGTGTCATATCCTCCACTTGTCTAGCTGCTACTTGGACATCTTCCGGCAACATATCCTTTCTCCCCACGATATTAAGTCGCACTCCGTACTGGTCTAACAAACTCCTGCAAAGAGGGATAAGCTCATCCCTTGCCGAGTATATTGACATACAGACGTACCCATGTTGAGAAAGTTCCCCCAATTTCTCCGCAGCGAGTCTCATGAGTGCGTTAACCTCCTCCGGGTCTCGTTTGAAATTCTCGATTGAAAACGCATATGCAGACACACATTTGATGTTCAAGTAATAGCACACCTCTAGCATCTAATCTCCAGAACCTTTAAGTCGTTCATTCCCTTCGGCAAAAAGGAAATTTTGATGCACCTTGGTGAGGGTTTCGTATCCATCTGTGTGACCTTGCTGCGCCAGCTTGTGGTTCATGCGAGCATACCTCCGGTTCCCGTCCATGACGAATGCAATGTGGTGAGGGACGGGGCCTGCTGCAAGGACCTTGAGCAGCGCATTGCGGCATACTTTCCGCGTCCAGTTGTAGAAGTCATCGGTCAAGTAAGAGAGCATTCTGGTATAAGAACCTGTTACAAGCCGCCACGCCAGACCACTGAGGCCCCGCTGCCCACGTGGGCTTCACATTTCACAGGCGCCTATCTTGAAACGCGCGTGTTTCGGGTAAGACACAACCGGGCTTTAGTACTACAACCCGCAAGACTCAAACCATTCCTCATGTTGAGTTCAGTCAAACAGTATGTGTCTGAGAAGCGGGCAACCTTCACAAAAGCTGCAGGAGTAGTAGGCAGCGTGTACTTGGCAGGCAAGTATGTCAGTGACCGGCTAGAGGAGACGAGGGAGCAGCTTATGCAGGAAAGGTCTGCAAAAGACAAGTGAGTTGTGATTTCCTTCATTTTGTGATGAGAGGCCTCATATATGATGGGGGAATACTAGTCTGCGACGTCGGTTCTACCAGAACCAGGAACATGTTTCTTTCACGGTTATGGCGTTAATATCAACGCTTTCGGAGCAAGTCGTCGAAGGCATGGACGTGGAGAGCGTGACTGGGGAACTCCAGGCGATGTCAAAGTCGGTCGTGAAGGCACCGTTATCAGCAAACCCTGGGACGACCACAATACTACCTCCGCAGCCGGCAGAAACGTCGACTTCAGACTCTCTAAACAATTCTGATCCCACACAATTCCATACGCCGATGATCGACTTGGATGCGCAGTCGGAGACGCACTCAGCCATCTCCTCAAACCCCTCAGAAGACGCAGTGTCAAATATGGAACACTCTTCTCGGAGCTGGATGACGGACAACATTTCCATCGCGCCGTCGTCTACGTCCGAACTTGTACAGCTAGAAACGCCGACAACGGATACTACTGACCCTATGTCTCTATCTGTGACCAGCTCGGACGCATTGAACACCCATCCTAATGGCCTATCAGAGTCTCTGATCAGCACCGGGAGCTCAATGGTGAGTTATCCTGACAGCGGCGCAACAGATGCCCGAGTGAGTTTCGCGTCCGCTTGGTGCTAGCTAGAGGCATCTAATGAATACTCAACAGTCGACGAGAGACCCGAGTTCCTCGACATCTTCCAGTACACGAACAAAATCAGAACTCTGGTTAGAAATAAAAATCCTGAGTACATACTACGTCTACCTACCATCACCCGTCACTAATCGGTTACACAGCTTTCACCCGCGTCCTAACAATTCTCTATTCGACAACTCTCCTTTCCTTGTTCACAACTATACAACTTACTCTACTCTCACGAGCGGCCTACGTTCAATCAGTACTTCAAACCTCCCGGAACGAGGAACGAGAAGAATTGATATCTTCGCTTTCACCGATGTCGTTACTCCTCAGCGGGCTTCGAGGCGGCGGCGAATCAGGTGGGCTTGAGGGTTTGTTGGCTTCTTTAGATATGGATGGCGACGGTGACGGAGAAGACGAGATCAGCGAAGAGGTGGAGCGGAAATTTTTGACGTTGAGTTGGTGGATGTTGCATGTCGGATGGAAGGATGTCGGTGAGAGGGTGAGGAAGGGCGTCGAAGATGCACTTGACGGGTAAGACCTTCCTTCGTTCCTACCAAATGAAGAACCGTCGCTCATTCCTTTACAGTGTATCCCTGAAAAGCCGATTGGGTATTGTAGATGTCCATAGGATTGTGTCAGACATACGCCGTCGTGTAGAACATGAGATCACTTTCGAGGGGACCGAGCGACGGATAGAGTGTGTTTTTTCTCCTCGCCTTTTTGATTGCTAACTCATCTTCGCCGTAGCTTTCTGTCGACACTATTGCCTCCGACCGCGGAAATGACCAACCGGGTTCTCTCCGAAGGCGGATTCTTTCCGACCCCTACCTTGAACCCCCACTTTCCGCCTCTACCGGGTTCATCCTCCCCTCCAGATCCAGACGTGGGACCTTCCACCTCACCGTCTCTTGCATCAGTCTCGTCGCATCATCCCCCACTTCACGCATCTTCTGCTACGGCTGCAATCCTACCCTCGTCAACGTCGATGCCTCCCGCCCGCGACGAAGACCCACAATTTTCGGCCTTGGTCGAAGAAACGCGTCGAACGATAGCTTCTCCTGATTTTGCGCGCGTCTTCGACGTGTGCATGGAGCGAGCCGTAGAGGTCTTATTTGACGACTTGGAGAAGGAGGTATATTTCCCCAATTCGATGCAGCAGCAGTTTGTGGCATCGGAAGGAAATAGTGGGGTATTGCCCGGAGGAGATGAAGTGAGGATCAAACTGGCGGCGCTATTGCCGGGCTTGACAAGGTGGAGCAGGGAAGTGTTAAACGGGCTGCCTAACACTCTCGTTGATGTGAGTCCTGCGAGAGGTTTCGCTCGTCATATTCGGAAAGCTGACTTACTGGTACACACAGACGTTAACGAATACACGCGAGACCGTCGCTTTGTCCGCTATTGTATTTACAAAGTTTGAGGATCGGTTCAATGGAAGATGAATGTGAGCTTGGTCCGTTGAATTTCTCATTTGGCACGCCCGATGGTCAGGCTGCTTGCGTAAATCTTCTTCAAGCCTTTCAGTGACTCCGTGATATGCTCGATTGGGATCGAACGCAGGAATAACCCAGAATAACCCCTAGACTCTTAGGATTCCTGAGTAATCGGCAAGTCCTTTTGTGGAAGTCTAGATGTACAGCTTCAACCTCATGTAAATTTGATACTAGGGGGATGTTGACAACAAAGTGTCGTGAGTTGTAAGTACTGTGTACCCCCTTTGTACTTTGATTGACCTACGGACGCCCGAGGTGTTCCCATTAGGCTCAAAGTACAATCCCTCTTCCTAGCGATCGGGTGTTCCTGGCTACAGCTCAAAGCTGTGGGTCCATATTTTGACTGACATCGCTTCGCATGTATTGTACTTTCACTTAAGATATGCTGCATCCATACGCATCAAACCTCAGGGTTTTGTGACCCTCTGTGACCGAATGTGATTATGTGTGACCGAAGAGATGCTGTTTTAGTGATTAGTTGCAGCATGAGGGTTTTCTTACATTCTCCTTGTTCTCTTCAGGCTTCCTCCCTCCCTTGGCTTTCTTCATGGCCCAATTGCCTAGATTTGCAAGCCATGACATTGGAGACTTTCTTTTGAAACCCATTTTTGGTGTTTTGCGACGCGACAGAGAGGACTGGCCACTTTCCCAAAGCGGAAATCACGTCTGGCCAATGTGCGCGACTGGTGCTTATGTTGATTGTAGCCCATACAGCTCGCATTAGTTCATTTATCAATTATTCAAAACTATGAAGTTTTCGGGCACGATTAATAAGGATTTTCCATGGTTCTCAAATTTCATGAAAAGGACGAGCGAAATTGTCAACCTCATTTCTTCATTTTGTCACACTATGTAACACTTCCCATGGGAAGGTTTGATGCGTATGGATGCAGCATATCTTACTTCCAAAGAGAAGCCAAAGCTGGCACAATCGCCCCGGTGTCACACGCCTCAATCAATAAGGCGCCTATTGTGGCAGGGAACTGTTAAGAAGGAGGATCAAACACCACAACTGCTAAGTGCCTAAGCGCACGTTCCACTTTCCTTTTCTAGCAGGTTACTTTCCTTTTCGATCGATCGGTTTGTATAAATATGTCCGAACCCCTTTCCACTACCTCAGCTTCAACTATATTGTCCAGAGCTGAGGTATGTTAATTCCTTGATATACCCAGGTATAACTAAGATACTCATTACTTATATCTACTGTAGAACTCGCATCGGTACTTACAGCTCGTTCTACATTCTTGGCGCAAACCAGCTACGGCAAGCAAAATCCACACTTTCCATGATTCAGAATTGTGGAAAAGAGGCCTGTTCAGCCAGAAAAAAACACGACCGAGCCTCCAAAGTACGCAGAATTTGTTTGGCCTTATTTGCACAGGCCTTGAACCCTTTAGAGCATGATTGTTCGCTACGCTCGCAATCACTCAAGCCTTCTTTCCGGAGTTGTGGAACATGAACCCTGATCTCACCTTCGACGAAAAGATCCAAGCTTTATTGGAGTACAATCCTCCTTCAGTCCAGGTGCCACCTGGATCAGAGGACGTTGAACAGCCACTCTCTTTCTACGACAAACATCTTTCATCAAACTTGGGCCTGAAGCGTGTTGTGCACCTGCCAACACTCCTGCACTCCATGTTGAAGGCGATGGACACCTGTCTGGACTTCATCGATGCTCATAAAATAGACTTGCCTCTCATCACTCATGGCGACGATTTCCCCTCCAAATGCCGCCGCGAGATCCTCAACGCTGATACGGAATCCATAGATGCATCGTCTATCGCCCAATTATACACAGAGACAACCGGCGGAAACTGCGAAGCGGTATCACCTATGCTATTCTTAACACCGCGATGCTCAATGTGGCTGCCTGCATTTGGGTTCACTCGTAATTACATGGCTGACAATCCGGCGGACCAGGCATTCACTGTTGAGGAATATTCAGTTTGCCTTGACATTGAGGACAAGGATATTTTCCTTTACCCGGAAGTGAAAGAATGTCTTACCGACGACAAATTGCAACTTCTTCGCCGATTGCTCAAAAGAGACCGCCGTCTGGCTACGTGGGAGTTTTTACCCTATACTACCCAAGCTATTGCAGTCATACAAAACCTTGGTGGTGCCAAGCCTTCGAGTTCCAGGACGACCACACCTTTCAAAATGTCCACCTACCCACCCATCGGGAAGTTCCATTTGCCCGTTGTTCCCCTTCCCTACGACGCGGAAACTACTCCTGGCCGTCCGCATATTTTGAGGCCTAGTTTGCGGGTCAGAAAATCGACGATATCCCCACCTCCAGCATATCATCGGCTGCGTAAGTCTGCATCATCCTGATTAATAACTGTAGGCCGGAGAATGACTGTAAGGGCAACCTCAAGATGGCCGACAGCGCAGGCCTAGCAGAGGGAGAATCCAAAGATAATGAATAAGGCTAACTACAATACATGAGAGGGCTGCTCACCTAGCAGAGGGAGAATCCAAAGAGAACAGGATAAGGATTCTCCATGCTAGGAAGCGAAGTATATACTGTAGTAGCGTGAGAGGAATGCAGGATAACTGTACAGTACACCAGCCACAAGTCCGAACAAATATCACAAGGTACAAGGAAACATGTGATAATGAAGTGGAGGGTAAATGCACAGGAGTCGTGCCAGCGACTTGGGGAAGTAAGGGCGAAGAGTAGTGAAGTGGGGGAAAAGGATAGAGGTAACCCAGACGAGCCCCAAAGAGTATAGATGAGTCCGAGCGAGTCCGAAGTGTCCGAGACGAGTCCGAGCGAGTCCGAAGTGTCCGAAGTGCGGGAAGACTCCGGAGTCACCGGACGCGGCTCGGATGCGAAAGGAGTGGGTGGAAAGGAAGTGGAAAGGAAAGGGAGCGAAAAGGAACGAAGGGGAATGAAGGGAATGTAGGTAAGAGTCCATGGAATGAAGGAAAGGAGAGAAAATAGGAGTGTCCCCTTACATCACCCCCCCTTCAAGGTTGCGGCGACCCGACGCGAAGATTCTTGCCTGCCGCGCCATGAATTCACCAACCCCGAAACTCCGGATTGCTGCGAGAAGATGTCGAAGTACGACTGCGCGGAGCCCGGAGCCTTCCGACTGCACCAACGCTCCCAGGACTGGTCCAGTGCTGCAGGAGTCATCCGGAGAGGTAGAGCAGTCGTCGGATTCATCAGACTCGTCCGGAGTACGCGTACTGCGTCCGGGTGACGATCATGGAAGTCCTTGACCTTCCGGGCGGCATGCTGGAGGTGTAAGGGCAACCTCAAGATGGCCGACAGCGCAGGCCTAGCAGAGGGAGAATCCAAAGAAATGAATAAGACTAACTACAATACATGAGAGAGCTGCTCACCTAGCAGAGGGAGAATCCAAAGAGAACAGGATGGGGATTCTCCATGCTAGGAAGCGAAGTATATACTGTAGTAGCGTGGGAGGAATGAAGGGTAACTGTACAGTACACCAGCCACAGGTACGAACGAATATCACAAGGTACGAGGGGACATGTGATAATGAAGTGGAAGGGGAATGTACAGGAGTCGTGCCAGCGACCTGGGGAAGTGGGGACAAGGAGTAATGAAGTGGGAAAGGAGGATAGAGGTAGCCCGGACGAGCCCCGGAGTGTATCTATGAGTCCGAGCGAGTCCGAAGCGTCCGAGCGAGTCCAAGGTGTCCGAAGCGAGTCCGAGGCGAGTCCGAGGCGCGGGAAGACTCCGGAGTCACCGGACGTGGCTCGGATGCGAAAGGAGTGGGCGGAAAGGAAGTGGAAAGGAAAGGAAGCGAAAAGGAACAAAGGGGAACAAAGGAAATGTAGGTAAGAGTCCATGGGATGAAGGAAAGGAGAGAAAATAGGAGTGTCCCCTTACAGGAGGTTGCTCGCGGGCTCCCAGGAGTCGTGCTCGATACCATAGCCTCGCCAGCGCACCAGATACTTCAGGACCCGACCGAACCGTCTGCTATTTCGGACCTCTTCTACCTCATGCTCCTCTTCTCCGTCAACGAGCTGCGGAGGTGGCGGAGCGACAGGGCGTCTACCTGGGATGGGGTCCGGAACGAAGGGAGAGAGTTTGACCACGGGGAAGACGGGGTGGAGACGGGATAAGCCCGGGGGGAGCTGGAGTCGATACGCCGCCTTGCCAACCTTCCGGACGACCTTGTAAGGACCGAGTCGTGCGTGTCCGAGTTTCCGGGAGGGTCGGGCAAGGTTGATGTCCAACGAGTCCAGCCAAACCTTGTCACCCGGTTGGTACTCCGGAGCAGGAGTCCGACGCTGATCATAGTAACGCTTCATGTCATCCTGAGCCTTGACCAATGCAGACTGAGCTTCATCAACTGCAGACTTCATCCGATGTACAAACTCGTTTGCGGACTCCATCCGAGATGGTGGCTGATGAGGTTCGAACCCGAGGCGAGGATGTCGGCCAGTATCTAGGAGGAAAGGTGACTGCTGAGTCGACGCGTGGACCCGGTTGTTGTACGCAAACTCCGCCATAGGTAGGAGGCGAGCCCAGTCGTCCTGGCGCTCTCCAACGAAGATCCGGAGATAGGACTCGAGTTCCTGGTTAGTCCGTTCCGTTTGTCCGTCGGACTGAGGGTGGTACGCAGTGGAGGCAGCCAGCTTGATTCCGAGCATCCGGTAGACTTCCTGGGTGAACTCTGCAACGAACTGCGGACCCCGGTCGGACACAACAGACCGAGGGAGTCCATGCAGCTTCCAGACGTTCTGCAGGTACAAGTTTGCGGATCCGAGGGCAGACACTGTGGTGTGAGTCGGAATGAAGTGGGCGCGTTTGCTTACGGAGTCGACCACATTCATGACAGCGTCAAATCCATCGGACTCCGGAAGCTCAACGATGAAGTCAACACTCAGGCGATCCCAGCGTTCATCCGGAATGGGAAGCGGATGAAGTTCACCCATGGGCGGATGCCTTTGGGCCTTCGTCCGGAGACAGAGGTCGCAATGGCGGGTGTAGGATCCGACGTACCGGGACATGTTGGGCCACCAGTAGCTGCGTGAAACGAGCTCTAGGGTCTTCCATCTGCCAGCGTGTCCTGCGACCTTAGTGTCATGGTGCTGGGCTACAATGGTCCGACGCAAGTCCGGTGAGTCTGGAACGTAGATCTTACCCCGGAACATCAGGAGTCTGTCCGATTGAGACCATTCCGCGCTCCGGACTGTCTTGCAACTGCCCTGGGTCTTCTTCAGCTCCTCCGCCGCCTTTGCCACTGCATTTTCAAACTTCGCATTCCGCACTCCAGTCCGGATAGCCGTGAGGATATCCTTCTCCTCCCCTTCAAGAGTGACACCCGTGGCACGGACGGCAAAGTAGGACGGCTTAAGTAAAACCACATCCTTGTTGTCATCCTTACCATCCGAGTGATCCGAGCGGCGCGAGAGAGCATCCGGCTTACCCATTGTCCGACCCGGACGGTGCTGGAGAGTGAAGTCGAAGCGGGAGAGGTATAGCGACCAGCGGGCTTGACGACGATTGAGTTTCTGGGCCTTGATGAAGTACTCCAGGTTCTTGTGGTCCGTCCAGATCTCGAACGGAGTCTCTGCGCCTTCCAAGTAGTGTCGCCATTCTTCGAGTGCCCGGATGATTGAAAGCATCTCCTTGTCGTGTATTTCATAGTTCCGCTCCGCAGCCTGTAGACTTTTAGAGTAGAATGCGACAGGATGCCATTTACCATCATCCGGATCCAGCTGTGACAAGACCGCACCCGTAGCGTAATCCGACGAGTCCGCTTCAACCCGGTAAGGCCGATCCTCCTTCGGAAAGACCAGAACGGGCTCCAAAGTGATCAGCTCCTTGATCCGAAGAAATGCGGATTGAGCGGAGTCGTTCCACTGCCATTCCTTTGCGCAAGTGAGGTCGAAGAGAGGCCGGGCGATATGCGAGTAGTCCTTGATGAAGCGGCGGTAGAAGTTGACGAACCCGAGGAAGGATTGGAGTTCAGTCCGAGTCCGAGGGGTCGGCCAGTCCGCAACTCCGGAGACCTTCACGGGGTCCATCTCGATCTTACCCTCAGAGATGACAACTCCGAGATACTCCACCTTGGTCTGCTCGAAGTCGCACTTGTCCGCTCGGAGGAAGAGCTTGTTCCGCTGGAGGATCTCTAGGACTCGCTTGAGAACCCGGCGATGCTCTTCGCGCGTCTTGGTGTAGATCAGAATGTCATCCAGATAGATAATGACCACACCTTCCGTAATGAGCTCCAGGAAGAGGTCGTTCATCATGGTCTGGAAGGTGGATGGGCTATTTGTTAGTCCGAAGAACATTACCAACGGTTCAAAGAGTCTGCGCGTAGTCCGGAACGCGGCCTTCCACTCGTCGCCCTCCTTGATCCGGACGTTGTTGAAACCCCACTGGACGTCGAGCTTGGAGAAGTAGCGAGCGTTCCGGAGTTTATCCACCAAGTCCGAGATGAGCGGAAGTGGGTACCGATTCTTGACCGTCATGCTGTTGAGCTTCCGGTAGTCCTGGACCAAGCGGAGCGATCCATCCTTCTTCTTAACAAAGAACACCAGGGCAGCCATGGGCGACTTGCTGGGGCGGATCCGACCAGTCCGGAGATTTTCTTCCAGGAATTCGTCCAGCTGTTTCTGCTCCGTCGGGGACAGTGGGTAGCACTTGGTAGAGGTCGGTTCCGCTCCGTCCAGTAGCTCAATGGCATGGTCCCACGGACGCGGCATGGGCAGTTCATCAAAGGATTCCTTTGCGAAGACGTCCTCGAATTCCTGGAGGAAGTCCGGGACTGCGCTGTTCCGAGGATTGTGGGGTTTGTTGCGCTGGAAAGCCAATGCGAGGCGCTGCGAGACTGTCTCCGAAGCCCGGACGTGTTCTTCCCGAAGACTCCGAAGGTACTCCGGAGTCGGAGGAGGAATAGCCACGAAGATACGGTCACCCCTCTCAAGTCCGGAGTCGTCCGGAGTTGTGACATTGTCATCCTCATCATCATCCTCGCAGTCCTGAAGCTCTGGGAGATCATCCGAGTGCAGTTCCTCAACCCTTGGCATCGGACCCGTACGACACTCCCGGAGTCGTACGGACTCCTTGCGTCGGGTCAGCTTGTCATGGCGGAACTCCTTCCGACAGGTGTCGCATCCGGACGGACAGCGGCTCATGGTCACCTCCTTTGTCTGCCAGTCAATCTCGGGGTTGTGCTTCCGAAGCCAGGTGTATCCGAGGATGATGTCCTGCCGTCCGATGTTAGTGACTGCGAAAAGCATCCGTTCCGTGTGATCCTTGAACCGGAGTACAAGGTCCACGACTTCGGAGATGGATCCGTTTTCGTTTGGTGATCCGTCAACGTTGAAGACC